TTCTAGTACTCTTGTGATCAAAAACATTGCTCTGAAGCTCAATTCAGTAAACACATTTATCTAGAAAACATCACACAAACAGCAACTTCTGATCAACAACAATCAACAATTTCTGGTTACCCAGCCCACTTCCAGCTTAGGCACCTCCCAATTATAGTTTAAGCCCCATCCATTTAGAGACCAAATATGAATACAGATCATTCAGCTGGTAGAACAGATACAGATAAAACTGCTCATCCCTAATAATTTCAATATAAAAATCCTGAAAATGTCATCTACTCCTTCTACCTCATTAAAAAAGTCCATTCTCAGTGTGTGTGCACAAGTTGTATACTGGACCAAACTATTTGTGATATCACAAATCATGCAGGTAGGCCCCGCCCCCTTAAAATCTGATTTTCAATGATCACAGAGTAACTTTCCACTTACAGCAGATGAATGTGAAAACATCCTTCTAGAGTCAAACTGCACAGACATCATTCAAACAGCCCACTGTAGGAACAGGGAGAATTGAATCAATTTAATACCCAGCCCTAAGAGACAGGAACTGACTGTCTACCTCCAGACTCGAGCAAAACAGCATGCCTGCTCTTCTGAAAAGAAGCACTATTACAACATTCTGGGAAAAACACTCAAATAGCTGCCATCTGCTGATGCAACTTCCTGCTGATCTCTTCACAACTGGTACTATATCCCTAATGTGTTATTCACACTGAAAGAAGGGCAACGTTTCTTTGTGATCTTTACTATTAGTTGGATAATGGTGAATAATGTTTGATAATGTTGAACACACTTAAAAGTTAATACTGAGATCTGGGAACACAAAGACATCACTACAACAGTCCAACAAGAAAAATGAGCAAGTCTGACAATCAGACAGGCTGTAATTAAAGTTGTAATACACTGAAATTACACTTAAAGTATAAGTCAGCATGCATACTAAATCTACTTGATTGAGTGAGCTGTTGATGGACACCATTGTCCCACAATGCAGTGCACAAAGGAGACAAGCTACTCACAGCTGCAAAACAATCTGATAAGTTGCAGTTTGATTGACATTTATGTGTTGCATAATTTCAAACCATGAACTGGTTTCTTGTAACTGTAAAAAAAAAAAAACCCACAACACTCCGACAATTACTATCAGGACATACTGTAAACTATGTATTATAGTACTAGGACACTACTCATGTATACAGTTTTTGGCTGTATGCAAGGGGTTAATTGTTTTATTAAAGATGTGCAGAAACCAGTATTTTTGTTTGAAAACTGTTTGACAAAGATTCACCTTTTTTTGTTTTGTTTTGTTTTGTAAGCTGTGACCGGAAGATTTGTCCACCCACAGAAGCACAGTTTGTTTTCTCAGCTGTGAGCAGCTACTCCATTTCTGTCCATCAACCCCATGGTTTGGAATCAAGACATTTTAGTGTGCATGCTGGCATTCTGAAAGAACGAGCAAGATGCATAAATATTAGTGTGCAACTGGGACGCAGCTTCAGTGTCTGGTGGATGTAGTTCTTTTCTAGGAAAATCTCACAGGATGCGATGCATTTGAGCTTCCTGTTTGTTTGGTATACAGATATTTAGGTATGTGGGTGCACAGATGAAGAAAAGAGTGCTACTATTAGAAAGGCTAAACTGAGCAGAGCATCCGAGGACACACACACTGAACAGACACTGGCAATCTCATGAGCCATCGGCTGTGCTCGTGTTGCTCCTGTCCAGCAGTAAGGATACGGGGGGGAGCCCACATCTTTCCAGTCGTTCCAAAATCCTAATCCTGTCACCATGGCTGAAGGCTTGGGATGTGCATTGTATCCCCACAAAAAAAACACAGGATGTATGGAAATAGTAAAAGATTGAAAATAAAAGCAGGGAGATGAGGCCCCTATCTGTGATGCAATAAATATGTGTTTCTTAATTAAATGTAAAGCTCTTCCAGTATGTTTTAGTGCCATTTTAAAAGTATTACATATATTTTCATGATTATTGTGATAATATCATGTATCACAATTATTTTGGCCAAGGTAATCTTGACATTAAATTTCATCAAAATCATCCCGTGCCAGCTCAGATTGTATGCATATTGTGGACAGTTTTCCTAAAATTAGATTCAAATATATCCTGATATATCGCCTTGCTTACAGTATTGCAATATATTGAATTGTAACCCCAGTATCGTGATACGCAAAATTCTGTTGCTGACTGAAGTGAGATATTAGAAAAAACATTTCACTGCATTAAACAACTGTTTTTATATGTAATTTTGCATACAATATTGTGATACTGCATCGATATCGTAAAAATAATAAACGCTGTGACTTATCACCCCGCCCTACAATAATGCTTCCTTGACATGGATGCGTCTTCCAAGATTGACCTTTTGTCCCTGCAACCATAGAAAGACTCTAACCAAACTGCATATCTTACATATTTGACAATAGGGGAAGATCAAAATATTTGGTATCTGCTCGTTATCAGTGCATCACTAAACCTAACAGTGAGTTGTTCACATCATCTGACCCATGATATGGTGCAAGCCAGTCAGCTGACAGTGAGACACAGACAGATGTGTAACACAGCGCGCCCAAATCAGCTTTTCAGAGTTATTAAATCACCTTCATTAGTGCAAGATAATTAGCATAAAAGACAGAGACCTTCATTGAAAAGAGTGGAAGCCTCTGCGCTGCACTTTCCAGCACTGGGCAACAGCAGCCTTGCCCACAGATGCTGGCGAGCGTCCCTATGTGATATTTACTGTTCCCTAGTGCCTCGCCGCCCCACCATTTTACAAGGCAAGTAAACACAACATCAGCACACAAGGTGGGACAGCATGGCCTACAGATGTGCAACAAAAGCAGTATTGTGCAACAGTGTTATATAGCTCCTGTAAAACCATTGTGGGCAGAGCTTTTGAAACACTCAGGATTGTTGCTTGCCTGCAAAATGCAGCTTGACTTGGAGAGCAACATGTGTACACTCATTTTTCTGTTTAATTTAGGAGAAACTGCTTGTGCATAGGCATTAGACCTATTTTTAACCAGACAGCAGAGTCTTCTCTGATCTCCTGACAGCTCTGCTGGTGGTCTGTCAGTGCGGCAGTTGGAAACATCCAGTCAGGACCTCAGCTATCAGCAATTCAAAACATCCTTTAAAAAACCGTTCCTTTTAACGTTTTAAGAAAACGGAATATTTCATGAAGTAACAAACTCTGCTGCCTGTTCACATTAGTCACAACCGAGGGATGAAGAAACACAGGGGAAAAAAAAAAAGTAAAAACCACACGCTTCAAATTTGATTTGACCCTGCGAGCCAAAATAAAAGAGCTGTTTGAAAACGAGGCTAACGTTAGACAATTATCACGCGCTAAAAACCGAAACTAGTTGGTGGTCGAAAACTATAACGTTAGTTGTTTACTAACACTTCAGGATATGCAGCAGGTCCCGCACACCTACACACTTACACAGCGCTGCTGTCATTTCGCAACAGAACTTGCAGCTCTGAATCAAGTGCCCTCATTTTTTCACCATTTAAAAAATGAGTTTATATTTACAGCCGAATAAACCGTAAGACAGTGTGAAATGTTCACATTAAATTATTTAATTCGGTTTTGTCCGAGAAGCCACAAGAACTAGAAAATGTCCTTAATATGTCAACATTTTGTAGGAGCCCGCCTGTTTTCCCACTATCCTCTTCTACTAAAACATAGCGAGGAATGCGGCGGCGACTGCGACGCATAAAAGTTTATCAAATTGAAAGATATCTTTTTAAAGATGTACGGATTAAAGAAAGATGTACAGTGTGCCGAATGAAGCAGAACATTTTACAATTTTATATAATGCTGCAAGTGATTTTGTCCGATGTATGTGCGTTTGCCGAAAAATAATACAACAATTACTGCCAATTTTTAAAAGTAGTTTGGAAAAGTGTTCCCTCCTTAACGACATGAACAGCACATCCGAGCTCAGTCAGTCAACTTTCCACAATGCTAATGCTGTCAGTTAAAACACTAAAACACAAAAGACGTTTTCGTCGCTTTACTCACCCAAACTGTTTGTAGAGGAATCCATAATCCGAAGTTTAAGTTGCTTGAAGTTTTTCTAGGGGTACAGCCTGGACTGAGGTGTGTTTTCCATGCTGAGAGAGGAGTGTCAGAAGTCACACACTGGAGACTGTCAAACTGCCAGGGTTAGCAACAACAACACCGGAAACGCCTAAAGTTTTCCTGTAAATAAAGCGCTATTGTTTATTAAACCACACAAAGCATTACAATTCAATTCCTCAATCACGTCCACATTCAAATATAGTGTGGAATAACTACAATTACAAAGATAAAATTGAATAAAATAACTTAGTAAAAAACAAACACATCGCTAGTTGAAGGAATGGAAGTGTCCCCCGGAAGTCCTGGACCTCAATATGGCTACCTTGACGCCATCTAAGCACCATGCTGAGATAATGTCAAAGGTTCCATCATTTGAACTAACTCTAACACGTATTGCCTCAGTCGCTGTGACTCAGTAAACAGTACCTATATGTAGTGAACCAGAGTTGTGCCGTTTGAAACTTTTCCAGGCTGCCTCAGTGCCTGTCAAATAAAGTGTGTATTTGTTAGGAAGGCGTTTGTCACCACCAGGCGGCAGGGTTGTATAGCGCACGCGCATGTTAATTAGACCTAATTGATACTTAAAACTTAAAGTTAAACACATTTAACCTTTTCATTAGGTTTTATTTGTCACACGTTTGTTTAAACATGTTAGTTTTAACAAAGTCTAGTGCACATTTGCTCCCATTTTGCCTCCATAGCAAGAGGAAACTTATACTCAATATCTATTGCAAAAATAGGCGCCAAAATACATTTACGACACGGTCAATTTAAGAGGAATATACGAAACAATTCAATATCCCAAAACATGTATTAACTGTAAAGAAGAGTGTACAGAGTGGGGCCTTGCGGGAACTGTTTGCGATGTTTATGTTGTTCGGGGGAAGCGAATGTGTGTGGCACCAGGATGTTAAGCCGGCTTTTCAACATGGAGGCGTCCACGGAGTGATTTCTGAAGGAGACTAATTTCTTCGTACGTTCGTCAGCATGAATGGTGTGTACAAGTATATCTATATATGTCTAATATGTATATAAGGCATGTATTACAGAATATCTGTTCTTTATAATAATTGCGCGACACTTTGCCTTAATACGCCCAAATGAATGTGCGAAAGCTCATTGAAAAATGTGTCAGTTTAATGGTTTCATACCTCTTGGTAAATATTTATGAGCGATATAAGTTGACAAAAGAGTGTTTAGGAAGAAATCGCGGCCACTCTTCATATCGGCTTACATAAATTCATCAAACATTATTTTTACGTCATTCAGTTATGTAAACATGTAGCTGTCAGTCACAATCATCTTCCACAACTACAGAAATTGTGTTGTCATTATTGGAGTAAAATAGACTAAGTTACCTTAAATGCTGCAATTGATTTGAACATCTCTGAATGTTGTCCCTGTCCTGTTCATTGTCCCTGTGCAGCTTTGTTTCCTGAAGGTCAGTGTGTGATGGCTCTACCATGAAGTGTGCCCGCTGCCTGCTCCAGCTGCAGTGTCTCACACTGGTGGGCCAGTCAGCCAGACCTGCTGCTCAGTATGGCACTCTGCTCCAGTCAGCGTCCTCCAGTCAGCTCAACGTTCTACATAAGACCCAGCACCAGGTATACATCAGTCTGTACACATAGCATCCAGACTCTGTTTAAAATATTGGTCTTTAGTGAAGCACAGGTTAATGGGAAAGGCAGAACAGCACATAAGGATGACTCAGACCATTCCTGAATGATGAGAGGCCAGTCTTCAATTCTGGATACATAGATACTGATATACCTTTTTCCTCTGTGCCATAGAGCTCAATAGTTGTCCAAACACTATTAAAAAGACATCACATTACTGCACTGGGTGACATGTTACTTCATTACCATGAACACAGACACTATAGTTTATTCTGACTCAATATATATATACATATACACAGTTCTGCTGCCACAAACACTCACAAAATGTTGTTAAATCTGCCACTGAGAATAGTTCCTAACAACTGCACTGTTTTTTCCTGTTTGTGAAACATTTGATTTAAAACTGTTTTATGAAAATATTTTGTAGTATTTTAAAAAAACATGAGCGGTCCTATGTCTTCAGTAGGAGTAGGAGCCAATGGGCAGGCTATTACATTGTTGTAAGGGTCAGCCTTATCCTTTAATACAAGAGAGCAACCCCTTGCTAAGTCATAAAGAGTTAGAGTCTGACCACTACTAGCAGTGACAGTAAATGTCAGTACAGAAATGCCAAAGATATGTTTGAGGTAATGTAGAAACAGCTGTAAAATGTCCAGCTTAGAACACATTTTGGTCACAATTAAAAAAAAAAATAATAATAAATTATATAATTTAATTGGGCCCTTTTAGTGTTTAGTGTCCAATTAATCGTTTATCAGATTTTTTAACTCTAAAATCTCAATATCATACTCAAAAATCTGAAAAGTGTTCATATATGAGTTGATATTGGCGTATTGGAGACATTTATCTTTTTCCCCTAGTATATAATATAGAAAGAAATGCTTGTAGTTTTTACAGTACTGATGTTTATTTAGCTGTTTACTTTAATTTATTCTTCAAATTCAAATTTTTCTAAAATTGGTCGACAATGTACTGTTTATGTTCAATTATATATATTATATATAACATATTGAACATTTTAATGAATATTTCACTCAAACTGAAATATTCTTGAATAAAGTTACTTTTAATAAATCAGCTTTCTGCATAACTTTGCATTTTCATATCCGTGCACAAGCCACATAGAAAATGTCTATTTTTGTTTAGGGCTGTGCATTGGCGATACGATACCTATCACTATACAGGGGTTACATATTGCAATATTGTAAGAAAAGCGATATATTGGGATTTATTTCAATTGAATTTTAGGAAAACTGTCCACTTACAAAAATCAATTACACGCCTTATTTTTATTCTGGCCGCCATACACAAAAATCCTGTATCAGTCGGACTCCACTTTTGGGTGCCAGAACAAAATGAGGATGACAGAATGTACACTGTACATGGAGTGCAGAGCTCCATATGAACAAAATCCACTGTCATTTGTAGGTGTTGAGACGTTTCCATGGCAGCCCAGCATGTGCCAAGAGTCGACCTGTACGGGCTGAGGTCATCAACGAGGACAACAAGAAGGGCGACGGGTCTCTGGTCACCTACGATAACCTGTTTGAGCAGGTGACCAAGGAGGCCCAAACCAAGGCCACGTTTATCAAAGTGGTGAATGTCTTCCTCAAGAGAGACGTGAGGCGGCGGGGTCACGTGGAGTTCATCTACGCCGCTCTAAAGAAGATGCCGGAGTTCGGCGTGGAGAGGGACCTGGAAGTCTACAACAAGCTGCTGGACATTTTCCCCAAAGAGGTGTTCGTACCCGTAAACTTTGTCCAGCGGATGTTCAACCACTATCCTCGGCAGCAGGAGTGTGGAGTGCAGATACTGGAGCAGATGGAGAACTATGGTAGGTGTCTCTTACAGTCTGGTTATGGAATTCCTGGAATGCTTTGGAATTTAGAGAGGGTTATTCCAGATAGAGAAATGTATACAGCAGTGCCTGTCTGTCTTCAGTTTGAATGATTGTATTTCAGGTATCATGCCCAACATTGAGACCAAAGTCCTGCTGGTCCAGATATTTGGACTGAAGGGCCACCCCATGAGGAAGTACCAACGCATCATGTACTGGTTCCCCAAATTCAAACACATAAACCCCTTCCCCATCCCCCAGCAGTTGCCTGAAGACCCAGTGGACCTGGCTCGCCTTAGCCTGACTCGAATCGCTAATGACCGGGATGCTAAAGTCATCGTGTATCAGGTACAACCAGCTTCAGATTGGATTTAAGGGAATAGGTTTTCAAATTTGGGAAAATAAGTGATTGATTTTGATCTCATGTCTGTGAGCTAAATGTTCTACAAGGAGTTTTAACTGGTTATGAAACAGTCTCAGTTTAATACTAATGCTTCTATATGAGCTACATAAACAAACAAGACCATCAGAGAGAAGATTAGTTATTTCTATGTTGTTATTTTTAAAGCTGCAGTAGATAACTTTTATAAAACTATAAATATAAAAAAATGTGTCATATTCTTTAAAAACTTTCCCCATATCCTGACAGTAGAACATGAGACAGATAATCTGTGAAACAATCAGGTTCCTCTGGCTCCTCCTAGTGCTCCTAATGGGATTTGTGAGAATCCATCAGGCCTGTACGAAAACAACCAATCAGAGAAAGATGAAAAGACGCTTTGGGTTGAAGGCTTGAAGACAGTTGATTGTTGAGTCTCGTTCCGAGCATTGCTATTTGACACCCTGGGAAACAATCAACTATCTTTCTCAGCTCTGATTGGTGGTTTTCATTCGGGCCGGTGGATTCTTGCAAATACCATTAGGAGCACTAGGAGGAGCCAGAGGATTCCCTTTGAAATCAATTCAATAAGGCAGTAGAAACACTACTGCTTTTGTCTACAGTGGCTGCCAGAATCAACACAAAAGGAAAGTTCCTTGTAGGAGCTTTAAGTATAGATCTGGAGTCAGGATTTGGTTAGCCTAGCTTAGCATTGAGGATTGTGGGCAGCAAGCAGAAGAACTGAGATCAGTTATTTGAGAAAACAAAAATAATGTGACCAGTTACAAAATCTAAAAATGTCTTTTTATATTTTTTCTCTTCCCACAGCTGCCCTGTACAGACATCACAGAGAGTGGGGAGGAGGTCACACTTCCACATGTAATAGGTATGGAAACATCACACATCAATGTGCTGTAGTGGTTTCACAGGATTCTGACTGCTCATGGAAGTCTGGGATTAAGAGTACATTTTAGTATACTGCTGAGATATATTCAAATATAATACATACAAAATTGCAGCGGAAGAGTTACTGGAAAAGAAAAAACTAGAACCAGGAATTCCCTCCATCTTAAAACTGTTACATTAGTACAATGTTGGGATTATATCCATATATAGCCAAACTTTTGTTCATTGTCTTTGTTTCCTTGCCTTCCTGTGTTGACCCAGGTATCCAGAGCCCCAGCCAGATGGAGCTACTGGCCAAGCATAACCCGAGCAAGCCAGTGTTTGTGGAGGGCCCCTTCCCTCTGTGGCTGAGGAAGACGTGTGTGTACTACTACATCCTCAGAGCTGACCCCACGCCGCCTGAGGAGAAGGTGGGAAAACCTTCTGTTGTTATTATTATTAATTACAGTTATATACGTATTACTTAGTTTGGGATGATGTGGTTTTTGTAACTTTAATCCTGCCTAAATTTTCTTACTTAAAAAGTTACTAAGAAGATTGCCTAATGCAGACATTCCTAACCAGCCCACTGGACGCTTGTGGTGTGTGGAGACAGTGGTACTAATAATTAGATGAAAATACTAATGTGTTTTTTTTTTTTTATTCTAGTTATTTTTATATAACTAGCAAAATAAAAAAATGTAAATATTGTATTTTAAAAATAATTAAAAAGCAATATTTCAATGACTGGTTACAGCTGAATATCTCCACTTCAAATGTGTTATGCAACTGATAGCTAGCTAGTTCCCTCAGATGCAGTGACACAAAATGGATCGGTTTTTGAAACAAAAAGAAGTGATGTGGGAGGTAACCATGCGCCAGTAAAAGAGTGTGTGTTGAGGAAATATGAGCCTGACTACGTTGAATCTGGATTTATTGCAGGCAGCGATGCTGAGCCGAAAGCACATTGTGTTGACTGGGGTGAAATCCTGTCAAATGAGGCGCTACAACCATCAAAATGGGATGTGCTTCAGACACAACAGAAAGTCATCACAACATTAACAACTCAATCTAACTCCACTAGCTATATGGTATATTTAGCTTGGTCAGCTCACAGTGGTAGAACACATATTTATAGTGCAGTTTGGTTTTTCCTTTATTTGGGAAGTTGGTCCTCGGGACTTCATCTAAATGAATGACCTGACATACAACTACCTTATTCAGTCTCATATTTCTGACACCTTCACTCTTTGGGGAAGTAAAGAAAGTCTGTTGTTTGATGTGCAAAATGCGATGCAGAAGCTTGTTTTACCCAAAAGTGGACGTGGTTGTTCTGAAGACAAGAAAGTGAGGTACGGCTGCTCTCATCTATAAGTGAATTGTGAGTAATGTATGGATTGTGTCCTTTCCTCTCACAGAAGATGCTCTCGGACGCTCGTGGACAAAGAAAAGCAAAGAAAGCATCAAAGCTACTTTCCTTCCTATCTAATGATTCCCAGCTCTTATTGCAGCTGACACTCAGACGCTTCTGAGAAACATTCCTGATCAAAAACTGACCCCTGCTCAACTGCATCCAAAAAATGGATATTTAGCGTGCACAGTGGTAGACACTGAACTCTGTCTCTATCATTGCTGCAGAGACTTATCTCAGACTCTAACAGCTGTATCTGTACTCCCTACACAGATAGAGGAGCCATATGATCCAGAAAGGTGTTTCTTCTATCCTCTGCAGCTAGACCTGGATTTGGACCGTGACATGGGGGAGGAAGAGAGCTTCGATGTGGAAGACTGTAAGATACTGACACTGAAGCTGTCAATTGATTGTTCCTACTGGTGTTCAGAGCTGATGAGGTTATTCAGTTAACATCCAAATTAATGTTGGTCTTGTCACTTTTGTGTCTTGTATCCAGTGGATGAGGGTCCAGTCTTTGCCATGTGTATGACCAGCAGGGGAGACGAGGCCACCCTCAACCAGTGGATCTCTGGCCTCCAGCAGAACAACCCCATCCTGGGTCAGGTCCCCACTCTGTTCCGCCTGGACGCCGGGCCCAAGGAGCTGCAGGGGGCAGCTGACTCAGAGTCAGGCCACGACCACCACCAAAGGCCAGACCCAGAGACCCAGAGGGAAGAGAGACAGACTGAAAAAGAAATTGTAGAAGAAGAACTGCAGAGGAGAAGCCGGGGGATGAAACAGTGAACAGCAGTCAGACCGTGTGGTTGAGACTGACAAAAGTATCATGACTTAGTGTATGGCTGATGTTAGAAGTGTCCATGCTGGGTAAGATGCTGAACTAGTGCTTCATTTAACTACAGAACACACAAGCTTAGTAGAACTTGAAGATGACTCTGATTAATGTTGATCAGTAATCAAATAAACTACATTAAAAACGCTTCCTCATTGTAATCTCTGTCAGATGTTGCAGAATATACATTTTAATTAATCTTAAAGGTCCAGTGTGTAACATTTCAGGATCTATTGTCAGAAATGGAATATAACATTCATAGGTATGTTTTCGTTAGTGTATAATCATCCGAAAATAAGAATTGTTGTGTTTTCATTACCTTAGAAAGAGCTGTTTTTATCTACAGAGGGAGTGGGTTCTGAGGTGGGTTCCTTCGTGTTTCTACAGTAGCCCAAAACAGACAAACCAAATACTGGCTCTATATGGGGACTTTACTACAATGAGGTAGTAGGACAATTGTGGTGATGGCATAAAATGTTGCTTGAGCTTCAGAGTAAAGTCCAACTCTGACAAGAACAAATGAGACCATTAATGTGTTAAAAAAGATCTCAAAGAATAAGCCCAAAGGTAGAAAAGGTTTATTACTGAAAAGGCATTTAAACATTCCCTTTGAACTGGTAAACAAGTCATCAAGTCAGAATTACATTCTCAGAAGGTAGAATAGCTTGCTCCCTTCAAGCTATTCACACTGTGTTGTGGCTGTGCAAGCAGTCTCCTCCACAGCTTTGTGCTCAAACAGAAGATTATTTCAGCATTTTTACTCTTAATGAAAATCATCCAAAAACATGGGAATGCATTCCAGAGTTCATCTCCGATATACAACTGTTCATCCATTTACTACTCATGCAGGAAAGCCTTTGGATCCTCAATACTCACAAATGAGAAACGTCTGTCTAACATGGAGCTATCTATGGATGGGAATAATGCATCATCAATAATCATTATATAAGAGGAGATTCAATAAATAATAAATAAAGTTGCTCAAGAAATGCTAAACAGCACAGTCAAAGGAAAATTTGGCATCTCATAACCACTTAAGTATTTTGTGTATTTACAGTGCAGATGGTTGATGCTTTACGACACATGGCGAAGCTGATATGAACCACGGGAGATGATGAGAAAGTTACCGTAAAAAAGTTATAAAAAGTTGTAATCGAGGAATATATATATGGTTCAGGGTTTGAAGAACAGCATGGTGCTGTACCACATACAAAAAACAGTTCAGGGCGCCCATGCAACTATCTGATAAGGGTCTAGAACAGTCTCGGACCTGAATGCAAGCCTGCCAGCAAAGCAGAAAAAAACTTTATACAAAACAGAGAGTAACTGTTAGTTCAAACAAATGAACTACAGTAAAAAGTATGAGTTTCTTTTCTTATAGCTGGTTGAACAGGGGGTTTGAATCTAAATTTAATGTAGAATTTATTGTATCTATCAATGTCACAAACACATCCTGACATTGTATTTTAACGTTTTTTAACAAATTTTATTCATTAGTTGAATTGTTCAACAATGTTTGATGTACATTAATTCTCCATTTGAAACCAGTGATATATTTAGGATAGTTTGCTTATTACTGAATAAGGTACGGTGGGTCTGCAGAAGTTAAAGCTGCAGTAGGTAACTTTTATAAAAAACAACTTTTTGTCACAGTAGAACATCAGACAGATCATCTGTGTAACAATCAGGTTCCTCTGGCTCCTCCTAGTGCTCCTTATGGGATTTACAAGAATCCACCAGGTCTGGATGAAAACAACCAATCAGAGCCAAGAAAGATAGTTGATTATTGAGTCTGAGTCCAGGTTATCAAATAATACTGACAGTGGAAATGAGAGTCAACAATCCAACCCAAAGCATGTTTATATCTTTCTGCCCTCTTTCAGCAGATTCAGCAAATATGACAAAAAGTTATTTTAACTACTGACTGTTTATCAGTTTAGCTTAAGAAAGACTGTGTAACTTTTGAAAGAAGAAATAACATCACTCTTTTCTTAGAACAGGGCTAGGCAACCTGCGGCTCTTTAGCCCATCTCCTGTGGCTCCCTGTGGCTTTGATAAAAAAATGATATGGAAATGAATAATGGTTATATAATAGTTAATTTAAAAAAAAAGAGTCAAGTAAAATGTGTGTCATATGTTCTGACCTGGAGCCTTTCCTCTATATTTTGCTGAACCTCAATAGCAATGGCTCTCGTCTTCAGTCTGCCTCGCTAGGTTAGCTATGGTTTCCAAATCCCCAAAAGTCTCAGAAGAAAATAGAGAATTTAATAGTGTGTGAACAGATTTGTTTGCTTTCACCAAATTTTTGCAATGGAAATTTTGCAAAAATAAAAGACACTCCTAAAAGACACTGATACATACTCTTACTTGGCCAGTATCTTAGGGTAGCTAATGTTAGCAAACTTATATAACAACATACTGCGGTGTAAAGGACATTATTGAGTCTGCCTACTTTATGACTGTTAGCCCAATTCGTGACTAAGGAAGCAGCCACTTCCTGCACGTCTATGCGCCCCAAACCAGCTAGCTAATGTTGAGCCCTCTGCTAACTTGCATGGAGATAAAATGATTCAATTATCCATCTCTGACCACATTTATCAAATTCTGAGAGGGATAGTTCTAAGCTGTGATGCTCAAAAACATGGATTCAATTTCACAATGTATGTCCTTTTGGCTTGCCATACAACCAAAAGGCCTGGTCACAGTCATATTTTACAATAATTCGAATTAATTCCAATGGTATCTGCGCGATTAGTAGATGCACTTCCAGTGCCAAATAAAATGCGTGTGAATATTTTGTGTCAAGTTTAACTTTGGTCAACTCTGATTTTGGTCTTGACAGTGCTGACCTCTGAGGGAGAGCCGGAGAGTCCAAAATGGTGGAAGCTTGTAACCTGTTAGCTGAGCCTATTCACTGTTATTTAAACCTCCTGTGTATTGAGAGTATTAGGCCCTCCACAAAACACCAATGGTTTGGAGACAGTAATAAGATATAGGTCAACGGTACAAATACGAATTTTGGATGAACTGTGTGAACTTATTGTCTCATTAGGGACTAAGCTGCTGAGCTTTATCTTCTCTATAAACTTTATGTTGAACAGAGTGTAGTACAATGGTGAACACAAAGGCCATGGGGAAATAAATATAACAGAAGAGAATTTCCAGGAGCTATTATGAATGACTAGCACTAGCCTGGCTGGTTAGTGAGTTAGCGGTTAACTCATTAGCTACAACAATTGGTAGCTAACCTTACCTTTGCAAACCTTAGAGGAAAAATGACCTTTAACCTGATATCCAGCTGCTGGTTGTATTTTCAACGGTCACAAAAGGATAACAAAAATATCTGAAAAATGTTGAAACTAATATGAGAATACCTTTGATTGTTCCCCAACAGTCTGCATGGGAAACACTAGGTGACCATATCACGGACTTTCCTACAAAGTGCGGAGGTCACAAACAGGGCTAGGTTAAGCAAAAGTAAGTACACACAGCGTACATTACATCACCAGGACTTTGGTGTTTCCTGCTTGTGGTCCTGTTGTACTCGCTCTCTATCAGGTCACGTAATGCTGTCTTTAGAGCAACTGACTCAAGAGAATCTTGGGAAATGAGGGAAAATTGCAATTATCTAGTAAATGGCACTGATGGCCACATTGGCCACTGTTCAGCAAAAGTTACACAGTCTATTCAAAGACAGGGTTTTATTGTCTGTAGGAAACATTGAATGCTTATGGTTGTTAAAGTTTAAAATGGCTGAATTAAAGTAGAGCAAGAATATGAAAGTTATTTCAATATATCAGACAGGTCTACAATGCTTTTAGCCTAACTTAGCGCAAAATAATTTCCCAGGATGTTTTATTTTAAATATTTTAAATATGATCACAAAATCTCAGTTGTGGCAGCTTCAATATAAAACTTCCATTCTGAATTTCATGAACCCACATTACAACCCTGGTAGTAAATGAGGTAAAGCTGCTTTTCAGGGTGAATGTTTCCTATACAGCATTTTCTTTCAATGTGACTTTCTATTAAGGTAAACAAATTGATAAAAAAACATTACAATAAATAAATAAGACAAATAAAGCATGGGTTTTGTCTCCTGGTCTGTGGTCCTCAGTTGACTCGGTCTCTGTTGTGTACTTCTGCAAAACAAGTTAGACAGGTTTGGGAAATAAATAAAACAGCAAAGTCTTAGAAGGACAATGAAACATACTGAGGATTCTGCTATACAGTCTAACCAGTAGCTAGTCTGAGGATGTGTTTCCAACCAGCACATGTCATGGCCATCTGCCTATCAGACAATAGAATTTCTACCTCCCCTACAAAAGTTGCATGTGTGGTGCTGGAGAAAAAACTCATTCTACAAGACAGCCCCCTACCAAGCCGGGGTCTGCTCAGGGTTTCTGCGCCATGAGGCCACGTGCCTGGGTGAGATTAAGAAGCATTCTAATGCTAGGTGTAAATGGCCTGAGAATGATGGTACTGGTATCGTAAGGGAAACGGTGTGTCTTCCGGTGAGCTTCTTCATCCACCATATGTATAAACGTTAACAGGTGCTTGGCCTTCTCTACATGTCTTCTCTCTGTAGTCATACTGTACCTGCCAGGGCCCCGCTGTGCTGCTGGAGCTGGCTGGTGAAGAAGCGTTCCCGCTGGGACACCTGCTCGTCCCAGGCCTCAAGTATTTGCTGTTGCTCCCCTGGCTCCAGGGTCAGGGTGTCTGGGTGGGCTTCGTCGATGTGGGCCCTCACTCCCTCCAGGCTGTGTGAGTACTGCAGCTCCCCACACACCATGCACACCAGCAGCTGGTTGAGAGGATCGTAGTCCATGAGGTAGCGGTTCCTCCACACAGCGTCTGAGACTGGACCTTCCTCGTTGTTATTATTCTCATAGTCAGCGAACAGAAGCTCCGACTCATCTGAAGAGACAGTTGAGACAGAGAAAGGTTTGAGTCAGTTTCGCCATTCTAATGTGCATTCTTTTGGGTTCAAATTGACATAGTTGATACTCCACCTTCTACTGGTGCTGTGTAATTTGAGTATGGAAATGATCCCGGGTCGGTATCCACTGAAGTGCTGTGAAAGAGAGAGAACATTCATTATTATCCTACATAGAGCTGGCAGCAAGACACATTTTACAGGAGCAATACAAATTTCCCACCTCATTAGATGTTCTGACTCCTCAGAGGAGCTCACCCACTGACCAGAATCCTACACGGATTAGTCAGAGAGAAAGAAATCAGTTTGAAAGAATTTGAGATTGTAATAAAAAACTGAGAATGAATATGTTCACATTGTAGCAAATGTCTCCCAATTCAGTTTTTTTTTCTTACTGTATGACAATAAAGTAAATGTAATCTCACTTGAGGAACTTGATGGATGACATAATGGTCAATGGTTGCTTGTTTACTATTAACTATTAAATATTAGCCATATCCAGTTCCTGTGTTTAAACTAACGACAGCTGTATGCTTCATTTGACTTCATTTACTAATTTGAGACATAAGATAAGCATATGAGTATAATCAAGTCTGCGTCTACAATATCAGCCACCAAGACTGAAATAACAAGTGACGCTGGAGGGTGAGTTAAGGCAGTGTAGGTAACGGTGGAGCTTTTCTTGTTTTGTGTCTCTTTGTAGTTGTTTTTGTCTTTGTAGTTGTATTGTGTCCCTTTGTAGTCATTTAGCATCTCTTTGTAGTCATTTTACATTTCTTTGTAGTTTTTTTTTTTTGTCGATTTGTTGTCTGTGTGTTGTAATTTTGCATCCCTTAATAGTTGTTTTGCGTCTCTTTGTGGTCGTTTTTCACCTCTTTTTAGCCATTTGAGTGACATTCAAACAAGAAATGGTAGCAGTCAACGGCTGTGGTCCAGGAACCTGTGTCCTTTGCCCAGTAGGCATGTTCTGTGAAAACTGAATGTGTTTTGTGGGTTTTTTGGTTTGAGCTTGGATGCTATTAATATGTCACAGAAGGCCTATGTTACAATCAACAAAATGATATCTAGTTCTGATATGAGAATTATAGGATCTAGTACCTCTACCTTTGTTGAATTGTGAATGCTGAGTGTTGCTGAAAGCTCCATCACCATTTAATTCATTTAGTTAGTGATTACAATTAAATACAGACCAAATAAGGCTTGATTTTGGTCGTGTTTTGTCTTTGTATCTCTTAAGCGCTTTTTTCGCTTTATCTGTCTCTTTCTTTGTCACTTTCTATCTCTGTATCACAGCTTATTTGTGTATTGTGATAGAGAGATATCATGGATATATCAGTGGTTACATGGTTTATGAACACACATGTGGACTCTATCATACAATCAAATTCCAGTTTTCAGTAAGAACCTGAGAGGGGTTTTATTATCACTTATCTGCATTCTTCCTCATTTAATATGAGCATAATAATTAGATGAAGCCTCTAAGTATTTGTGCAGCTCTTACCTGTGTTTGTAGGTCCTGGGCAGGCAGGATGGGCCTCCAGTTGTTGGAGCTTCTCCTTGGGGTTATTCCCTTTTCCCGAATGGCCTTCCTAGCTCTCTGTTCCTTCTTTTTTATCCTCCAGTACTCCCGTTTCCTCCTCAGATAATCCTCCTCAGACTCCCCTAGGATGGGCTTTGGTGGAACCATGGTGCTTATAGGTGCCAGCTTAGTGGAAGGTTGTATCATATGTGCAGGGCTCTGAAGTTGGGCACAATGGATTTTTATTGGACTGAGGGTGGAATCTGGCATTTGACCAAGTGGTTCAATGGGTTGCAGGTTGATGCTGGACAGTGGGTTGTCTGGAGGCTTCAGAGTAAGGAGGCAGGGAACTGGGTCTACATCTGTGCTTCTAGACATCCACTTTCGTGATCCTGGCATGGCTTGTTGCTGATTCTCTGCAGCTTCTAGATAGTCAGACTCAATCTGTGAAGGCCCAACATTCACTTTGTTTTGCTCATTTCTGGGTGAACAGGAAACACTGGCGATGGGCAATTTGACCTGGAGTGTGTCAGGTGACTGGTCAGCATTACATGTTGTAGGGCTAACAACCAGGACAGTAGGGATACTGGTCACTGCAGTCAGAGAAGCAACAGATGGCCTGGGCTGAAGGGATGGTTTTGCTGGGGGATTTATAACCTTAACAGTGTTGATAATAAGACCTGGAGCCTGAAAAACAACATTAGCAAATGAGTTACCTCAGTTTCTCACAGATGACACAAATACAACAATCAGACAATAATCTGTCTGAAACATGCACGTATATTTGTACCGAGCTTAAAGTAGGCCCCTCTCTGTCACACTCCCCTCTATTTTTGCTGTTCGAGTGTCAAATGCCAGACAGAGGTTTGCACTATAATGATTCAGGTTTTTTAAAACACACATAATTCAAATAGTGTTAAAGGACAAAGTCTCTAAATGACTTGTGTGGGTTTCCAGTTTCTAGTTTAGATAACTATAAATTCAGTATAATCATCAAGGGTCGAAAGCAGATAATCTCTTTCTTTGGTGGTTTGTTTTGAAGGTCACCCACCACTTTGGGCACAAAGGTTTCCGTTGCACACCAGATAACATCCTGAGTGAACCAGATACTTTTTCATCAACACCAGTTAATGCCACGTCATGCCATGCTATGCTTTTGTTTTGTGAACATTTGGTGTCATGCTAGGAACAGAAAAAGTACAACAAAAGTAACTGGGCTCCGAAACATAGACCAGAATTTGAGAGCTCAGAATCTTGTGAATGCTTCACCGGTGGGACATTCCAATGGACATTTCTCACACTTACTTAGGCTTATTGTAATTGAAATGATGAGGTGCTCCAATTTTTAGCAGAGGGGTCAAGACCTAAGCTCTGTATAGTCTTTGTTTCTTCTTCTAAGATTTGTCCCCCCGACTCTCTCTCTAAGATCCAATCAAATCAAAACAGTGCTGTATCAACCATGTTCAATATTGGTCAATATTTATTTACTGCCACACAAGCATCTACACACTACAGATGGATCACCTGGATGTTTTTCTGGGAAAGCCGACTGCTTCCCTCTCCCGGTCTTTCTGTCTGCCTTGCCTTTAACCTGGCCCTCTGCTGCCTCTTCATCAGCTTCCAGTACTCCCTCTTCCTCTGCAGGCTGGTCAGGCCGCTGTTCTCCACACTGCGATGTCGTTGTGCTGATGGCAAGCTGCTGTTTTGGCACTGTTCTTGTGCCTGACACTGTTGTTCACAGTGTTGTTGCAGTAGTTGATCCATGGGTAGGTGATGTAGCTTTGGCGGCTCTGGGGAACAGCAGTTTTGATGGCCTGCTTTTTTGTTGCGAAGTCTCTGGGTTCTACGTGGTGAAGATGGGCTGTGAGAGGTTTCCATGGGGTTTACTATGAAGTTCGAACTGGTTTGGGATGAGTGCTCACAGGTGGGGTGCAGGTCTACCTCACTAGAGGTAGGAAGAGGTGGTGTCTCTGTAATTTGCGGTGAGTCCTTCAGATGAGGGTCTGAGGAACCTGTTTGTACCAAAGCATCAGTGTCTGGCTGCCAGCTCTTTATCTCCAACGTCAGGTCAGCAGCCATAGGAGCCACCTCATCCTTTTCAAAAAAGAGCTGAGATAAATTTGGCTTCATCTCTGAATCTGAACTCTCTTCTGTTGACTCTATTTTGATGTCAGTCTGCTCACTTTTACACTCCGCCACTGTGCTAAGTGATTCCTCCAGGAGTTTCTTCATAGAGGCCACGGCTAGCAGAGTAGTAGCTTGGCTGTCTGCATTCATAGCTGGGTCAGGCTCTGGCTGAGGCGCTGGAGGTGGTGTTGGGGGTTTGATATCTGGACAGATGGCTTGCTCTGGTTGAGAATTTAGGTCAACCGCTGGCATAGACTCACTCTCTTGTTTTATCTCACTTGTATGTGGCGTAACAGGCACACTGTTGTTGGGGAGAGGTTGTGCATTTCCTGTATGGTTAGTAAGCCTCCTGCCTATTGGTACAGTGCTTACTGCTACTTGCTTCTGGGACTTCCGCCTCTGTAAGGCCGCACTGACCCTCGCTTGCAAGACACCCTGCTTCAGCCGAGCAGCACGAGCTGCTCGCTGCTCACGTTTCTTTATCCTCCAGTATTCCCTCTTCTTTGCCATCTTCTCCTCCTCTGTCAGCTCTGGATCCAGAGAGAGCACTGCTGGTGCACTACTTGAGACCGCCATTTTCATGACACAGCCACCAAGGTTAGATCCTGTTGTTGATCCTCCAGAGATGCCATTTTGAGGGGTCTGAGGATGAGTGAGTGTGAGCTGACTTACAGTTTGGATATCTAACGAGTGTGAATTAGTTGGAACAGTTGTGCTTTCAAGTTGTGTCCTTGGTCTGATTGACAGTAGTCTTGGAGGCTTGTTGACAGACTGTACAGGAAGAGACAAAGAGACTTTCACCTGAGCTGGGTGGAGTGGAGGGGGAGGCTGGTTTACACAAATGGGTGCGATACTTCTCTGTTTAGTATCAGGCTGATGCTGAGGTTTTGTGACAGGGGTATTATTAGAAACTACATGAAGTTCCTCTTCACTTTTGTGTGCTGCTGTGTTGTGATCTGTAGGAACCTGGGGAATGTTAATAGTCACTGTCCCGTCCTCTTTGATGAACCCTCCAATGGTCTCAGAGGCGTGCGTGAGGGTGCTTCCTGCTGACTGTGTAAGCGCTCTGGCCCTCCTCATTTCCTCAAGGATTTTCTGGTAACGTTTCACTCTCCGCATCAGGGAGTCCTTCTCCTTCAACCGAGCCTTCACCTCCATCGACAGCTTAGCCCGCTGCTCGCGCTTTTTAATCCGCCAGTACTCTCGCCGTTTGGCTATTATCTGCTCAGGTGTGTCGTTGGGGTCAATCTTGGGGATATTTCTGGTACCAAAGACTGAGGCAAGCAATGGGGATTTACATCTTATATTTCTTTGATTCATGAAATTCTTCTGGGCTTCGATGAACCTCTGTCTAGGTGTTTTACAGCGTGCAATCCCTCGGGAAACATTGGAAAGATAGACATAACTTGGAAACTTTCTTTGTGTCTCCCCTGGCTTTTTCACAGAAATAACATCAGATGTCTGTGTCGTCCTATTCCCAGGTGGATTAGCTGTAGCTAAACTTGCTGCCCCGCTTTCCAGTTTATCATTTTCCCTTTTGGCAGATGTAAAAGAAGTTTTGACTCGAGTAGGACACTTCTGGCCTACTCCTCTGGATGGAAGATTCTGAAGAATCGTGCCACCCACGAGTCCCGTTTTTTGTGCTGTTTGCCTGTGTAACATCATCTCCACACCTTGTGTCCTTTCTCTGGTTTTAGCTATTCGAGCTGCCACTTTCGCTCTCTGCTCTCGCTTTTTGATCCGCCAGTGCTCCCTGCGCTTGGCCGCTCTCTCCTCCTCAGACTCCAGGGAAGGATGTGAGTTGCTAACACCTTTAGCCCTCTGCAGGGTGACCAAGGCACTCTTTGTTCCACTCTGAGGTGTTGTGTTCGCTGCTTTGCCCTCTTTTCTAACAGAAACAGGGCCATGTGGAGAAGACACAAGAATCATACCTGTGGTCACATTAGTGGGTGAGAGTTTGGGCTGAATGCGTAATGCAACTTGTGCCTTATGTTGCGTTTTGGAGACTGATGCTCCCTGCATAGACACACATGGCTGAGGTGTTGTTTTAGCTGAGCTGCCATTGGTAATTCTGGTCACTCTTACTGGAGGCACTGAGGAACAGGTGTTCAGCTGGGTTCCACTGGGTGTGGGTGTGGGTGAGGTAACGGCTCTGCTCACAGCACCCCTTGCTGTTAAACATTTCACTGTGGCTGCGTCACCCCCAGCAGTTTTGGCTGAGATGGAATACGATGCTGGCAACTGAGGCAAGACCTTGTTGAGTTTCATTGTCTGGAGCCATTTCTCCTTTTGGTTTTGGGTGGCTTCAACTGAGCTATTCCCCACTGTATTTCCAATCTGTAATACAGGAGAGACATTGGCTGTTTTGTCTGACTCATCATTACTCTGCAAAGGAGACGAGAAAGCAGCAAAGGAGCCAGATAAACTGGAATTCACCACTGCAGGGGGATTTAGATGTAGGAGCTTTTTCCCTCTGTCTTGCGTTGGCTTTCTTCTCCTCTCGGACAGTCGAGCCCTCTGCTCTCGCTTCTTGTTTCTCCAGTATTCTCTCTTTTGGGCGAGGGTGGCATCATCGTATTCTGCGGCAGGCCGGTAGCGGTGGGACATTGGACCACCTTTACCTTTTGCAGTTGGCATGCTATTGCCAGCTTGGACAGCCCATCAGTTCTCATCCAACAGTAGTGGTTGGCTCTTCCCTTGACACACTGGTTCAATTCATCCCCTCAGTCCAGAATCCTCACTGCCATTAACTCACATGGCGTCCTACTGTTTGATGCCGCAGTAGGTGTTTGTGCTCTGCTGAGCAGCTGCCAAATCTCTCAGACATCACATCGGAATGCCGGTGTCCTGAGGAACAGAAAACAATTCTTAGTTGCATTGTACTTTGTAATAAACCTGGCACTGTGAGCCAACAGTTGAGTGATTTGAGGCACCAATTTATGACAATTTCCCTATGAAAAGGAGATCTCAGCCTTCCCAAACAAAAAATACAACTTTTTCTGAGTCAAATTCAAAATCATCAATTCAATTCAACAGCTCAGCCATAAATTAATTCAATTCAATTCAACTATACACTCAGTGGCCACTTTATTGGGTATGCCTGTACAATTTAATGCAATCCAATTAAACAGCCTATCAATTCTACCTTTAGAACGATTGATAGACAGATGTTCAGTTTTTGTTGACACTGTCAGAGACTTAATTCTTAATTTAACAGTGGTGTTGTACTGGAATGCGTTACACTGAGAGGTGTTTCTAATGTTACCCCATTTACAACTACAACTGCAGCTAACTATTTTCATTTTTGAATAATCTGCCAATGATTTTCTCCATTAATTGTTCAATCTATATTATAGATTATAGATAGAATGTAAGATATTAATGGTGTGTAGGATTTATTTGCATCTAGCAGTTAGAGACTGCAACTCCCTAACTTCACGCTTCCCTTCCAAGTGCGAAGGAGAAACTATGTTGGCCACGAAATGCATGGAAAACTCCCATATCTTGAGTCAGTGTTAGGTTTGTCTATCCTGGGCTACTCTAGAAACATGGTGGTTCAACATGGCAGAGTCCACCATGTAGAAGTAGACCCGCTCCCTCTGTAGGTAAAAACGGCTCATTCTAACAGAACGAAAACACGATTCCAAAATTTAGGTGATTATACATCAATGAAAAAATACCTAAATAAATATTATATTACATTTCCGCCAATAAATCCTCCTAAATGTTACACACTGGACCTTTAACTTCAGAAATTGTAGTGTGTGAAGTATTATTATTAGACATCCATCTATTAACATTCTCTCATGACAAAAAAGAACACATGAATGTCATGTAATTTACACAATACAAAATGTTAAGGAACCTTACGTAAGACACCGGATGAACATTTCAGATGTGACAACAATCAGCACACAGGTTTATGAGCTTTCACATGTGATGAATTCTAACCATAAAGACATGTGATTGTCAGATAATTCATATTTGAGATACAAGACATAACATATGAACATTTTTGATTTTATATCACATTTTAAATGTGCCACATTTCATGTGGTTTATCACATGTGCAACATCTCCTGTGCAGTGAATACACATGTAGGTTGTGTTTTAGAACATTTCACTTGTGAAAACACTAGTTTCACCTGTGCTTGTTGTTAAATTCACTAACATGCTAAAAAAAACCATCATACTTGGCCTCACTATAACAAGTGCTCCATTTCCACTGACGCTTGTTTAAATGCAAATGAAACAGACAATGCATATGTAGGCTACTAGAACGCCCATCTCCTCTATCACAACACTAGTACACAGTGTGAGTACATCTATAGTTGCTCACATATATTAATGTACCATTGGAGAACATAAATATGAGGTATTTTCATCCCGCAGCATCTTTGCTGATATAAACACGTCGTGTATGTACAAATGTGTAAGCAGGAAGCAGGAAGGAAGCAGAGTGACACTGTCCCTTTAAACCTGTCCCTTTCTATCACAAATTATATCTGTCGAGAGCCATTTTTATTCTTTATTCTCTGCCTGTTTGGTTGTAAAAGCGTCGAAGCGAGCAGGCTGAAGCACATTTAGCATTACATACATTTAAAAGCCGCTGCATTAGAGCGCAAACCGAGCTCAAAGCGCTGTGTCTCTCAGCGGCACAATGGACAAGATCTTCCTCCTCTTGTCCACACGGACTGGCGCCTGTCTGAGTCCGCTGCCTGTCTAAAAGAAGCCAGAAAACCCGCACATTGCTGTCGTAAAGCAGCGCGCTTGGAAACGTGTGGAAGAAAAACATGCATAGCCGTTACCTTTGAGTTACACCTAACTTTCCGGGACAGTTTTAGTGAACGTTTTTTGGACAGATATTTTGCCAGGACACTGCAGCTACTTTCCGCCAGCCAGCCGTGCTCTGAGGCTGCCTTGACAACGCTGAAAAGTACCAGGATGTGGGACCTGGATGCTTGCTGTGTTTGTGTGTGTGTGTGTGTGTGTGTGACTCTATGGCGTGGACACACAGAGACAGTATAGTACAACGCCCCCCTAACCCATTAAGAGGACTGCATGAAAGATGATTTCACAGAATTGTGGCTGTGAACTAATAAACCAATGAGTCACAGCAGCATCAGGCCCAACCTGAAACTCATCTGTCATTTTATTATTTAGGAAAAGCTGAATGTGGCACAGCTAGGAGACAAATTCAATAACCAATCAAGAGATGATGTAAAGCTTGCAGTAACATAGCCTTTTCCAACTTGGAACCACTGGACAAAGGTCCATTGATTTATTGTTTTTTTTTTTTTTTTTACAGATGGCCTCAATTGACGTTTTGCAGAAGCAGCAGGAGTACAGTGCTGTTTGTGGTTTGAATAATGTGCACAATGGGTATCATTGCTTGTAGTAGAAGGGGCGGATCTAGAGAAATATTAGTGGGGTATCCAAAGGGTGTCATGGAGACTTTAAGTGGTGGCAGAAATATATTCTGATTTAATCACGAACAATCACATATATCAATATTTGCTTGGAAAAGCCCTCAAATAAAATATTATAACTCAAAAACATTATTGTGGCACATTAGTAAAGCATTGAATAGAAATATCTAAAGCTGGCATTAGAAATCAATACAATGATTTTCCCAAAAATAATTATTTTTTTCATTGGACTCACGGTAGTTCTCAAGGCTTTCTTGACATTTTAAGGGCCGTAAGAAAACAAAGTAGGTCTATGTCTGAGCATTTGGTTCATTCCATTAAGACATGTAAAGTAAATTCTCTAATAGAACAATGGCTAAGCACCACAGATCAGAAAACACTGGATTTGTCTAAAAAGAACTCAATTGTTTAAAAAGTTCCCTAAACAGGAAGTAATCTGCTCATCCAACTCACTGTTGTCACACAAACCTCTTGCAGTTACTGAGTTCATTATTTGGGTTCATTGTACAGTTTTGAATATAATATAAAGTATGTGACCTAAACAGGGGTCATCAATTTAATAAATTATAGAAAAGGGGGCTCTTAAGGCAAAATTTTGGGAACTATGTCTAAAATGTGGCCATAACAGAATTGATTTTAGTTTTTTAACACGTTCTTTTTTAAATTTATCTAAATGAATGTGTTCAATTTGACAGCATTTGACACCAAACTGGCAGCTGCCACACCATGCCCCCCCTCGAGATCTGCCTCTGTGTAGTAGTTGGCTTGTAGTAGAAGTAGTGGTGGACAAAAGTGGACACATTTTTGAATAAGATCTTATTTAAAGTCCACTGTGTAACATTTAGGAGGATCTATTCTCAGAAATGGAATATAATATCCATAGGTATGTTTTCATTAGTGTATAATCACCTGAATATAAGAATTGTTGGGTTTCCGTTACCTTAGAATGAGCTGTTTTTATCTGTCCATGTTTCTATAGTTGCCCCAAACAGACAAATCAAACATTAGCTCAAAGTGTGTTTTCCGTGCGTTTCGCAGCCAACATAGTTTCTCCTTTCCCTCCCGTCAGGCGAGAAAGTTGCAATCTGCAACGTAACCACTAGATGCCACTAAATCCCACGCACTGGTCCTTTTTCAAGAGGTGTGGGACTTGAGAGGGGGGCCCAATGTCCAACAAAATAATATTTTTATTTCAATACAGTTAGATTTTTTTTTATGTATTTTTTGCCTTTAATTGACATTGGCAGCTGAAGATAGACAGGAAAGGGGGACAGAGAGAGGGAAGGAACCGCAGCAAAGGGCCGCTGCAGCAAGGGCCGCTGCAGCAAGGGCTCAGCCTTGGTACATGGGGCGCCAGCTCTACCAGGTGAGCTAGGGCACCCCAACAATTTGAATTTGAAGAGAATGTTTAATTAGAACTTGAAAGTTCAAGTAATAATATTAATGAATCATACAAAAAATATTAACACAAGTACTGTCTGGACCAAAGGAGACAGGTTTACGAAGCCACACCCAAAAAAGAAGAATATTTGAATTTATATAGAATGAGATTACAACAAGTAACACAAGGTCAGATAATTATGTTTGAGATGTTTTATCAGATAACCAGTCAACATTTTAATTTATAATTTAAGGCATTTAGAAAAGACCAGTGTGGTATCTAGCGGTGTGGTTGCAGTTCGCAACTCCCTCGCATCACCCTCCTATTCTGAACGCGCAGGAGAAAATACGGTGGCTGCGACATGTGCCAAAACGCGAACATCGCGGTCTCCACAGAAGAGGGCCCGCTTCCTCTGTAGATATAAACAGCTCATTCTATGGTAACAAAAATAATTCTTATATTTATACACTATGATTATACACTAATGAAAACATACCTATGAATGTTATATTCCATTTCTGACAATAGATCCTCCTAAATGTTACACACTGGACCTTTAAAGACAACATTTGTGTGCTAGTGCAGCGTTTCTTTGTCTACTGATAGCAAACTAACAAAAAAATAAATAATTTGGGGTGTTTTTGACATTGGTCAGACAAAACAAAAAATATAAATATGTCAGTTTTTTTTGTTTGACCAAACAATAATTGAATCAAGGAAATAATGGACAAACCACTCAATAATAAAGATAATTATTGTATAATAACGCTGGGTATTATATGATACAAACAATGCAAATCAGAATCAGAAGAAAGAGACAATATATACAAATAAATGAAATCATTAAATGAAGAAATACTTGATGTTATTTTAAAATGATACTAGGCTATAGGCTATCACATATATACATTTTGTGCTGGGAATCCCATATATTATATTGTGCTGCGGATCCCATATATTATAGATGGGATCCCCAGCACAATGTCAGGAGCTGGAGCTCATGGGGGCCTGATTTGCAGCGGACCCGCCTCGTGTTTTAACCGCGGCTCTGCCGAACCAACCCGCTCTACGACCGCATGATTTAGCGAAGAACAGCAGCTTTAGTATTAGCAGCTTATCTGTATTAGCGCCTGCTGCTGCGCCGTTTGCCCCCCCGCCCCCCGGGGTGGGTGTGCATTGTCGACGCTGCTACTGTCTCTTTAAATTTACCCAGGAGCCCCTTAAGGAGCCCCAGGGGCCCCTAGTCCGGCTCCCCACCCTGAAGACAAGCAAGAGCCTTAAAATACATTACTGGAGGCCTGTCGCTGAGGCGCTTCTACAGGGCGTTCGGAGGAGCGGGCGGTGTTCGCGGGCGGATACGGGGCTTCTGTGATTATATGAAAAGTTAACTTGGCTCCCGAGCGGGGCGCGTGGGGGGGTTGACATCGTAGAGCACGGGCTCCTCTGCCATGGGCTCGTTATAGAGCGCCTGCCAGATGCGTGTCGAACGGTGCCGAGCGGTGTGGACAGTTGAGTGACATGTCCCGCTTCAACGTTACGACACAGTGAGGGAAGGAAGGAGGGACGGTAGCCACGAGTGAAGCAGCGGCCAGGCCAGTGATGGAAGAGAAAGACACGGGGGGAAGCGAGCCCGTGGACCTCCGGTGTGCCGAGCAGGCTGAGCTGCTCTCATTAATAATAAGCGGGGAGGAGGAAGCGACGCAAGAGGAGAGTGACTTGGGAGGTAAAGAGAAAAACTAGTGTTGTTATTGTCGGTGTTTCCCACCGCAGTGTGGCTCTGCGTGGCTGTCAGAGCCACGGCCATTGTCAGGCAGCCAGTTAATCCGTGTCAGGGACAATGCCGTGGAGCAGCATGGCCCCTCCGTCTCTGTGGCTCCTATAAACAAAGGCTCAACAGCACGCAGGCAGGCGGAGCGACGCAGCTGCCACCTAGCGGGCAGCGGCGGAACAGCCCGTCTCAGACCTATGAATAAACAATAATAATATATGGATTATTGGAATAAATCAGCAATTACTTACTGTAATTCAGTCATTTTTGGGTACTTGAGGTGAGCAAAGCAGCTCAATTTAGGGACTGAAGATTTAGAGAAAGAGAACCCAAATGGAGACAGATTTTTAGGCCCTTGTCTGGCTGTTTGTCTGCAGTGCACTGGGGGAAATGTATTTATTATTACATGAGTTCTACACAGGTTCAGAAACATTTTAGTATACCTTAACAGACAGAATAAGAAAACAAGTTAACATAGTTGGATCCCTCTGAAACAAATGCACAAAAATACAGTTTTATCCAAGATGCTATGTAGACTGGAATTTATTTATTATTTCATATGATATGCAGGGTTCCCACATGTCTTGGAAAACCTGGAAATGTAAGGACTAGTTTTCCAGTCGTGGAAACAACTGGAAATGTGTTAAAATGACCAAATATACTGGAAGTAACCTATGTTGTCTTGGAAAAGTTAAATTCTCTGCCCCCCTCTCAGATCGCCTACATAAACCCAAGTTCATATTTTGTTTGGAACCTGTAATGAACCCAAGAAACTTCATCATGAACCCACATTAAAGAGGAGGAAGTAAACTGGAAGTAATAAAACTGTGTGTTAATACTAGGCCTACCAGTAAATTGTATGATTGTGAGTGAAGAGAAGTGCTGTCCTTGGCTGTCAAGAAAAACTCCTGGAAGATGTCCTGGAAAATGATATACAGATCTGGACACAGATCCATTACCTTGAACACCAGTGAATCTTTCCAGATACAGGTCCTTTTTGTCCAGTCTATTCATACTAGGGCTACACAATATGGTTAAAAAAAAAAAAAAAGCACATTGCAACTATTTTGACAAATATGTGTTTTACGATTTGTGCAATCACAATTTCAATTTTCACAGAGAGAAAACTATTGAAATTGTGATGATGTGACATTTTTTTTACATGTTTTCTTAAATCTGGAAACAAGATTTGTAGGCCAGGACATCTCTGTCGAACTACAGTACTTCATTATAATGCTGTTTGTTGCACATTTTACTTTTTAAGTAAATAACACATCTTTGGCATTCCAGTACTGCAATTTCTGGTCACCCATCAGCCTACATACAGGTTGTAATCTATATACCAATACTGTTTATTGGTCAGGCTCTAATTTATAGTAGGGATGAGCAGGTACACTGTTATCTGTACCTGATTAGCCAACTAAATGATCTGTATGATTCATATCTGTACTTGCAGTGGGCGGGGCCAGACATTGTTACTGATGATCAGAAGTTGCTATATTGTTTAGATAAATATATTTACAGAATTGCTTCAGAGCAATGTTTTTAATCCCAAGTGTTAGAGAACTATAATCTGTTATGATAAATTGCTATATGTACTGTATCAGGGTAGAAAATGTGTAATATACTTGCACTTTATTGAACTGATCAGACAGTTCCACATTAGATGCAGTGTCTTAGTCAATGTCATCACTAATTTTAACAAACAAATGTATAAACCTTAAAGACCAACGAGCCTAAAAAGAAGAATGTTTACATATACATTAGGCAGGGGTGGATCTAGAGGGGTGGCTAAAAAATGCCTGGCCACCCCAGTTTGGTGTCACATTTACTACTTTAATTTACATTCCTTTAAGAAATAACATTAAAAAACAGAAATGAATGGAATGATGTGTTATGGCCACATTTTAGACTCAGTGATAGACTTAAGTTCAAAGAACAAAGACATGTATTTGAAAAAATGTCAACACATTCAAATACAACAATGTACTGATTTCTAATTCAACCTTTAGACATTTATTTGCCACAACAATGTTTTTGATTTCAAATATCTTTTCCAAGCAAATGTTGATATATGTGATTGTTTGTGAATAAATCAGCAGATATTTCTGCCACCCTCTAGACACCTCATGACTGGTTCTCTAGATCCACCGCTGACAGAAGCTAAGAAGTGATGCGCACTTCCAGTGTTGTGTTACTTAGTTTCAGTCAGATGCACACAGAGACATTAACAGATTTTTAGATTGAAAAAGAAAAATGTACTGTTTCAGATTGGTCTTCCATATTGTTTTGGAGTTGGTGTCAGAAGATAATAAATAGGATGGGTGGTCCCTAATTACATTTACATGTGTCTTTAAGATTTTAATGGCTATAAATTGATCAGTGTTGATCAGTTTGTCTCTTGTTCCTGTCAGAGGAGGACGGCCTCGCCAATGGCCACGGTGAGGAGGAATCAGAGGCCGGCATGGTCACACCTGTCAGGTCTCCAGGCACCAGCTACTGGAGCATCACAGAGGGCCCGGACCACCCGCTCCTCCTCTCCCCAGCCCCTGGACCCTCCGGACGTAAACCCAGGGTCCAGAGGGCCTCGCGTCCCGGCCTGAGCCGCATCCCGGGCCGTGACCACCGTCGCTATTACCATGAGTACTGGCGCAGCGAGTACCTGATGGACTTTGACCCCCAGCGGCACGGGATGATCTGCATGGTGTGCGGCAGCTCGTTGGCCACCCTGAAGCTCAGCACCATCAAGAGGCACATCCGACAGAAGCACCCTGACTCCCTGCTGTGGAGCGCCGCCGACAAGGAGGTCATCCGCTCGGGGTGGGAGAGCCACCTGAGCCTGGGGGGAGGTCAGAGGTCATACAGTTCTGCTGCTGGGCCCTCACCTAAGAAAGAAGAAGAGCACCTGGACTCAGACCAGCATGCTGCTGGTGGGTAGGAGTTTCTGAATCTCACACTTGGTGGCAGTATGAGTTCATGTCTTGGCTGGTGGTGTGTGAGGAGAGGATGATGTAATGATTTAGTGATGGTGTGTTGGAGTGTGGAGAGGGAAGGACTGTGCCTGGACTGTTCTCAGCTAGTTTATGTTTCAGATTTAAAATGACAAAAAAAACCAACTGTTGAATATTTTGACTGTAATAACACCGATTACTCAGGTTTTGATCAATCCTTTTCAAATTAAAATTATTATTAATAATTATTAATAATTATATTTTTCACATGAAAGGCAAATATACTATAGCTTTTGAAATTACAAAATAAATAAGAAGCCAAAAATAGGTTATTATTTAGCTGTGTTCATGTGCTTATGAGGAAATGTGACATCTGAGCTGTAAAATGACACCGCTTTGATGGGCTCTTTTGCTGGAAAAGAAAACCCAGGAGACAATAGGAAAACAAAAGTAAATAATTATGGAGGCAGGAGTTTTGACTTTAATCAAAAGTAGAGTTCACCCAAAAATACAAAGGTCAAGAGTCAAAAGTCTCCCCTACACAGACCTATATGTCCTTCATTAAGGTATGACCTTACACCAACAATAAAGTAAAATAAGTACAATTTTAATTTTATTAGGTCAGTTGACTGCTGAATTATATTTTCTGTTACATATATTAATTATTATAATACTACTACTACTGGAAGTAGCAAAACATTTATTTTGTTTTACAATTGTTTAGGAACACACATTGCACGGACATTGCCACCATTCCTGCTCATAGTTCCACGCTGTTCCACTGACTGTGGCTGAAAAGCACAAAGAAATGTAGCAATGTGCTTGCAAAGGCCGGGGAGAAGAAGACAGCAGGCTAGCAAACATGGAATTTAAAGGTCCAGTATGTAGGATTTAGTGGCATCTAGCAGTATAATTGCTGATTGCAACAACTGCGCCTCACCCTCCTGTTCCAAGTGTGGAGGAGAAACTATGGTTAACACTATGGCAAGCATGAAAAATGAAGTGGTAAACTGTATTTTCAGAAACAAGGTTGTAGGTTTGATTTCCTACAGCATAGTTGTTTGATAGCTTAGTTGCTAATTTCTTTTTGTTTTGCATGTGTATTTGCATGGGTTTTCTCCTGGCTTTCTCCCACCTCTCCTGCCATTACCGCTGAACAAGGCACTAGCGCTAGAGTTAGAGTTACTTTGATTACATCCTAAATGGTTAGGGTGCAGAGGATGGATAGTCCTACTAGGATTAATAAAACATCACACACAGTTGATTTTTTTTTTTTATTGAAATGTAACAACAAAAATTCAGCACCCCCTGTGGTTGTAGATGTTCCCTTATCGATCCCATATAGGAGAAATTCAAGTCAGACACAGCAGCATAGGGGAATGTAGTGCAAAGTAGAATATAGAATCACAAAATAAGAATATTATAAGATAAAATAGAAAATATAAGACTATATAGAAAAATATATTCACTATATGCAATGTGCATACAATGGTGTGCAAAATATCTTAAGCATTGTTAAACTAAAAACCAAACAACCAAACTGTACATGTGCATTTAAAGATAATAGTTAGTGCGTCGGAGGTTGTAAGTTAAACCAGTCTTTGTCTGCGGGGGTTGGAGGTACTGGGTGCTGTGGCGTTGTGGAGTCTGATGGCTGATGGTACAAACGAGCCTCCAAACCGCTTTGAGGCTCGGGGCTGGGTCAGTCTGTAGCTGAACGTGCTCCTGAGCTGCCTGAGCTCAGTGTAGAGAGGATGAGAGGGGTTGTCCATGATGGCTTTCAGCTTCCCTCTCATCCTCTTTTCAGTCACAGCCTCCATCAAAAAAGACACAGTGACTAACAGCAGCAAAGCCTGAAAAGAACTCTTTTAAGCAGTAGTTTAGCAGTACATTGCGTCCTCCACACATCAGAAATTCTACTTGTCCTTGAGGACCGCCTCTTTGTGGAGTTCTCTCTCCTGATTGGATAAAGTGGGAACGGGATAGGAGAAAATGTATTCTTTGTCTATTGCAGAAGGGAGGGACTGGGAGACTCACGTTACTGACTCAGCTCTCTATTTCAGGGATGGCTGTCAGAATGTAGAGATATTTAACCATATTTTGTAAAAATGGGTCTTATTCCTTTTGTCCATTATGCACAACATGATTATTTTGACCGATATTGCAATTCACGATTAGTGGAAGTGAACATTTTTGCATCATAATTAAAAAAAAAAAATCACTTTCAGCACCTTTCATTTTATTTTGTTTTATATTTTTTAACCACAGCAGAACCTCCATACCCTGTGACACCCAAGGAGCAGCAACAACAACCTCTCAGTCTGTCCCCCCACTCTGAGGAAGGTGAAGCCCCCCGGCCCGAAGAAGAGGAGCAGGACCTCCCTGGGCCATCAGCCCGGACCCTAGAGCGCTACCTGAACGACTCGCTGCACGCCTGGTTCCGCCAGGAGTTTCTGATGGAGTACGAGGCGGAGGCCGGCCGGCTGCTGTGCATGGTGTGCGGAGGAGAACTGCCCTCGCTTCACCTGGACCACATCAAGAGCCACGTGCTGGACACCCACCCCAACTCCTTGGTTTACAGCTCCGAGGAGAAGCACTGCATCCTGCAGGCCTGGGCTCAGACTCATGGTAAGAACAGAATGTTGTTAATTTCTGCTGGACACAAGATGTCTCCTCCTTCACTGTAAAGTCCATTCTCAGTGGATGTGCACTGGTGGCTTCAAGTTTCTACATCACACTGTACAAGTTGCATACTGGACCAGGACTGACTTCCTAACTATTTGTGATGTCACAAATCATGCTGGTAGGCCCCGCCCCTTAAAATCAGATGTTCAATGATCACAGAGAAACTTTCCACTTTCAGCAGATGAATGTGAAAACATCCTTCTAGAGTCAAACTGCACAGACAGCATTCAAACAGCACACTGTAGGGACAGGGAGAAACACTGATTCCTGACTGGAGGGCCGAACGAAAACGCGTTGTTAGCTAGACAGGTAGGCTAGTGCTGTTTGTCTGGCGTGTGTTTTAACTGGCGTAAGATGGAGGAAAAAAAAAAAATGAAAAAGACATTGATTTTAGCAAATAAAATACTTTTACACTACACAATGTCCCTTTAAACACTATACTTTTGGTCAGTCTATAGAACTTGAATAGGTATAGTTAGATTCCTCTTATCATTTAGTCTTATCAGTCTGAAATGTGTTGACGTCACTAGCACAAATCCACCACCCACCAACTCTTTTTTATCACTGCTTATCTGGATCAGTGTTGCCATGGTAACAGGGTGAGCCGAGCAGCCTGGATGTCCCATCACCCACTTGAGTCTATCAACACTGCCTCCCGTCCAGAGTCTGTGTCTGCCCCTCAGTGTGTTCCATTTATAATAATTATTTGGTTTTATCATTCAGTAACAGTTCCCATGATTCCCCAGGCACAGTGCCAAAGCTTCGTGGGACATGTAGTTGCCAAAGAAGTAATATTTGTACATCTTTCTATCTTTAATATGTTGTATAACAGAAGAGTCAGAAAACTCAATCAAATCAGAGCCCAACACCAAAGATGGCGGGGTGGACCTCTTTGCTCAGGATGTGGAGGCCATCCAGATCAACGCTGACTTGTACCCAGAAGGTGATGGCACTTTAACTCAGGACACCTGTCTTATCGGTGAGGATGGCGGTGTTGGAGCTCCGCAGCAGGGACCCCAGCCCCTCCGCCAGCCCAGGAAGAGGCGGCTGCGTGGGGGTGACCCCTGGCGACTCCGTCTCGACTACCTGGTGGCCTACGGGCCCCAGGGCCAGGGGACGTTCTGCATGGTGTGTTCTCAGGTGCTGCACGAATCCAAGGTCAGCAGCTTCCGACGCCACATCCAAGAATGTCACCCCGAGACCACGACACTGAGCCGACAAGAAAGGGAAGCCATGGCAGCTGCCTGGACCAAAGATTATTCTAGTGAAGGCACACACATTCAAGATGGTGAGATGCTTTTAGCCGCAGTGACTGTAATACTGTAAATAATTCTCAAATAGTGGTGTTTATTAAAGCTGCAGTAGGTCATTTTTATACAAATATTTTGAGACAGGCCTTCATTCCTTATTTTCCCTGTTTCATCTGTATATATTATCCCTGACCTCTGAATTGCTGCTTTCTTTAATTTGCTGTAAATTGACATGGATTATGCTGCAGACAGTTTTGTGGTGCAGCTCTCACTCAATACTGATCTAGTTTCAAAAGTTGTCTGCCCCATTAGTCACTCAGACAACAGGAAAAACAGGATAATGAAGGTTAAAATACTTAAAGATACTGAGGTATCCTTGAACTATCAGCACCCTCCCTCTCATTCACTTGTTGTTTTAGCAGAAATAAACTCGAGCGGAGAAGATGTGCTAAACACCACAGGAGAGATGAACGAGGACGCCTCCCCCGATGTCAGATCACCCAGCAAAATGGTGAAGAAGGAAGAGGGCGTGAGCGGAAGCAAGGGTAAAGCAAGGGAAGGCGCCGCTGCAGCCACGCCCTCTCGTCACGGCCATTACCCCGGGAAGGACCAGAGGAGGAACTACCAGGTGCGCTGGCGGATGGAGTACCTGATGGATTACGACTGCCGCAGACACGGGCTAATCTGCATGGTGTGCGGAGCCACCCTGGCCACGCTGAAGGTCAGCACCATCAAGAGGCACATCCAGCAGGTACACCCACACTCTCTGGACTACAGTGCGGAGGAGAAGCAGCAGGCCCTGCTGAGCTACAACCAGACTGCGCTGCACTTCATCCACTCCGATGACTGCTTTTCCTCCCAGGACCACGGGCACACCGAGCTGGCTCCAGCTCCAGCACACTTTGGCACTTAGAAAGGGCTTCCGTCCGTTGCTCCTCACACGGCCCCTGATCAGAAACAGCCCTCCGCCCGCTTTCTTAAAGGGAAATTCAAGTAGGTATCAAACAAGGTCCCTCGTCCCCTCTGACCTTATTCTTGCTAGAGTTGAAATCTCTCAAACCTCTACAATGCAGGTGCTGAGTAAAATGTTATTTCGAGCTGTTGTCGTAATTAGGGCTGCACATTTCATCTAAATATTAGCATAATCGCAATATGGCCAAGTGCAATATCCAAAAAGCAGAAACTGTGTGACCAACAGGATTATAATGAAGTACTGCAGAGATGTCCTGGTCTACACATCTTGTTCTTTAAATGTAAGAAAACATTTTTGTTGCGTACATACCTCAACAAATGTCACATCATCATGGTTTTAATACTTTTTTCAGTGAAATTAAAATTATGATGCAAAAATGTTCACTTCCACTAAATCGAGAATTGCAATATTGTTTAAAATAATCCCAATATGATTCTGTTGACCCTGTCGTGCACAGCCCTAGTCATAATGGACAAAAAGAATGAGACCCATTTTACGAATACTGGAATTTCCCCTTTAAATCTGGATCTGAGAGTACTGCTGTGGCAGGAAGCAGCCGCCACAGAGTAAATGTCATAGCCCAAAAAATGAAAGTCCAGCCACTCAAGTGAAAGTAAAGCCTCATCTGCACTGGGTCTGTGTCACCTGAGGACCTGGTGAGATTCATGAAATGCGTGCACGTTTATAGGGATGCACAAAATCTGCATTTGCTTAGATTTACTAAAATAACATTTTATTAGGGCCAAATCAAATCAGCATTGTGATAGTGACATTTGGCTAGTGCTAGCATGTTCACGGCTAGCTAGCATGTTACCAGATAGTGCACCAGGTACAGTAGCTCGTCATCTAGCCTCACAAGTACTGGCTCGCTGAGGCCTCATTAATCTGCATGGTGCTTCTGTGTTGAGTTAAACTGTGCTGGACTTTAACAATCCAGTGTATGCTATGGAGCAACAGCAGACTGTGACTCCAGTGTTAACTTATTGTCTAGTTAGGGAGCCCCCCCATTGGGAGTTAACAACCCCACCAAGGTTAAAAAAAAAAAAATCCCCCCCCCCCCAAAAAATTACATAAAAAAAAAAAAAAAAAAAAACAACCCCCCAAAAAAACAAAAACAAACCACCCCAAAGTTTTAATTTTACCCAAAAAAAAAAAAAAAAATTAAATATAAAAAAACTCTTTTTTGCCACCCCAAACAAAAAAAAAAACGGGGGCGTGTAAAACAAAAAACAAAAAAAAAGAATATGAATTTTTTTTTTAAACCAAAAAAAGGATTTGTAGTCATTGTATGTGCTTTCCAAAGGTGTAACATTTAGGAGGATCTGCTGTCAGAAATGGGATATAATATTCATCGGTATGTTTTCATTAGTGTATAATCACCTATACCTAATGACCTTAGAATGAGCCGTTTTTATCTTCTTCTGGTGGAGTCCGCCATGTTGAACCACCATGTTTCTACAGAATGGACAACCCAGACACTGGCTGTAGATAGGGCCTTTCACATTTTTCACACACACCCATGCTCAGAAGGTGAGTGGTATTCAGTTAGTTCCACCACTAGATGCCACTAAATCCTATGCACTGGTCCTTTAACTCTCAGGTCCAGGAAGGGGCCCAGGGCTTGTTTCTGGTCGGGGCCAGAGTCTTACGCTCTCAGGAAGTTAGAAACAGAGTCTTCGGCGAGGCCGAGGTGAGTTAGTTTATGATAATGTGTCTGAAGACAACGCAGCACTTTGTCCCCAAAAATGTACTAAACCCCAGCGTTCCTTCTGTACAGCCAATTGAATGAGACTGTGTTTGATGTTATTGCTGAAGACAATGAATGCCAGCGTGCAGTCTATTTAATTCCTTGTTTACAGTGGAGGAGAAGGACGCCATCCTCTCTCTCATCCATTATAATGAGATATGTTATCTCTCTGTCAGTTTCCATCGTTGCTACACCGGCCTGCATCCTTTTCATCCTCTACAACTCATTTTAGGTAAAACTGCACAAAAAAGAATATGTAAATATATGAAAAAAAATAATTATTTTTCCTTTATACAAGCACTTTTATGCACCCTGGTTTCTACAAAACGTGTTTGTAATTATGTCCAGTTTTTCTACTTCAGAGAAGATTTCAGCAATGATGATCTTACACGGCTGGAGAGCGGCTGGTTGGACGTTTGCTTTGAAAAGTTTGCTCCAGTCTCGGTACTGTTCATTTCTCCATTCACTGTACAGAGTGTGTGCAACAAAAGAAGTTGAAGAAAAACTTTCAGCTGTCTAAGAAAGAAAAGTCTGCGATAAAATGTCACTTCTTCACCGGGAAAATGTAACTCAGGGATTCTGTTTTCATCAGCAACCATTTCATCAGTGATCTTGGCTGTTGACATTTGAAGATACTGGATACATGTGTCAGCTGTGGTTGTATAGGTGATGCTATAAATACGACAGAGTATTAGGGCCACTGTTGAAGCAAAAACAAACAAAAAACAGAGATTTTGTTCAAATATCTTGTAAATTATAAATATTAGAATTAGGTTGTAATTTTCAGGTATAGCCATAATATATGAAAAAAGTCAGTATTTCAGTGTTGATTTTCAAATAAAGTTGTGATTTGGAAAAAAAAATGCTAATATTTTGAGAAAAAAAGTAATTATATTTGAAGGAAATGGTCATGCTAGAGTGCAATTGGATTTTGAGGAAAAAGATCAATACGAGAAAAGACAAAAGACGGAATTAACGTATTTATATTTAATTTAATATTTTGACATAAAGTTGTCATTTTAGAGGAAAGAAGAAAAACTAAAACATGCACATATAATTTTATCGACGGAATCCACTTTTTAGGTGGTAGCGGCTCCAGTGCATGCCGCAAAAAATTCCAAAAACAAAGCCCCAGTGTCCCTATTACTCTGTTGTACATTGACAGAATTTGCTCAGTTGAAGCTTTTGATACTGATGTAACAGTGAAGGACAAGCAGCACTGTGACAGCACAGAAACGGTGTCATATTCCCACTTTATTGGTTCACTTTGGCTTAGAATAGGCCCCCACATCGCTCTAGAAGAGTTCTGGCATAGCACTTAATTATTTAAAATGAAGTAAGTTACAGTGAAATGAATGATAAAACATTTGCTTGTGTGTGTGTGTGTGTGTGTGTGTGTGTGTGTGTGTGTGTGTGTGTGTGTGTGTGTGTGTGTGTGTGTGTGTGTGTGTGTGTGTGTGTGTGTTTATACTGTGTATGATGGTGTGGGGAGAGACCTGCTCCTCATTTTTCTTCACTTTCACCTTTCATCTGTACATGGCCAACATGTGACATATGCATTCTCTCCTCAATGATCTTTGAATAAATACTCAACACCATGAAACTGCCACCATTTATTTAGTCTTTTCTGATTTGGGTTATGTTCCTTAGTTCCAATGCAGGGGGCTGATAATGCTACATTAAAGCTGCAGTAGGTAACTTTTATGAAAATATTTGTCATGTTTGCTGGAACTTTCTCTATATCCTGACAGTAGGACGTGAGACAGAATCACCTATCTTTCTTGGCTCTATTGTAGCTTTAAGATAAGATTCTGATTTTGGAATGATCTCTCACATACAGTAGCTGTGTGTTATGTTCACATAATGTGTCCATATGCTTTTGGCCATATAGTGAACCCCAAACATGACTCCTCCTCATCACGGGCATCAGAAAAAAAAGTTGACATATAATTATTTATAATAAAAAGTAAGATATAAATAAATAGAAAACAATATAAATAAATAAGATCTGATCCATTCAGGTCAAACAGAGTCAGGGATTTTAGCCAGATCCAATTATGCTGGTAATTCTTATTCAGCTAACAGTCCATTAACTACTAACTACAGAAGTTTGTATTTAAAGATCCTCTCCAGACATGTATGAAGACATACACTGATCAGCTTTAACATTGTGAGCACTGACTGGTGAAGTGAATGACACTGATTATCTGGTTATCATTGCACCTTGGTGGGATAAATTAGGCAGCCAGTGAACATTTTATCCTCAAAGTTGATGTGTTAGAAGCAGGAAAAAGGGCAGCTTGAGGATTTGAGCGACTTTGACAAGGGCCACATTGTGATGGCTAGACCACTGGGTCAGAGCATCTCCAAAACTGCAGCTCTTGTGGGGGGTTCCCGGTCTGCAGTGGTCAATGGTCGGCCAGAGCTCACAGATCCACCTGGGGAGTGAAGGCTGGCCCGTGGGGTCGGTTCCAACAGACGAGCTACTGTAGCTCAAACTGCTGAAACAGTTAATGCTGTTTCTGATAGAAAGGTGTCAGAACACACAGAGCATCACAGTTTGTTGGTGTGGGACTGTAGGTGGTCATAATGTTATGGCTGATCAGTGTATATACCAGTGGTCTGCTTGGAACAATAATGTGTGTCTGATGTGTGCACCGTGATGTCACAATTCATGCTCATAGGCCCAATGTGATGATGATCAGAGAAACTTTCCACTTTCAGCAGATGAATGTGAAAACCTCCTTCTAGAGTCAAACTGCACAGACAGCATTCAAACAGCACACTGTAGGGACAGGGAGAAACACTGATTCCTGACTGGAGGGGAGCTTTAAAGCTGCTCTGAGAAAATTTGAGGCTAATATCAAATCACGCTAACTGAAAACTACACCACCCGGCTATCTGAGCTGTATGTTCATCTGTAACATAGCTGCTAACTTTCTAACACTTCATTTAGCATTTATGACTGCAGCTTTGATTTTATTATGTAATACATAGGCTTTAAACGGGATGTCAAGTCTGCATGTTACTATTAACACTTAATGGTTTTAGTACACTGGCCTAGCCTAAAATTAGAAACTATAATCCCTTCTCCACCCAAACACCATAACAGACAGCAGACTCAGAAGTCAAATCTTCTTTAGATATTTCATCTAGAGGCATTTTTTAATCCTCCGTCCACACACATCGTAAGCATGCTAGGAAATAGTTGTTTTTCCCCCCAAGGCCCTCTGGGAGTAGCCTTTACCCAGAGAGAACAGATCCACCCAGCCAAGGTCCTTTGACGTGTTTTTATTAATTTCACTTTGACATCAGTACAGAGACCACATACTTTTCTTTTTTTTTCAGTTTTTTTTTTTTCCTGCAACATCTTTCCCAAAGCTTCAAAAAATTGGAACCAAAGTCATAGCTAATACAAAACAGAGCTGATGTTAGTGAACAACGTCTAGATACCAGTAAAGAGTCAAAAGCAAAACAGGACTTGCCAAAGACAAAAAAAAGGTCAAACACACTCCTGCCACACACTCCCATACAGGATGAAAACAGGGACAAACAGGAAAAGGAGAAAAGCAACATGCTGTGAGGGAACAGGATCAAATATGTGTCGAATTTTATTCATATTATATATTACACTACACTTACACTGAGAAAATAACTATGGTTCTGAGAAGAAGTCATCTATTTAGCCTTGGTAGCACACTAACACAGGTAACATGGCCTTTCCTGGACTAAAGTTTTACTTAAAGGTTCTGTATGGAAGCTGATGGGGTGAGGTCAGACTGATAGAATGGTTCAACTTGAATATTGAAGGTGAAGGTCAACTGAAAGAGATAAAGAAATGTCTCCAGAGGTATCTAGCATGCAGATTTCATTCCTCCTGAATGTAGAGAACCGTGGTTACAATTGTAATTTATTCTCTTCTTTTAATTTTGTTTTAAAAATTGTAAATGAAATTCAGGTAGATTTCTACCTCCTCCACAATACACTGGCCGTTAATGGCATTGTTAAGCCCCGCCCCTTCTGGAACCTCAGTCAACTTCCTCTTTTCCTGTTCTTAGATAAGCTAAATGCTAGGCTAGTCCATGTTGAAAAGGCAACTACATTTGAAGATGGTTAAGAGATAAAAGCAACATATCTTAAGTTGGTTAATGTTAGCAAAATGCTTGCCAGCTAGCCAGCGTTCTGCCTACAGTAGCTAGCCATCTTATGATGTGGCTAATGTTGCTTTTATCTTTTAACTTCAATGTGGCTATCTTAGATTAGCCAAGTACATAGCATCAACTCAACTGTCATTGGATCACAGAACAAATAGTTGAGGGACTTAGGAAGGGTCAGTAAAACCCGGACCCCGGAACCGTAAAGCAAATAAAACCAGAGTTCCACGTGTTATCTTGGAACGTGGTTGAATTTAAAATAAACCTTTAAAATAAACTGAGGTCATGTAAAGCAAACATGAAACACAACAATACAGTAGCGTGTATGAAGTTAAGCTTTTAGATGAAAATGACAACCTTGGCCTTCAAAAGCTACAATATGCAACTTCTCCACATTCAAATAAATAAACAGGATGTATAATATCATCATCATCAGTGTCTGTACTCGTCCCCCCCCCCTCACTCTGTCTGCTCTTTACAGCCGCTTACCCCAGCCTCAGGCTAGCTGACAGCAGTGGGGGGCCTAGCCTGCCCCGCTGACACCTCCAACAGAAACGTTGCATATTTTGACTAACACCCAGAGTCTGAACGAGACACCATGCACAAGGGGGGGGGGGTCGACCGAGACATCTGTGAGATGACACACGGCGGAGGGCATGCATGGGGAGGAATGTTCCACCAGAGAAAACATTCAGCGCACAGGCAGATATCTGAGTGGTAGTAGTAACTGCACTGAGAGGCAATGAAAGGATCCACCGTCGGCCAGTCAGTATTCAGGGGACATTTATTCCGTTCAAACCTACTTTGGAGAACAATGAAACACGAACATACTTGTCATTTCATTTCCTTCTATATATTCATCCCTTAAAACAATATGGAGACGTAGCAGTAGTGCTAACATATGACTTTCAAGTTGAGTTCAAAAACACCATTGAAACAATCACGAGTAATAATCATATTAAACAAAAGTCAGGGTCAAGAATATGATACAGCCTATATAAAGGGTGACAATCGGTTTCCAGCTTACACTATGACATGCTTCATGGCAGTCAAAGAAAAATAATTGACAGATCTATAATAACAACTGCTCCCAAAACTGCCTCCGCATTCCCCAGCTACACTCTTTATTCTAAACTGCACCCCCTATTTCGATTACAACCACCCTTGATCGCCAACCTTCCTCTCAGGTCACTGTTGAGGTTTTGTATGGAGTCTAAAATGTGCCAAAAGAATAGTAATAGACTTTAACTGTGTAAATAGAAGATATTAATGAATTGATGCAAAAGCAGTGTTTCACCTAAAAATTAAATTCATCTTAGCTTGAGAAAGACAACAGACAAATCTGTGATTCCATTTTAAATTCAGTTATTAAATCTTTTAAGGACAGCATAAGGAAATAGAAAAAGTGAAAAGTAAGATTTTCCATTCTTTTTTTTCCACTGAATTTACTGCTGCATTATTTAAATGCAAAAAAATATGATCAATTATAATTAAATTGGGTGTAAACAATCAGTCTTCATCAGAATTAAAAAAATAAAAAAATAAAAACCTCAGAAAAAAGCTATCTAGAGGACCTTGTGTTAAGACTTTTTATAATGAAACAGTTTAAAGTTTATTTATTCTGGTAGCACAGTCTAGACTCCATAGCTTTGAAACTCCGTTAAGCCAATGATTTCTTTAAAACACCAACAGTGAGCTGGGAAGCTTTTGGGGGATTAAAGGGTGCATCTCTTAACTTATCAAACAATCAGGAAATATTTCTTAGGAGGCCTCTGAAAGACCTCCAGTTTTAAATTATGACACTTAACGTAACTCTTACAATGCTGTTGTCAAGCTAGTAGGGAGTCAAAGCCGCCGTCCTATGGTTAATATCAATAATAGTAATAAGTAGTTATGAGAATAATCAAAATTTACAAGTGAATGTGAGACCTCAACACTTTGTGGCTTGAACAGGTGCAACAAAAGGAGTTAGGACTGCTGCAAGTGAGGGAACGTTCTTTTCGATATAAAAAGCGAGGCTAATGTGTTCCATACAGCAGAGAGCCTGTACTTGTCTTAAGGTGTATATGTACATACAGAAAACTGTTCAAAAAATGCATCTGATCAAAAGAGGGTGAACTAGACCAAATTATCACAGCTGGCTCAGTGTTCCAATTCCTTTTATTTCAACCTGTTCATGGGTTTAAAAAATAAAAGTTCAGTGCATTGCAGAAACTTACATACACAAGTGCCTGTAAGGTGAATGGAAACAATCTCAATAACAGGCCGATCAGTAACAGCAAACCCATTACCAGCTTCTAAAAATCAACTCGTATCTATCCGTACAACAGCTGCAGAGCAAGAGAGCAGGATAAGACTAGCCACAATAACACCCAAAAGGTTGGTTTTATTCCTTTTTTTAAAACTTTTTTCCTTTTCTTGAACTTTTTCCAGCTTAAACTATCCGTTTACCTTCAGGGAAATATGTGGTTTAAAGTACAGACATTTGCTCTTTTTGTGACATTAACAGCCATCATCCACCCCCCTGCTCGCTGTACACGACGAAAACCAGGTCATAGATTCAGTCTAGTTCACTCGACCCTCCTCCATTCCCCTGTGGCGTGCCCACAGATAGGCAGGGTCCGCCTCGGCGTTACATCACTTCCTCACTAGCGACGTGCTTCCTGTCTGCACAGGCACAGTTCTTTTTTATGCTTTGCAAGTTAAGCTGCGCAGTAGTTTTACATTGAATATCGAGTAGCTCAGAGATTTTCTACCTAGCAAGGTTCAGTGTAGTAGGGTGCTGATGGTCGATGGAGTAGGGAGGAGGAGTTAGACTGGGGGGCGGGGTTGGGTTCTGGAGAGGGGGTAGGAGAAGGTAAGGGGGTTTCAGATGGTGATGGAGATGGAGATGAGGATGATGGTGACAGAGGTTTCTAATTAAGGGGAGGTTGATCATTCAGTTTTGCTGCGCTTCACAGCTCCGGGAAGTTTCTCTTGCAACCTGGGGGGGCAAAGAACAACAGGTTAACTACACCGAATCAGTGGATGATAGTTGCACTGACTACATTCACATGCACACTCATTTCCCACTTTTATTCAGAATATGACAATAAACCACATTTATTAAGGGTCATAAACTGCATTTGGACATTCCTTATTAGGTCTGGGAGCATTTTCAGATTTATATGTGGGATATGCTGATATTATTCAGGTATTAGGAGCATCCTGGGGGGCTGTTTTCCCTTTAGAGGGACCGTTTGACAGATGGACAGCAAAGGGCCAGAGGTTGGATTTGAACCCACCTCTACCAAGTGAGGGTGACCCGAATATTCATTTTCAGTAGCCATGTAAACAGCTTAGTCTTCTTCAGAATAAGGCAAAAAGTAAAATATTTTGTGCATGTAAACATAGTGGCTGTAAGATGATCACACTCTTTATAGATGATCAGATTCACTTACTTGGCCATCGTGGTGTTGACTTGAGTACGCACAAGGTCGATGTACTGATCAATCTGGGTCTGGAAGGAGAGAGGATGACTGAGTGGGTGAGCACTTGAAAAATAATTTGTATTACTTAAAACAAGCAAAGCTTCATTTTGAAATCCTTCTACCATTTCTGAGAACTAGAGAAAGCTAGGGGCCAGGACTCTGAGCCATTCGGTTAATGTATAACTGAAGGAGGCGTTTCGTTAATTGTCTTGAGTTGGGTCAAGAACGTTCTCAGTGAGTGCTGGGCTCTTGCCGCCAATTCGGCTTTGATAGAGTGTGGTGTACTCTAATCAAATCTTATCTTTGCTGGTTCTATCAATGTGTAGTCCAGCATGCACTGGGGTGGATTGTAGCGATGACAGTGTTGGAAACAAGATGAAGCTCTTTAAGCATCTCTGGATCTTGTTCATGGGCAAGGGTAAGACGGAGCATGAGATCAACAGGAAAATTCAAAACAGCATCAGCTCATTTAGTGGGTTAGGGTACACAGTCCACATTACTGAGAAGAAGAGTGGCCACTAGGAACAAGTATAAACAAGGTGGGATGACACATTGTTTCAGGCAGACCCTGTGTTTAAGGAACAGGACAAGGAACTTGGACATTAACAAGGAGCTACGAGGGAAACCCCTCCTCCATCACACTGAATGAGGTGGGTGGGCTCACTGTGGAAGAATTATGGGCACATCCAACTGGGAGGAGATGCCAGGGCAAACCCAGAAGAGAGATCATCCAGATAGAGTGGTTGAGAGCTAGCAAGAGGTGCGTCTGCTGGGCTACTTTGGTTAGCTTGCTACCACCATGATATGGACCCAGATAAGCGGCAGAAAATGGCTGGATGTCTGGACGGATGGCCGGTCAAACCAACTGACCAGCTGTGCAGCTGAACCTTTACGTGGCGGTGCAAGTCACAAGTTTCAGTTATGATCAGATATTTTTTGGTGTAATTGCACCTGATTTCTAATTTCCACCGACCTCATTGCTGAGGTTAACATTTGAAACTTGAGTATCAAAGCATAAAAACAGTCACAATGAGAACATTAGTCCAAATGTTAACTATAAAAAACAAAGCAGCAAGGAGGAAACATTAACTGTGACCATTAAGAGACTGTGCTAATGAACAAAACTAAACTTCACAAAGCCTGTGCCAGACAGTTGATGAGTATAATCTCCTAAACTCATTAAAGTTCCCATTTGGCATCAAGAGCATCAACATGGTAACCCCCCCCCGATTTGCCCAGCCAGTGGAATGACTTCATATTGAGCAGCTGGGCACTGGACAGCAACAAGAGGGGCACAGAAAGCCCTCAGTGTGTGGAGAGAGTCATCCAGTGAGCTCACTGCTGACGGGTACGTTCTAACAACTGATGTGATCCCTGCTCTCGGGGAGGGTCTGAGACTCATTTAATGATCTAATAGATTCATCACGACCTGGGACTGACTCACCTTGTTCTTCTCATAGATCGGAGGCACAGCGAAGAGGAGGATGTCAGCTGGAGAACAAAAGGGAGAAAGATGCGTCAGGGAAACATATAGACAGGTACATTACAGGGGAGCTATCTTTGAGGCTCCAAATACAGATTCACATAGGGCAGCATTGTCTAGACAATCAAAACACCTGGTGCGTTTCAGCGATAGCACAGCTGGTACTCTGAATGTCTGAATGTTCTGTTACGAGGTAACTGTGCTGTATTTGACACGCTGACATTGGCCACTGACAAAGATGGTTTATTTTGGAAGCTAATTCCCAGATCGTCCACACACACACACACACACACACACACATATGTGTAATATACATTTCAGTATAAGAAATGCGGCCTTAACTTTTATATGCACCAATTCTATTAAACGTAAAAAAGGCATGAAGCCCAGTTTCATCATAACGCAGATCAAAATAAATATGTCAAAATGCTTTTTTTCCGGTTGAAGAACCCAAGACTTCACTGTGTCTCCTCCCACTTCTGAAACCAAACCTGTATTTATTGATTGTTTTTAAAAATATGATTACATTTAGGTGCACAGAGTACTGACATTATATTATTACCATAGTATTATCTGTAACTTTAAGATATCTTGTCTGTCTTAAAACCCATGTCAGTAAAATGCTCATTAGTAATTTTACATTAATCTTTCAGTTGGTGCTCCACAGCAAAGCCTTTAGGTCAAGTCAAACTACTGGACCACAGGGGACCAAAGCATTGTGGGTAATGAGTGGTATCCATTACGGGACAGTACAATGTGGTCACAACTCCTTATACAACCTTACAGCCACTGAGCCATGTTGTCAACCCACTGTACAGCTAATATACTTCAATTGATTTTTAGCCAATGTCTTGCTAACATTAGCTAACTTAAGATGCAACTATATGTTGCTTTTATCTTTTAAGCATCAAAATGTCTTTTCACATAGACTAGCATAGCACATAGCATATCTGAGTACAGGAAGGGGAAGGTTGGCCGAAGCTTGCTCAGCTGTTATTGGAGCACAAAAAGGGGGCTGGACTTAGGTCTTTTTGTCTTTGCTATCGGTCCAATGAGATCTGTACTTCCTAATTAACCCCTCCTGTGGTCTCAGTCCATTAGAGATAATTAGAGAAACGGAAGAAGAGAAAGTAGCTGTCTGTGTGCCATTTATAGAGGTTTACAGTAAAGAACAGCACAGACTGTATGACATTCACTGCTAAAGAATCTTAATAGGTGAGATTTTTTCCATTCAAGGTTGACTTTAAATTGAGAAATGCAAATTCTTTTAAGCGTGAGAATTTCAGTGGGTAACAGACACATGGCTCTTGGTTCCCACGGTGCTTACCAAGGATGAGAATGGTGATTCCATTGAAGACAGCTCCTACGTAGGTGAACAGCCACATGACCACAGCCAGCTGGTGAGAACAACAAACAAAGAAGGCCACAGGGCGACTCAGAGAGGTCTAGCATTTTTAACATCCAATACTTCATGTACACCTAGTTCAGCTTATCCGAGGACATCATACTGTAAATTTGCAAATCATGTCTTAAAAGTCATCCCATGCAGGATGTATAGACTCATACAAACATAACCCTTCTCAATCATCACTTATGACCCACTCTGAAGACCCACTCTGAATGTTGCATTTACAAACAGCAATAGACAAACCCAGCAATCCTTTAAATAGAAGTGGCCTACACAAACTAATAAACAGGCCAGATAAACATTGATGGTTCACATGGTAAATTCTGAATAATCTCCATTTCCACAGCCCTATAATATAACACTATTTATACTTTCATACTTTTTTTTTTATTTAGAAAAGTTTTAAATGATAGAATTTATATGTATGTGTGATCAATGAGCATGACAGTGGTGTTTTCCAGGCTGATCAGAGCAGTGAAGGAGCTTTGTGCTGCTGATCTCATATACAGTTCACAGTATTATATGTGGACTGAGTATTATGGCTGCTCAGCTGATGTTGAGATTGACAGCAGCTCTGCCCTGATGGCTGGTTACTATAATCTGATAGGCTGGCAGAGGCTGTGCTAAAGTGCAAGCAGAGACAAAGCTCCCTTTCTCCCCCTTTAATTCTCCCTCTCTCTGCTGTCGTCTCATAACTTCTCATGTTGATCCGGGGCTGTCCAAGTAGAAAATAAGTAAGAACAATTTTCTTCCCCACACAATAAAAACGGTTGTGGAGTTCAGACCTTGGATAAAACGTGGTTTATATAGCCAGTTAAGTCATTAATCTTACAGGACACACCTCACTACAACTGCAAGTGTTTATATTAGTGAAACAAAAGCAGCTGTGAACAAGTTCCAAAGATGCGACTACACGCCCAGCCAGGCAGGTGTTTTCTTGTGTAGCCGGATCAGACCTCTTGTCAGGGCTGTGTAGGTGTGGACAGACTGACTGTTAGCTCCCTGATTCTCCGGGTAGCTTTGCTGCACCTGTTAGGGAGGGACAACTCATGCATTGTGCATTGGCAGACTTTTAATCATTCAGAATAAGCCCAAAAACCTGTGTGGTTGTGAAGAATAGGTTTGAACTTTGTCAGCTCAACAACCCATATTTTTTGTCTTTTAAAAAACAGAACTTTTAAGAAGGCATGCAAGGCTTCCTTGCATTTCCACTGTACTTTAGAAAGTGGGATGTTTTGGATATACGTCATTAAAAAAGGCCACAGCGGGACTGTCCTCGTTTTTGTGTGCTGTCTGGTAGGCAAGAGAAGTAAGCAGTTGTGGGACAGACAACAATAGAACAGATGGTGCTGGTATCGATTTTCTATCATAAATAAGGGCAGAGCTGGGTCGGCACAAACTGGTTGGAGGTCGAGAATGACGTCTACTACACACATACACACATTTTTTGTGTCTATATTATTGTTTCATCTTTGTGTTTTGTATCCCTCATTTCTTCTTAATTTAATTTAAATAACCGTTGACAACCAAAGAGAACATTATCCAATATTTCAGAGAGAGAAGAGAATTAGAGACATGTTCAAAAAATGAATACTTTCTGTGCAGAACTTTTATTCCAACCCCCATTAATCATCTCACGACCCCTTCGATTTATCTTGTGACTTGGGATGATTACAGGGGCCAGTTTTCTGCAGGATAACTATGTTTTAATTTTGATATAAGTAAATTTTTCTGAGAATACTTATGTACATTTTCTTAAGAGGGTTTGAATGGACTTGTAATGGATAATGTAATGAAATATTGATACAATTCTCAAAAACACTATTGCTTTTTGTATTTAAACCCCAAAGCGCTAGATAGCAGTGTTGTAAATGTAAGTTGAGGGCTATGATGTTGATGAACTTCATTACTCAAATTTGATGCATATAGTAGGGTGTTCTTTATACTATGACAGTTTTCCTAAAAAATTTGATTTAAAAACAAAAACAAAATTGCAATACTGAATTAATATTAAATCGTAACCTCTATATTGTGATATGTATCGTATCGGTGGATTCTACCAATACACAGCCATAAAGGTTTCTTTTTTATATTAATGTATTGGTATTTTTACTTAAGTAGAAGATCGGAATACTTCTTCCATCAATGCCTTTTTGTGATGGGATGACACATGCTTAATCTAATATTTAAGGGGGCAAGGGGACAGTTTGTACTACAAAGACTAACTTTGTAAGATCTAGGTTTAAAATGAACAAGATGTCAGTTCATATTGAAAAATAAAGATGAGCAGGCAATTAAGAAAGTTAACATTACAAAGTTCTGAGGGCTATTACTTGATGATGCTTGTTTAAAGTATATAAGATATTTGTTAGATTTGCTTCTCATGGTCATGAATCATCAACTCATTTATTCTGTCGTCTCTATTACCCTTTAACTGTCCCTACTATCAACTATTTACTTGTATTGTTATCTACAACACTTTATTTCAGCTCACTGCTACAGTAATGTGGTTAAGTTTCATTTAGATACAGGGGAGCTCTTAAGTGGAATTCAATATTACATATTGTCTCTCATTCACCATCTTTGTTGACTTTAAAAAACACTGGAAAATTCCCAATTATGATGTTAACTGTTCTACTATAACTAGAATTAGAATAATTGGTAAATATAGATATTTTTTCTTCCTCAGTTTATTTTTGTAGTAGGCTTTTTATCCCTTGTTTTTACTTAATGAAATCTTAGCCACGGTCAAGACAGACGTTCCTAGCAGGTCCCAGAGAAAAGCTGAGGAAAGCGGCTGCTCTTTGATAGAGGTGAGGCGGTTAACCAGTTTGTCTTCATCTTTGACATCTTTTTGTAAAACTGTAAAATATTGTTTGAAAAAGATAAAGCATACAGGCCAAGATCACAGGGAAGGAGCTGTGTTTCATGACAGCTAGATAATGTGTGTGATCCGATTGTAGTTGCTGTGCTACATTCTCTAAATAATTATCATTTAACAATATAATCATAATCACTGGGGTTTATTTTAACGATACACATCAGATTCTGACTATAATTTGCTTGATTTCCCCCTTGTGATGATTAGTTACCACTGTACCAATCAGAGCTCTAAAAAGGCTGCACCCAGGAGAAGAGCCTTTATGGGACAGAGTGGTAATAGGTTCCCATTATAAAGCAGACTAAATGATTAGAACTCAATGATAGTGGACAGTGACTGAAGGGCTGGGGCTGCTTACCTTCAGGGAGTCCACAAGGTCCTCCACCAGGAAGAGGCGGCTCATCTGCTTCAGGGCTCGGTTGATGTAGGTCAGACTGGTGTCCACGTGCTTGCGGAAAGTCTCCGGAGGGATGCTGACATCCTTATCTATCAGTGTTCTGCACAGGGGGGAAAGGAGGAGGGTAAGGTGAGTGCAAAATTAGGCTTAGTGTCCAGGGCCAAAAGTGCCGCAGGAAAACATGCACTGTGGTGAGCAGCTGTAAAGAGGAAACTAACAGGAGGATTTCATTCTTTCCTTTTTCAGAATCTGCGTGCATGTTGCACAAACTGACCAGATTAATCTGCGTGAGGTTTATGGGGCTGTTGATCAAGACCAATGGCACAATGATTACTTGGGTAAGTCTAGAGATTTCTTACTTTCAAAACTGAGTTTCTAGTCTGTCCTCTTGGAAAGCCAGGCATGAGGTTTTGAAACTTAAGTGGCTGAAGAGTGGTTTCAAAACTGAGAATTGAAACAACTTCATATTGTTTCCCATTTGGAATGGACCTACCATGAAATTATCACCTCAGCTGTTTCCCCTGTTGCCTCGCTTATTTGTGATCTGGTGGACTTTGCCATCACCGTGTGAATGTGTGTGAAAGGGTGAATGTGGCACGTAGTGTAAAAGCGCTTTGAGTGGTCAGAAGACTAGAAGGTGCTATACAAGTACAGGTCCATTTACCATTTACCAAATTTGTTGTAAATGCTGTTGCACTGTTAATACGATCTCAAAACTTTTTTACAATAAGAAATACTGTTTTTATAAAATTGTTGTGTACTTTCCCTTTTTTCTCAATTGCTGTTAAGTTGCAGTCAGTGAAACTCAACACTTCCTGCACAGGTGATTCACATTAAAAGCTTTCAGCAGCTCAGAGGGCATGTTTCTGGTGAGCTTTAACTTGAAATAGTTGCAGGAAGCTGTGTTTTGATTGAAAAAAAATGTTTTTAAAAAAAGTAGAAGGGACTCATCAGTTAGTGGATAAAAACAGCATTTGTTAAAAGGAGAAACTCAGAGCAGCAGACTGTTATTGTACTGATGGAATTAGTGCTGTGGAAATGTAAACTGCAACCAAAATTTCCAATGTGAACTATTACAGTAAAGGTAATTCCACCCCCACCCCCCTCCCATTTTAAAATTATTTTTGTTTGTATTGTTTTTTGGGCACAGCTTCTATTTGGGTTTTCATTTTCTGAATGCTAGGCTTTAATTTCTAAGTGCTGAAATAATTTGTTGTGTTCAGCTGAGTGTTGAAAGGACCAGTGTGTAAGATTTTGTGGCATCTAATGGTGACTGAATGACCAATCGCCTTCCAAGTGTGTAGGAGAAACTATGGTGGCTGCGATACTCTTGAAAAGTGCTAAAGCCCCTGTCTAGAGCAGGTTTTTGGTTTGTCCATTCCGGGCTACTGCAGAAACATAGTGGTTTAACATGACGGACTCTGTAGAAGAGTAAATACTCTCTCTGTAGATAAAAACGGCTCATTCTAAGGTAACGAAACCACTTTGGTTTAAGAAAAAAAGCAATTTTTGCACATGGGAACTTAAGATGGGCATCTTCCATGAACTAAATTATTAATGGAAAACATAATAAACATATGAACTGATAATGAAATCTGTTAGTTGCAGCCTAACTTGAGAATGTCCATAGCAGTGAGTGAACCAGGAAAAAGAAGCACACAGCTTTCAACTTCATGTTACTGGGTGTGCAGAGGTAAGTATCCATTCCAGCTGCTCCAAAGTAGAATTGTGCTTTTTTCACACTACTGCAAGAATTTTCTCCTTTTCAGGAATATATGGCTTAGAGGCTTGATGAACTATGAGGAGGATTTAGTGTTGCGCCTTTGAAGAGGAGCTGGACTCTATGAAGCATGCTACCGGGATCTGGCTCCACCATAAAAGTTGTTCTATAAATAAAAGCAGGGAAGGCAGAGGTTACATCAGGCACCGCCATGCCAGCCTGACCTCTAACATTATGAAACTTAGCAGTCTTTGAAACTGCTTCTGGTTTAATGGTTTTAAACATGTGGCAGTGCGAAGCAGCAACATGGCTTGGTGTATAGTTATATCACAATCAATCATTTATCCTCCTTGTATTATTCCATACAGACGGAGAGGATATTACATTTTTTCTTCAGGGTTACTTCAGGTTTTGTTCTAGAGTGCTGCAGACTTTGCAGCAGCACATGCAAAACATGTGAATGTTTTTGTTTATTAAGCAACCTAGCTAGTTTCAAAGTTACTTCAGCTACTATCGTGAATCTCACGTCTCCAGAATGTAAAGATCTTGAAATTACTGCATGTTTAAAATGGGAGCTCGTCCAGGATATTGTTAAAGGATTCCCTCTACTCCCCCTCATAACATTTCCTTTTGTCACTCCTTGGTGTTGCCTTATCAAGTCTGACCACCAATGCTCTGTTTCAGGGACTGTTTTCACACAGAAAAAGTCCTATGAGAAGCACAGACCACTTTGCCAAACAAGAACAAGTAAGAAAAGGTCAAAGCAGTGTTGTATTCAATTTCCTTCTTACTTGAAGGGGTGTCCATCGCTAGACTTCTGCACCGCCTGGATGACGGACTTGTAGATGCGGAAGGTGATGGTGACGCAGAGCAGGGCCAGCAGCAGGTAGGACGCCACGCTGATGACGCTGAAGGCTGCCAGCGACAGCAGCAGCAGCATGGACACGCCGAACACCAAGCCCGACTTCTTGGGGTCTCGCCAGTGAATCAGATCCTTAACTACAGAGAGGAGATGGAGGGAAGGGAGTTAGACTGGGATATTCACGATTTTACACGGGGCACAAAATTAGCACCAGCCAAAAGCTGCAGCAACTATGGGAGAAACCAGATATTTTGAGCATTGAATACCAGTACAAATTGTTACTGTAATTGTAACTGGTGGCTTTAATGAAAAAATATTGGTAATGGCAGCCATTATCAGCCAGGCCCAGAAAAATACACCCCCTACTCTGCAACTCTGGCCCAATAAAATATAAATATGCACCATAAATCTTCTTCGGCATCTGCAGTTAAGACTAAGGAACACGCATTGCTGTAGTTTCATTGCCGTTTCATGTTTGTTTGCATGTCTTGTGAGGAGTCGTGCATGCAGAAGTGATAGCCTTATACAAGGCGGTTATGTAATGCTGGAACGGGTTGGCACTCTAAAAACTGCCACTCCTTCCCCGTGCGTGGGGCAAAAGGGGGCATTTAAAAAAGCCTTGTGTAAGCGGTGGAGAAACTACGTGGACTGGTGCCTCAGGGACAGTTCGGGCCTCTGCTCCTGTGAGTTTAATGGGAACACACGTTATATAGGACCTTCACACACACGTCACAGAAAACTGAAAAGAGCTAAAACAAACTATTTGCTTTGACATAGGACACTGGACTCCCATTACAGTCAGAAATGTATAAAGCATACATTTCATTTTTTCAATGTTATTCCTTAGCTTGTGCAGTACAAAATCAAAAAGACCTTTGTTGTTTTAGAAAGCTTAAATCTCCTTAGAGACCCACTATCTTTTTGTCCTTCGCCACATGGAATGCAGAGAGAATTTTAAATCCTTTAGATGTTACTGACTGTGACCTGGGATTTTAAAAGCAGTGAGAAGTTGGACTTGTTAGAGATGTCTCATGTACAGTATGCAAACGTGAGTTAACAGAACATGAAAAACACCTCTCAATATGCTAAAAACACTGAATAAAGCAGTTCCACCTTAAAAATCATTGTTCTCCCACGCTGTTGGACAGACAAAGGCCGTCCCGAAGGGGCTGCGAGCCGAGCTGCTGCTAACGTTAGCACAGCTTGTTTCTCTGATAACTTAAGATCCAGACGTCCGATGACTAAAATCCTTCATCTTGTTCAAATCTAGAGTTAAACAGCACCAAGATCTAAACAGTGGATGGTAACAATGTGGCTTCAGACTGGATAAACAGTCAATGTATGACAGCTTCTGGCAGACAACCACAACGCTGACGCAGGCACAAAGGGGATATGACGCCAGTGACAGGCGACCGGTGAAACACAGCGTTACCTGAATAAAATGACATTGTTGGAAACATTTGGGATAATGTCTGTACACATCTCAACTACATATAGAACATAGAGCTAGAGTTTATAGACAGTTTAATGTCGAAATGTTACAGATTATAGCTTTAATTAACTGAAATAACTGATGACTGATTAATCTATCTTAAGTGGTCACTCAGCAGCGATGAATCAGTTTCAGTAGCTGGGAAAAGTTTGCTTTTCTCCCCTTTTCACTAGACCCTGTACCCTGTGTTTTTTTGTGTCTGCTTGATTATTAATTTCAGAATTATCAAGTTATAACACAAGCTTGTTTGTTTTATCATTGTTTCATAGGATTATGATCTGATTTTGTGTGTGATGTTTTGTTATTTTTCTGCCTGGGATGTTGGGTTAGATCAGCTGCTCCATCAGAGATAGTGAAAACGGGTTTGTATCAGTGTGTCCTAATAGCTGGGAGGGGAGAAAATTAATTTAGATGCTCCACTTGTGTGAGTGACCATGCTTATACTCTACTCACTTTGTTGGAACATACCTTTTTCACAGCAGTCATTTTAACATTAAAAAGTAGGGCAAACACAGGTGTTACGAATACACTAATTAAGGCTCCATTTCATTTAGTGTAGCGGAGCCTTTCCAGTGAGCCAACTTGCACAACAGCAGCTCTCTTTTACCTGAATGGAGTACCCTGATAACTGCATAGATATTATATAAGAATGTGTACGAAAACAACAATGAATATGAAACATTTGTTCTGTTCATGTTATACAAATGTTATCTTTTGCATTATATTTAATACCACCACATGGCTTGTCCGTCTCCTTTTGCAGTTACTTGTTTACTAACAAACAAACAAACAAACAGAGTGCTCGGCATGCCAAGACCTGAATCCGTTTACAAGAATTGAGAGAAAATCATCAGCAACACTGTTGCGCAGCTCAGACAGGAACAGAGAGAGCTCTATTGTTCCTGATTCTGTCTGTTGAACCTACATTGTGTAAAAACCTCATAACTCCAGTACAATACAATTTTCCTCCATCAACTCAGTGGGTTGACAACATCAGGGGACAAGTGGATTCATAAATCCCTTTTCAAAACTAAATTAAAGACATTTAACTGCACGGTGGTCAAGCTGGAACTGCCCTGGAGATGTAATGTTTTCATCTGACGGCAACAATGAGAAGGGTTTCCTCACCCTGCACTGCAGGGGTATGCGCGTCCTCCTCCCAGCATGCTTTGCTGCCGGTACCCACAGGGAGGCAGCCGGAGCTTGACGGCCCTCGTTCATTATCCCCCCCCCGTCTCTGGGTTTCTTGCCCTCGCTCTACTCTGCCGAGGTCCCAGTGGCTGCTGAGGCGCAGTGGCCTGCTTTCACTGCTGCGCACTGCTCTTAAAGCTACACACACACACGTCCTTCCACCGCCATTATAAGTGAGCAGAAAAGTGTAAAAAAGGTGTTTGCCAACACCTTACAGGACTTAATTTAATAGGAATGTAATTAAAGCCTCTATGAGGAACTTTCATGTTGTATTGATTCTGGTGGCCCCTGCGAACAAATGTGGTAGTGTTTCTACCGCCTAGTTTCATTGATTTTAAGGTGAATCCCACCCGGAGGCAGGCATTAAAGCTGCAGAAGGTGACGTTAATAAAAATAACTTTGTCATATGCACTCAAACTTTCACTATATCCTGACAGTAATACATGAGACAGATAATCTGTGATGCTCTCTAGTGTCCTAATGGCATTTGCAAGAATCTACCGGCCTGAATGAAAACAACCAATCAGAGCTGAGAAAGATGTACATATAAGATGAATCTGTAGCTATAGCTTTTTTTTTTCACTCAGTTTGTAGCACTGGGTGTAAATATACTGAATACTTTGTAGAACTATTAAATTATTGCAATACATTATATATATATAAAACAAATAACTACATAGAAATAGCCAATGTTCTCTCTGATGGCGTTTGTTTGTGTAAGTCATATGGAGGCATCAGTATTAAATTGAGACTGTTTCATAACCAGTTTCAGATGTTCCAGATCTCCACCATGAATTTAATCCACACATTGTACAACAAATGTTGATCTTTATGTGACTGCAGGTCATGGTTGTCACCACTGATGCAGTGAATAGATCCATATACCTTGTGTCGCCACGATTTAAGCCATCTGCAATTTTTGTCTAGCACTAGCAGACAGACAATCAGTGAACATTAAGGACCAGTGTTCCCACTGAACTGGTAGTTGATCTACAGCACATTATCCATTATCACGCTGACCAAACATTCTGGCACCAACTGTTCTACTTGTCTGGTGAAATAAAGCTGATGGAGGCAAGGGATAATTAGTCCAGTTAATGAATCAGCAAATACTCTGACAATTATTGGATTTATTAAGCAAAAACTCCAACAGATTGTCTGGGGGCAGCTTTGATGCTTTCCTGTTTTATATCATTGTAAATTTAATATTTTTGACTGTTGACAAAACAAGACAATAGTAAAGTTTTCTGGCAACTATTTTGGTAATTTTTTTAATATTTTAAAGACCAAAAATTAGCAGAAGATTCAGAGAAAGGTTGTTGGGCTAGAAACCAAAACAATGACGGACAGCCATGATACATTATGAGCAATGTAACTACTAACTGTTCCAATGTAGTAACTGGCAGTAAGACAAACCATTACGCCCATTTGCTCTATTTTTTATGTGACCCCATTACAAATCCGAAACAGAGGTTATTGGCTCTGACTAAAAACAAGATTATAACCGTAAAAAACAAGACATTACAGGTCCATGCCAGACAGCTTAATGGGGAGTCAAATACCAAACTCTGATCTGATCCAGGTTCAGTTTGATTCAAGTATTTACATGTGCCTCACCTCCGCTTTACAAATCTTCACACAGAGGATTAACAGAAATCTGAACAGAAACGGCTGGCTTGATTCAAACTAATCTTCCAAGCCCTGACAACAGGTCTGGAATTAGAACTAGCCCACAAAGAAATGCAGAGTCACTTTAAGCTGAAATTTATTTTTATTTTTTTGAAGAGGGATTCTTTTACATAAAAGCTGTATCACAATGGGGCTAATGTCAAGCATATCCAGCATGACAACAGGCACTCCAATTGAAACAAACTCACCTAGCCAAATGTACCCCGCCTAATAACCTACTGAGTTGTGGAGCAGCACTGCAGAGAAACACTAAAATAGCACAAGCTCATGGCTGGAGGGGGAGGATTCAACAACACAGGCTCCTCTACAGAACGCCACACAAAACAGAGCTTCCTCTTCAACACCAGGTTATTAATATCACAATTAGGAAACAATCACATTATGTGCACTGCTAACAAGCTTCACAGAACACTGAACATAATAACTTTAAAATGAGGCTTAACTGACTGGCTTTCCCTTTGTGCCTCTTCTGCACACTTTCCCCTAGTTTCTGGTTGCTAGAACACCAGCACTCTGTTCTCTGGTGTGCCAACTCTAAGTTAAAGTATTCAACACATGTAGACGTAGCACTGAATGCGTTAGGATTACTGTCTGCATACCAGCCTCTGTGCATATGTTTGTGGAATGGAGATCATGTTTGCAGAGACGGGAGGGTACTGCAGACCTGCCTGCTGTTACTCCTGAAAAATAACACCTTTTAGTAAACTGATGCATGGAAAAGGGGCTGGTTTTTAGCAACCTTCATATTCAAACTTTTAGAGAAAAAGGGATGGCTGGACCAGGATGAAGAGAGGATTAGACAAGTGAAGACTGAAAGACCTGGCAGCAAACCAATTTCCCAAGATGGCATCTTGCCTGAAACCTGAGAATGAATTACGGCACCAAAATAATTTGCACCTTAGTGGCCTTAAGATATGCATTTAGTTTTTGGACCACTTTGTTTTTTTTGCACCATGCCTTGTCATCGTGTCATGATCTGCACAGAGTGAGCTGTGGAAAGGCAGAAACTTGACACTGGAGATTGACTGTAACCCGTGACTTCCAAGGTTCTTGCAAGCCAACACTTGTGCACCATATTTAAACCCCGACCCACTCTCTGTCAATGGACCACTGCCCGGCTGTAAAGGACAGAGGGCAAGAGAGGGTCAAAGGCTTGAATGGAGTGGGGATCACCAGACCATATGTAGCCTTAGTGTCCATATAGGACACTACACTGTGGGTTGGCTGCTATAATCTCTGATAACTGCAGACTCTACAGGTTCAGTATACTCCCAAACAAGCCCCTATGACCTTTTGCAGTTCAATAGATGCATACTGTTGCCGTTGCCGTAACCTAGTATAACTTTTAATAAAAAGTATTGAAACCACCAGTACCAACTTTGACAAGCAGTGTTTGATTATTTAAAAAACACAAGGTTTTCTTCCCATTTCTAGAGAAGTTATGGACAAGGTTTCTGCTGGACAGCGACAATATGTAACTACCTACTCAACACAATCTCCTCAAACATGTCACAGGAGGTGGGCAATAGAATATCCAATGATATCATTATCGTCCTAACTTCGAAATGCCATTGAGCATAACATGTAAAGCCAAAGGTTGTGTCCTTAGACATTGAGAGGTATGTCTCTCTCAGGGGGGCTGTGTCTGGTATTCCTTATTGCATCAGGCATTTAGACATTCTGACACAAGAAGATCTGCTCTGATTACCAGACTGCTTTTTGGAATTTGAGGCCGCACATGTGCCATCGTGCTGTAATAATTTGCACTATACTATGGGCTTTGTTAATGCATGCCAAAACAGTGGTCTAGTCTCAAGCAAATACTTGAGAGGGTCAGAGTCTGATCTACAAAATGAACAGCAAATATTGCCGGCAGATGTTTGCTTTTCACATAAATATAGGTATTAGCGTATTTGTTGGTCAATAAGTAACAAAAAATAGAAGTAGAGTACTGTACTGAGGAGAGAAGACATTGTGCTACTCTAAGAAGCATCTACTCTGAACCTCCAGTAGATATTCTATTGTGCCTTGATAATGTGACTTTGGCTTGGCTGGGTGCACCAACAAAGACAAAGACAAATGGCAGATTATGCATGTGAGGAATGGGATTGGGTAAGTAGACAAACTCAACAGGAATCAGTGACAGGACAAATGTATTGCTTGTGAACCAACACTAATACACTGGTAGTTTCTGGGAAGTTTTGTGTTTGTATCTTTTTCCTTCTTCATACAATTACTTCTTTCACTTTGTGCATGTACAGAAAAAGGGGAATCCCTCTGAAGCCTTCAAGTTGAATGCCTTCATAATAACTGTATGAAAGAGTGTGGCCGTTAAGAACAGTTAAACACTTTTGAAATCATTGGAAGCATATTAAGGCCTTTATGCCCTCCTAGTATACCTCCTTACTGACAGGCTACTATATCAAACGGCAGGCTATACTCCACAGCCTAAAACAAGGATATGGCTGGGAAGAGGCCAGTCTGCAATCATGGCTTTTCATGCCATCATATGTAAGCAAAAAAAACAATTTTTTGAAAAAGGAGCAGGCAGTTACAAGGTGCAAGTGAGAAAGGGGGTTCTTCTGAGGTGACTGCATGGGGTTAGCAGGCCTACTGCCCAGAAGGAAGAGGTGTTACCTGATAAGTGGGTTAGTATTGCTGTCAAGACATGCTCAGCTAGATGATAAGCTTCAGCCACCCATTCGTCGATGGCTTCTACCTCTTTGGAATACGTGCTGTCGAACACACGGTTGCTTTGGGAACATGGAGGATTAGAAACTGAGGTAAAGGAAGACTGCTGTATAGATGGTGCATTGGGGTTAGCTTTGTCCTCGTCAGGAACTTTCGACTGGAGAGACGCTGCTTCGTCCTCCTCGTCTTGACTGCTGCCCAGCTCTTTGAGAGCACTGATGGTAAGCTGTTCTTGTTCAAGATCCATCACCATGGTTGGAGGGGACTGAGAAGGAGGCAAACCAGTTTTGCGGAACTCATTCTTAGGTGGAACACCTTGGTGCATGTTGTCAGGTTCTTCATCCTGCCTCGATTTCAGGCACTCTCGCATGAACTCCACAAAGCTATCTGTAGGCTCAGAAACAGAGCTGTCAGGGTCAGTGCTTTCTGGGCTGCTTGTTTCTTCATGTTGTTCTGCCTTAGTGTCCTGCTGGATCTTTGAGACAATTTTCTGTCCTGGGAGGGAGTTGGCCATATTATCTGTAACAATGTCAGTGGTCATTTTCTTACAGAAATCTTGCTCACTGATACCAAGTGTCTCACTTTGGAAAGAGGAATATGGATCTTGGGGATAATCTCTTTGAGATGGCTGAACTGGCTTGGGGGAGGCTTCATCATCACTCACTGAAGTGAAATCTTCCCGATTTAGACTGTCCTCTGGAACATCATTTTGTGCAGTGCTTGCATTCAGTGTCTCAACTTGGACTTGAGTAGGTTCTGAAAGAAACCGCTCCTTAGCACTGATTAGCCCTCTGTCTTCAATGTCATCAAAGGGAGAGGATGCATCATAATCATAATCAAATGATTGTCTGTCATATATATCATCTTGCATGAAGCTGGTTTTAGAAAGGGGAGCTGCCTCCATATAAGCCTCTTTTACAGCCGTGTTGCTCTTTTCATCCACTTTGGATTGGGTGTAAGAAGACGGTTCCATGAACGCAAGATCTGTCTTGCAAGGTTTGACCGGGATATCTTGTGCTTCATCTGACCACTCGTCCTCATTGTCTGGAAAGTCCACTTCTTCATTTGTGACAATGGAAGGGGAGGTTTCATAATTTATTTTATTGGAAGTGGTCTGTGCTTTTTCAGATTGTGCTTGGGACAAATCACATGGCAAGTCTTTTGAATCAGTTTGATTGGGTAGGGCCTCAGGTTTTGATGCAGATTCCTGATGGACTGTTCCAGGAAGAGATTTGAGTATCTTGTGTTTGGGAGAGTATTCAGCATCAGAGTCCACAGGTGAGGATGGAGGTGAGTAGCCTTCCATGAATTCAGTTTCTATGGGGCGGGTCTTGGGTGGTTCATGTTTACTGTCCTCGGGCTCTGGGGTTTTTGGAGCCTCCCTGGCTGGGTCTTTTACAACCTCATAATCCTCATCTTCCTCTGCTTCAAGCTCCATCTCCTCATCACTGTAATTTGGCTCGTCAGTCTCAATAACATTGATCGTGGGAACCTGCATTAGCTTCCTCTCAGACTTTGGTGGAGGAGTCACGATTTCCTCAGTGGGAAGATTCGGAGCTGCAGAAGCAGGGGTAGTGGTAGGATCATTTGAAACTGCTGAATCAGAAGACGAAGGAGGAACAGATGCAGGAACAGAGACACCATCTTCTATGACAGTATCATCTGAGTCTCCTGAGCTGTCCGCTTCACTTGCCTCTGTGGGCTCCAGATCTCCGGTCCAAGATGGCTTCTTGTCATCTGTCATATTCTGTTTAGCATCTGTGCCAACTGGTGGAGATGGGGAGTCAAAGCCTGCAGGAGGTGCAGGTGAAGCTGGAAGCACTGAATTGACATTTGATGGAGGCTGGACACCTGATTTGTCCTGCTGATCCCACATGTAGGCTGTTGGCAAAAAGCTGAGGTCAAACTCAGACTCCTCCTCGACACCGGTCTGCTTCTGTGTGTCACCATCATTCAGTTTTGGAGTTTCAACAGGAGAATCCATGAAAGCATCAGGGACACCGGCAAAGGCAGCAGGAGCATCAGGTATAACTATGTCAGTCTTCTTCTCCTCCTTTGATGTAACACTGTCTGAAGTCAAGCTGCCTTTAATTAAATCTACAGCATCAAAGTCTGGCACAGGAGGTAAATGAGCCTTCATCCACTCTTCTGTTTCTTCAAATTCATTCACTTGTCTTAAATCTCCAAGTACTTCAAAGGGAGATTCTGGTGACTCCTGATCAGCAGAACCTCCTTTTTTCTGGACAATTGGTGCAATTTTCTCAGTGGGAGATTTGGGGGTCTCAGTGGGAGATTTGGGGGTCTCAGTGGGAGATTTCTCATGGTGGCGGTCTCTGAAGTGAGAGAAACCTCCATCGCTTCTAAAATCTGGTTCCTTCTTTTTCGCAGCAAGAGCTTCCAGTGCCTTTATTCGCTCTGAAACAGGGGACGTCTTTATCGGCGAATCCGGTTGTCCATCTGGCGGCCCGGCTTCACTCCCGTAATTACCAGGGGTGAATGAGCCAGGTTGAGAAGGAAAGCGAAGGGACGTTGCTACACCTTCGCAAGGCTTGTCGGAGCCCAGGACCACTCTTTTGTCTGCATCACCATGCATGAAGACCGACAGTGATGGGGAAAAAGGAGGGGAGGTCATATAAATCACAGACACTGAACTCCCATGCACTACTATTACTATTACCATTATTATTATTATTATTATTATCATCATCATAATAATACAGCGAGGCCTTAATATTGCAGCCAAAGCGTTCATGCATTGCATCATGGAAATGTAAGGTAGATTCATATAATGGATAGGACCACTTTTCGCATGCTGCTCTTAAGTTCTCCACAAAGTTGCCATCAGGCAGCACTTAATATGGAACTTAAATGATCTGAATGCTCAAAGGAAGCAGCAACAGAAATTAAATCTCACTGACTGACTTAAATCACCACATGGCTATGGTGACTGCATGTCAACTGCAATCTATATAGCAGGTGCATATGACTTGCTATACACTTGCAGGCTTGAAAGCAGGTTCTTTTTGATTGTGTTCATCTGTCTGCTTGTTAGTGAAAGTTTCATAAAAACTAAAAGGGTATTTAATAAATCAGTCAATACATCGTTTGACAGGGTTTTGATTTGGAAACTGTTCTCTGTAGACATGTGCAGCTAAAATAATTATGGTGATAACCCAGGAAGTCAACTTAAACATACAACTGTGTCAACCTTTGTCCTCAATTTGCAATTTTCTAAGAAAGTGATTAGATGACTACTTCCTCCATACAAAAGTCTTGAATATGTCACTGAATATAAAAGTAAACCTCAATTTTACATAAACAAAAACAAATGTCTTAATATCAGCAACTTCACCAGAGTTGTTAATGGTGACTACACAGCACACCTATAACTGAAGTAACAAAAAGGAATGAGATATAAAAACGCATCTCACAAAACAAGCCAAAAGGTCAGAAAGATAAAAATAAAAAAAACTGCCTGTACTTAATCCCTTATTTATTTATTGTATTGTATATTAAAATGCATTAAATATTTTTTGCAAAATAAAAGGTTGATGTTGTTGCTGGATCTTTTTTGCAAAACAAATGGCTATAAATATTTTCCAGCTAGTTCACTATAAATTGAATGAGTGCCATCGTGACAATGCCAGATAAATTAAATAAAAAACAGTAGAGTAAACATCTCCCCAGTGCACCTGTGGTCTTCAACAGCAAACGGAATGCAACACACCTATTACATACTCAAACTACATACCAACTAGAGAAAATGTTGCTAGTAATTGTCCAAGAGCACAATGTTCCCCAGCAGTACTTTGAACAAAAGCAGCAGCCTGAAACCACTTTCAGTTTTAAGAAATGGATGGTCAGTAAAATTTACACTTCTGTCCCTCTTTGTTTACCTAAAAGAAAAAATTATCTATGAAAAACAACAACAGCTCTATCTGTAAAATGCAAATTACAGTATTTTTTGTCAACAATGTCTCAAACCCTTAAGAATTTCATTCATTGTTGTGGTCAGTTACATGGTACATAATTAGTATTTGTTAACTGCCTATTATAACATCAAAATTATATAATAAAATGGTGAAGAATATGCAAAGAGTTAGATAATACTGCTATCCTTACACAGTCAATCGGGTCATTTAAACACCACCATTTCCTCAGCCGCGCAGCTATGGAGGCTTTTACAGTCACTATGATGGCGTGCCCCCCTACCTCCCTAGCCAGGTGGCCCCGCTAACTATCCTGGAGGCCACAGAATTCCAAAGATGTTCTAGGCAACTGTTCTGACAATCACATGATCCCTTTCATCTCCCATGTCATTTTAAACACCCAACATCAAGCTGTCATGACAGGGAATTGGCAGCTATTTTTGGAAATTAACATCAGCTGCCCAGCTCAACCTGTGCACGAAAACCTCTACTTGCTAATGAATCACTAGTTTTGTGTACTTAATGCAAGATACAGATCTGTCAAGTGAACCTTGCCATGCTAGCTGTGTTGTTGGCATGACCCCACCCCTCCCCTGCCACTGTGTTGACAGACTTTTCCACTGATGCCCAACTGACTGGTCCACTTTGTCTTGGAAAGGACTGCCACCTCCCCTGCACCACAATACAATGCCTTGTTCAAACTAGGCCACATGAATGGACTTTCCATCTCGCCAACAGCGTTGTAGTCCTTTGGCTCTGTACTAGTAAACAAATTCCAAAACAGCTAGCACTCAGAGGATACATCCATGGATGTCAGACACGGCCAGGCCTACTAGACTTCCAGAGGGAATTCAGGAGTGGCTTTATGAACGTGGTTCAGATAAAACTGTCAACAACTTGGCTTTGTAATAGGCCACTAGTTATGTACCATCTGCCCAATTGGCCCCAGTGGCCTTCCACGTCTCATTTATGTAATCTGCTTTCTGCAGTAGGGTGATTATGTACGTGGCCTGGGTATGACAATCATCTGTTCTTATCTTATGTAAAAAGTATGTACCTTCATTTATCAATGAGACAATTTACCTTGTAACCCCAGGTATTGATTTACTGACAATCACTGTAATGCATAAGCCAAGTCAGATATCCTTGCTGAGAAGCAGATAAGTCAGTAAGAGTTTGAATTCCACTGGGTGCAGTTCTGCCATTCCTCACTTAGAGTGAATAGGTTGGATGCTTGTGACATAAATGTGTAACGGTAACGTGTAACTCATGATATCATCTATCCCAATCTATGTCTATCCTAACAAACACTGCTTTCACCGTGTTGGCTACCATTTGTTCACACACTGATTTAACAAAATCATAGCACAAAAAGAATCTGAAAATAAAGAAGCAAAACTGTTCAAAGAAAACCTATTTTTTTAAATGCTTAAGCATGGATGTGAGACATGCACAAAGCCTACGAAGCCATAAGCAGGTAGTGGGGGTGGAGGGCGAGCAGCCACAGGCAATGGCAGGGCCCAGGCAACTGGGCAGTGGATGATATCTCCAGTGCCACTCATCCTCTGGGGGCCCGGTTGCTACTGGGGCTGAGGGAAGGGGGGTGTGGCTCCGATACTAGGGCAGCAGGAAGGTAGGACCACCCTCCCGGGACACCAACCTGATCCATTTTTAGGTTTCTGCTCTTGCGCACACAATGTGAACTTGAACTTCTCTGCTTTCTTAAAATAAGGTGGCAATCTTGGGATTATCTTGAACCTACAGTGAGTGCTGCTGACCTAAATAATGCTTGCTAGCAGGCTGTAAAGACTGAAATGGATCAGATTGCTAGCAGCTGCAGAGGCGAGGTTTTACAGGACTAATTCTTGATGTCTGTAAAAAATTCTGGAGAAGGGCGAGAACAAGCAGCATCTATGTGAATACCTGTGTAAGCTCTCCTGGTTGAGCTACTGCTGCTCAGACTGTCTATGCACAGATACAGTTCCTGCAGCACTAACAATAAACTAACAATGAAACCTGTCAATAGGTCAAGATGGCTATTTACGGCATGAGCTAGAAAGGTTTCATCTCAAGTTGCAGTGGGGGATGGGGGTGGAGGAGAAAATTACCAATGCCATATGTCATTGAAAACAGGAGCCGCTATGCTGCCCGGCTAACTTACAATTAGTGTGGCAACTGACGGTCAGCAGCGTTGGAAACAGATGGAACAGCATGGCACGGTTTGTAGGAGGAGGGGCAGGTAAAGACCTGGGAGAGAACCAGGGGTTAGGGCTGGCGTTCAGTACGTTGTTTTTTTTCTTTTCTTTGCAGGTTTGTTCTATTTTTATTGGACTCTTAGTGACGAGCGGGAGAGGGGCACTAGAAAAGGAGGGATGAAGTAGAGCCGTACAGCAGCAGGCCAGCGAGAGAGTACGAGACAGAGGGAGAGAGCAGGCGAGCAGCGTAAGAGAACCATACACTTGCCTTGAGGAGACTGAATGAGAGATACAGGCGAAGAGGAAAGAAAGGAATCTGAAAAAAATAAAGGACAGAAGAATGATCATCCTAGAAGAAGTAGTAAAGAACTCCTACCCTGTGCACCCATTCAAATAAAGGCATTCAAATCAAGATTGAACTTATCCAGCCTTAACAACTCTATATACTATACACAAACTTCAAATAGAGACCAGAACATGTTAACAGAGATGACCTATGAATACGCTCTCATTGCTTACTTCAGTAAACCTACGATAACTTTAACACATGCACTTATATTTGCTACGCAGGCAAGACCAAGAAATTTTACTTAAGCAGAAAAAAGCACTTCTCATTTTGCTTTAGTGTTGCCATGAGCAAACAGAAGTGCTTCAAACAAATAAGCTACAACCACTATTTCTTCTTTAGTACTTCTCACATACATGTTGCTACAATAGAAACCAGCAGGACACAAAGATTAGAGTTGTTCTGATACCAGTACCGGAAATGCCTCGGTTACTGCCTAAAATGATGGATCGGGTATTGGTGAGCATGTCTGTGCACCAATCGGATGTCATGTAATTTATTAGCCCATTTTTACCCCCCAGGATGGCAAAGAGAAGGCCCGCTCCCTACTCTTTTTGAAATATCTTTTTAGGACTTTTTTGCCTTTATTTTGATAGGACAGCTCAAGGTAGGCAGGAATGGGTTAGAGAAAGACGTGACGACACGCAGTAAAGGGCCACAGGCTGGACCTGAACCTGACCTGCACATGGGGCGCCAGCTCCACCAGGTGAGCTACCAGGACGCCACAAACAACCCTACTGTGACTCATATTGGCTTAGCATAATATTCTCACCATAACCCTAACCAATCTAAGCAACCGCCAAAAAAGGTAATGGGTAATTGCCAATCAGAGTCAGAGTAGGCGGGTCATGTGCACTGTGCATTGGATTCTACTGTTCTAGGAGAAAGAAGAGTTGATTTCTAGTAGCTAGCTAACCTTTTGCAGTTTTACTTTACTCGGTGTATGCATTTGTATCGGATCAGTTCTCAGATACAAGGATAAAAAGGGTATCGGAACATCTCTAACAAAGACTTAATGTACAATATATGGCTTGTTTTCAAAATTGTTTGGTCTAGGCCCCTTAGTTTAGGGTAAGCTTAACACTCCAACAGTTTGTCCTTTTCCTGTTTCAATGTGACAATGCCACTCTGCACAAAGCCAACTCCATACAAAATGAGTTTCCCAGTTTGGTGTGGAAGAAATTGTCTGGCCTGCACAGAGCCCTGACCTCAACCCCATCCGACACCTTTGGGATGAAATGGAACTCCAACTGTGAGCCAGATATTTACCCAAAACCAGTAGCAGACCTTACTAATGCTAAGAATCAGAAGAGAGAAGGCTGGGACATCAGTTTCCACATACTTCTGGGCAACCATTTCTATTTCATGCTCTAGGACATTACACCTTGCACTGGGAATATAGCCTCCATCAAGGTAAAGAGGAAGTTTTCAGAGTTCACAAATCATTCTGCTTTGTCATCAGACAGGCTGGTGAAGCCAGGAGAGACGTATCTTGAGTCATGGGTAAGGACTGAAGATATGTGAGAGCTTCAGGTTTACTAAGGGAGGTGTGGCATCTCACTTCAGTTCAGCTCAAATGGAGTTTAGACAGGCTGGGCAGGTTGGGGTTGGGGTTGGTGAAGCATTCCTTCTCTCGGATTCAGCTCAAATGGAGTTTAGACAGGCTGGGCAGGTTGGGGTTGGGGTTGGTGAAGCATTCCTTCTCTCGGATTCATGCTATTCATTCTGCTATCCTCTTAACACACCACACCTTCATTTTTTAATCACAATGAGAGCTCTTGATCTTACTTGTGTTCCCACATTTGTCAGAGATGTACTGTATATAGTGTATAGTTGTAGAATTAAAGCATGCATACATGTCTTGGATCAACAAATCCATGACATCAGATCATTTGAAGAATGCATTTTAGAATCAAAAATTGTTTCACTATTGACAAATTTTCATGTGCATTACCTCATATCTATATTACAAGTTACAAGAATACAAAGTATGTAAGTATGGGAATAGATAGAATATGACTAGACTGTGACTCTATAGAAATAAAACAAGCCAACATACAGATCTAAAGAGGACTGCACAACTTGAATACAATCCAATACAAATATATGAATGATAACTTATAATAGATCAGATCAGTGTGGACTATGCAGCCAGTCCAGAGAGGAATATAAAGGAGCTGTTTAATCAGTCTGCTTTACTAAAAATGTTTTGGGGGGCAAACAAACTGAAAAAACAACATCTGCTCCAATGAACATGTTAGTGAACGGTTCCGTATTTACAATTCCAGAAGACAATGGAGCAAAGTTAGCTTGCCAGTGATGTTGTGTTTCTTGCCACTGTACAAGGCCAATATTCATTCTCCTTTAAGCGCTGGTTTCTACCAGTATCTGGCTCCACTTTAATCCACTAGCTGCCCACTCTGTCCATCGTCTGATTGATACTGGACAGCAGAGCGTGTAGTCACTTTACCAGAGCTGCCTGTAGCTGCTGGAAATAAGGCTGAGGAGATCAGAGTCTGTATGCCATACAACCAAAACAATGAGCAAAAAGAGGCTGAAATACCTCTGTAGGGCTGAGGGTGTTTGTATGTGAAAGGAGACACTTATAGTGTCAAACCCAGACACAGTCATTGTATCCCTTGTTGATATATAAAATATTAACATATTTTAATTCATTAAATATTTGTTCCATTTTAAATATTTGAGACAACTAGCGGTGTAAAATCATATTGCCTTTATTTTTAAATGTAACCCTCTTCTCTTGCTGTAGTTAGCCCTGACTCTAAACATAGACGCTAAATTTGAGCTGTATATTCGTTACCATATTTTCCAGTTTTACAAAAAAGGTAAGATCCTAACAAAAAAGCCTTAAACTTAACTTGATTCTTTATTTCAAGGATTTCATGTTAGCCATCTCTTACGCTAAGCTATACATAGCAAGAGCAGAACTATATTCATTAATGGGGCATGTCCAATTATAGAAATGATCATTTTTGGTGTCTGGGACCAAGGTTAGACTGTCCCCAAATACCACAGTTCTTCTGTGGTGAATGTGTCAGTGGCAGACATGAGTTGGAAGTCAGCACTGTGCCCTCGTGCTTCTTATGCTCATCTCTTAGTGGAAGTGACGGTTCTACTGGGTGGGTCTGCTGCAATGCCTGCCATCCCTGCCCTGGTGCTCCAGCTATCCTGTGCTGTCCACCCCTGAGGGCTATCTGATTGCCTCTGTGACCTCAGTGATACGGTCCGCTCCGGCAGGGAGTGGAGGGAGGAGGGCTGCCTTGGCAGAACGAGTGCAGAAAGAAAGGGGGGGAGAGAGAGGGGGGAGGTGGAAAGAACTCTGTGTTCCTTGAAGCTTTGCGTATGCGCTTCACTTTCAAGTGGTTTGCAATTAGCACCTGTCTTGATCAATGAATCAAAAGAATGTTTAATTCACTGAAATATGAGTTGGTTAACAATGTTGATGATAATCATATGAGGTCAAAAAAAAGAAAAAGAAAAAAGTAATTCATACCCGTGCATGTAACCTATTCTTTCTGGTCAGACTGCAGGTTCATGGAGGAAATGTGTTATCTATTAGTATAGTTATATATCACTACTTTGGGAGACTTCTAACTAGGGATGGGCAGGAGTACTCAGTTTGTATGTCATTATAGATTCAGTGTACAGTACTCAAATATATAATAAAACAATGATAGAACACTAGTAGAACTAATCAAATTGCACTTATTTTCTTACAGAAAGAAAATGAACTGTTCTGCTCTTTGGGCTAAAGTTACTGCATCTGCAACTACACCACTAGATGTCACTAAATCCTGCACAGTAGCAGGAAATTACTTAAATGCCCATCCCTGCTACTATGTTAACTCATCGAAAATGATATGGAAACCAATGCCAAAACAGAGGAAAAGAACATAAGTCTCCAGTTTTCTGGTTTTCTGAGTTTGATGCCTCCAGCAGTATAAAGGTTAGTCTGCTCATACCAGAACATTCCTGAGCACAGAGACAGCTGGAGCACTAAACAAGGAACTACAGTGATCAAACAGTGAGCTGAGGATTGCTGTAAAGTGCATCTGAGAGCTGCAACAATCAGTATCAAGTTTAAAGTACTTTTCACATAAAAACACTGTAAACCGTTTTCGATTGTGAGATTTCACAAAGGCAGGAGTACATGGTTTGACTCCAAAGCTAACTTCCCCTGAAAATCTGATGCAATGTAGTATGAGAAATGAGGTCCTCATTTTGAAGTGTGCCACTTCCTTTGTGACTAGTGTCACTCATCAGTGTGCGAGTCAAGTGGAATGGGCTCAACTTCAGACAGAAGCTGGAGAGGAGGGCCAGGCCATCTGGTAGCTGTGACGATTGCAGGCTGAAAGATAAACCTGGGGTAGATTACTATGGCAAACACAACAAACAAATACAGGCTGGGCGGCATGGACAAAAGCATATATCAAGATATCTCTGACAGAATATATGTGTAATGTGGCAATATCTCAGGGGTATATAGAGGGGTGCTTCGACTTTGACTGTTTTTTTAAGCTATCTTTGTTACAAATCATCACTTCCTGTAGATGTTTCAAATGTAAGGCCTACCAGGAAAGGGACGGATTCCATGCAAGGTGCACTATAATGTGAAACATTGAGTTTTATTGGTAGCTTAACTGTGATTTTAAAAGAGCAAAGCAGAAATAACTCCAAACAACTGACCCTTGCTAAGCCCCACTCCTTTCTGCTCTGTCCTCCAATAACAGTTGAGCAAGCCTCAGATTGTTTAGAGTCACTTTTTTTAAAATCACTGTTAAGCTAACAATACAACTCAACACTTCTTGACCAAATGTTTCACATTAAAACCTGCCATGACTTACATGGCATCCACCCCTTTCCTGGTAAATTTGCAACATTAACAGGAAGTGTTCAATTACTGAATGAAAAATATATTTCTGTTGTCGTACTGATGGAATTAGTGCTACACTATGCTGAAGACAAAAGGAGTTACAGGAGAACACAGCTAATTAAAAACAGGAGCAGAGAACAGGAGGGCTTCTTACTAAAATATGAATAAATACCTATAAAACAGGGGACATGTTTCTGATATGAGCCTGTTTTCAATTAAGGCCTGGTTCTCCTTGCAGCTAGTAAATAAGAGGATTTTTTATATAGTCATATTTCACCACTTCCTGCCTGTCAACAGTCATTTTACTAATACATTATTACACTTTCACCCTGTGATTACATCACAGAGTGTGGTAGTTCAAATCAGCACAGTGGAATTTATAAACCTGTCTGCCTAAACACAAAGAAATTATTCACTAGGGCTGTGCCAAGAAATCGATACAGCAATATATCGCGATATTTATTTACGTGATATACAACATCGATTTCCAGCTCCAAAAAAATCTATATTTTGAAGGGGGAAAAAAATCATGTTTTAAACAGGTTGTGATCTGAACTACAACCTCCGCTCCTGTAGGTGTCGCAGTACGACTCTGGTTGCCTCGAATTGCCGGGCGCAGTTTCTGGCAGAGTGAGAAATGGAAGCAGCATGTCTACTGACGGTATTAGAGCAGCGCCTTCAAAATACAAAGCCGATGTGTGGGTGCACTTCGGTTTCAAAAACAAACCAGGGAGCATGGACTTGGATAAAGCAAATGCAATTTGAAAGCTCTGTCACGCTGCCGTGAAATATTCAGGTAACACAACCAACTTGCGAACTCACCTTGTCAGACGCCATGCAGATACAATAGCGTTACCGCAGCAACCAAAACCTGTCGACGCGAGGCAAACTACGCTTGTGTTGAGTGACAATAAGGAGTACTTGTGCATATGCACTTTACTTTCATGTGTACATTTCAGCTCAGTCCTCTACTAGCCCACACCATCCTCAGTGAGTTCCCTGTGCACTTTATTTTCAATATCAGTGCGTCCAGTTAAAGTGCAAGAGTGCACATAATTTTCATTTTGATGTAATGGCAGCTAGATCTGTGTGTTTGGTAATTTGCCAAATATAAATAAATTGAAAAAGGACATTTTGAATTACATTGTTTTGACTCAAGTTGTCTGCTGAATTATCAATATAATATAGTTCTGTTTTTACATTCTCAGTTAACTATGTGGAATATCGCAATATACATTGTATCGCAATGTATCGTGATATAATCGTATCGTGACCCATGTGTCGTGATGTGTATCGTATCGTGAAGTCCTTGACAATACCCACCCCTATTATTCACAGATTAATCCATACCAAATAAATCATTAGCTGTCCATTTCACAAAAATCCTTAATTTTGTTGATTCATTCCTTTTGTATACAAGTGGAAAAAGTGACCAACTCCAACAAATATGCTAAGGTTACAAGTGTTTCCGAGTCAAACTACATCTGCAAACATTGTCTCTGAATGTGATGTGGATGCAGAGTTGGGCCCAAAGTCCTGAATTTGAGGTGACTCAGCATTGCTGTAGTGGCTAAACTGATAGAAATGATTGCAGCAGCTCTCTCATGCCGTTGTGTGTGAATGTCATATACTCCTATACATATTTATTTATTAGTATTGTTGTTGTTTTTTTTTGGTTTGGGGTCTAAATCATTATTGCTAAGTCATCAACAATCAATAATCAGCACAGCTCTAGCTAGTGCTACGTGTTCCTTAAACCTCTCTCTGGCTGGCACTCTTCCTTCACCTCGCCTGTCTGTCCCCCCTACCCCTGCTGATCACTGCCTGCCTCTCTCTCTCTCTCTGTACACAAAGTGCATTCACTGTGAAAACTCCATTGGAAATGGAGTTCCAAGTGCAAACGTTAGCATTCAGACAGGTAGCCTAGATCAATGTCTAATAAAATCCGCCAGCTATCGCTGTCTTGCAAATGAACAGCCTGATTGAGCTCATCAAGCCTCAAGCATTGGATAACAATAACTAGTGTTGGGCATGTGTATGGGTTCATTTCACTAACTGATAAACAAGCAACCACCATTTACGGTTTGCAACCTATAGTCCTGTTTTTTGGGAGGATGACTGAAAAGCTGTCGTCAAATTTTGAAATGTCATACCACGCAGCTTCTCTTACCAACAGACGAGTTTCAAACCAACTACGCACCCAGATTTATGTAGGCGATCTGAGTGCAATAATTACAGCATAGATTACTTCCAGGATATTTGATGGGGGGGACATTTAAATCAATTTCCAGGTGTTTCCATGACTGGAAAACTAGTCTTTCCAGGTTTCATATATATACACACACACACACACACACACACACACACATAAATACATACCTACCTCAAGCAGAATCACTCGGTTGAATACAAGAAGAGGTCAACAGCTATTGTGAGTTCTAAACCAAAAATATTTCAGTATTTGATCTTATTGTCGAGAATATTATTATGGCAGAAATATCCCTGAAATAGCGTATTATTTTAGGGCCATATTGACAACTGCTAGGACATACTATGACGAACTGTGCCGTATAATGCTCAGTGAGTTTAATCTGACTCAAACTTTTAAAAACTGAGCAATGACAAGTGATTAAACCACCATAAAAATGGTGAGTGAACCTTATTTTTTACTTAAAAGGCAGGTAATGGGCGTTTTCCATCCCCACTACAGCCCTGGTAATGACTAACATTTGTGGACCGCAATGCCTGTTATCTACCATGGAATGTTAAAAACCCAAACATGGTCAGAAAACTATTCATTTTTACAGCCATGTTTTATGAGTATCTGCCTCAGAAATTATAGTTCCAGCAGACAGAATTGGCTCTAACAGAAGCTCTATAGCTGTGTGAGCCACCTCTGAATCTAAAAATATACTAGAATGCATGTTTAGTGAATAAACCCCAAGCTATACACAACTCCCAGCATCAGATATTATTAGGCACCTAAATTAGCAGCTCATGGCTGAGACAAAGTGGAGCCACCCATAATTGTTGACTAATAGACTATAATTACAAAAGATCCGAATTTAGTCCCAAGTTTTTATCATATTGTACATCACATGATCGTAAACATGGAAAGAATCATGATGCTAAATGCTTTTTGAAGTGGTGGAGATTTCTACAAATCCTTTGTATAATGTTGGCCTTCCTCTTCCTCAGTGATAACAACTTCAAGAAGACCAAATTGAGCCTCAGCCAGGCATCATGTGCCACACCCTGCCATATCCAGTTGACCATCAACCATATGTGCTAGAATTCTTTAAAGCCTACAATCCTTTCGATTAACAGAACGTGGCTTTGAAGGATTTTCAAATGGCTCGTATGTAGTGGCCGATTGGAGTTCAAATCAGACAGCTTAACACAAACATACACTGCCTGATGGGGAAGCTGCCACTCCCTCATGCACAATAATAACCTGCCCATAAGGCCCCGGGCAACAACACTGTTCCTTTGTTTTAATGAGGCTCATCTAGACTGTGAAAGCGAAAAATGTGAAAAAACTACAAACGTGGAGGCGGTAATAGTTATTATACAGATATGAATGACAATAGTGAGGCTCTTCAGGCATGATGTTTGTTCTGGGACTGTTCAGCATTATCAAGACACCGACACAAAAAGGGCAATGCGCCTTTAAGAGGTCCTTCCTTCGCTGGCAGTTGCCCAGTAACAATGCATCTGCAGTGCAGAGCATCGCAACATTTAGCGCTGATAACGCTTTGTCACCCCAAACGTGCATGTACAAAAACTGCCATTTAAAGTTTATTTACTTATCAACAAACATACGCACCTTGTAGAGCCTTATGTAAGACTACATTAACAGCCATTAGGATACCTATTTAAATTCGGCTAACACCAACAACACTAAGCAGCGGGTATGTGAATGATTTTTTTAAATTTAGCCCAGCTATTCACGCAATTTCCTTTTCATATAACGTTAATAACGTTGCTCATTAGCAAGCAGCGTCAACCCGTGTGTCGCTGTTTAGCTGATCATTCGGCTGTCCGAATAAAGCCACTGTTACATTCAATGTCTTATCTCATGCTCCACAACATTAGCTACAGACCTCCTCTGCTTATTAGCAAGGTGATTTAAAAGTGACAGATTCATAAAGGGGGTGTTTGTGTAAAGTTATCGCCATACGAGACAGCGGCGCGAGCCAGGTGCAGGCCAAAGCTGCACGGGGTGTGATTGGTAACGTTAGCCCGGATATGTTCACTACCACAGGTGTTTGGCATTACAACTAAAACAACCGCGTAACGTTACAGGCCAACAACAGACCAAATAAAAGGGCTTTCTATATGACAATAGCTTACTTATTGTTCTAAATTTAATTATTGCGTTATAAATTTAACCCATGAATTCATGAATATGCCTGTAAAGAAACATTTGACAGGTTTGATTGTAATTAACGGCACATTAACATTTAGCTAGCTAACGTAATGTTGCGCTATTTCTTACCGGACAGCTTTGATTCTTTGGCAGCTGAATTTTGTCCATCTGCAAGCCCTTGCGACGATGATATCTGGGCGGACTGAGTCATTGGATCCATTTTTACTGTAGTTTTAAAACAACTGCACAAAGGCGGTGAAATAAACGTCTGTCGTCTCGAAGTGTCCTTCTGAAGGCGTATACGTCGTCTGACTTTCCTCAAAATTCCCCCAAGAGCGGGACTCGGATCCGCACCTTAACGCAACGTCCGAGCACTGAGCGATAAGCGGAGATGGAGGGAAACAAGGCGGACTATGGAGGAGGGGAAAAAACATGTCGGGTTGAGAGGCGTTCACTGTCTCCTCTTCAAGCTCCTACATCTCAGCTCCGACCTGACAAATAGGACATGTCTCTGCGTTCAAGTATAATAAAATAAAACCAACCAGATAAAAAAATGTAATTAATTGGTCCTCCATGCTCCTGTTTTTTGAAAATATGTCTCGGCAACTCTTATACCAGTAAAGTCCAACTGTACTAGAGGGACTTTGTAATTAGGTTGTGGAGTACATAAGCGTTAGTGAAATATTCGACAGCTCGTGAAGGCAGCGAGAGGAATATTCCTGAACACAGACAGCACGTTCTACCTGCTCTGAACAAAAGTGGCTTCTTGTATTTCGACCATTGGCTGATATATCATTGGGAGGTTACACTGAATGAATTATTATTATTATTATTATTATAAATTATACCAAAATATTTCTACTAAACAAATTTGGTATAGTTTGAATGCATGCTGGTGTATTTGAGCTGGTAACAAAACCAGCCACATTGATACAATTATTTGAATGATGAATTAAAGATGCACTGACTTCACAGCTACAGTACAATTTTATACAATTCTAAACAGCGTGGTTTGCTCTGTGGCCTGTTTTCCATTATGTAATGGTTACCTTTGTTCCATTTTGTAGCAATAAGTCACACAATGGCATCATGCTGCCCTCTACTGGGGTGCAGAGACATTAATATATCATATAAATATTACATATTCTTTATATAGTTCAACATATATAATATTGAGGATATTATATATTTTAATTTATAATATTATATTAAGATTAAATATTTTAAAAACATATATAACATTTAATATTGACAATATTATGTATAATATAACATTAAGATATAACATAAATATCAAATATTTTATCTTAATGGCTCTGATCACCATCAGCACTTAGGTGGCCGGATGAGTACTGACCTTGTGATCGATTTTAATGCTGACATCCTTCAAAAGTCTGACACCATTTTTTATTCGTAACACAAGACGTGAAACCTAAAGTGACAACATAACATAAATCAAAAGTCCATATTATGTTAAAAAATTCTCATTATAATGACTGAATGAAAGAAAGTTAATGCTCCAGGAGATGCTAGCCTTAAATATGACACAGTCATATAATACAAACTATGTATATATAAACTTTTTTGTTAACTGAGCTAGCAAAAGCAGCTAGCAAAAAACACAAAGTTTACAATACACATATGCCCAGCAATGGTCTCTGTATGCCAGCCAATCAGCAGCCAGTGAAGTCGAGCGTTGTCTGCTCTGGGCCAATCAGCAGCTCGGGTTGTCGAGCGTTAGTCGAGCGTTGTCTGCTCTGGGCCAATCAGCAGCTCGGGTTGTCGAGCGTTAGTCGAGCTTTAGCCGTTAACGCCCATTATATGTCTATGTTAACGCCCACCTGACCGGCTGCCGTATTCGACGGACAGAAATCGTCGTGCGTTGTTTTGACTGAGTGAGTAAAACCAAAATAAATAGAATATTAATGTACTGATATAACATTGTCACCCCACAGTACTTTTACGATGTACTGACATGGAGTTTGTCAATGTTTTATTACGTTTTGCCGTCAATCGCTGGTTTTGATATTTTCAAGATAGAAGGAGGCCCAAGCCCCAATGATTCTTCTAATATTAAGTAAACAACAGCAGCAACTTATATGATCAAGTTAAGAAATATATTGATACATAACGTTCTCATTATTGTCTTTGCGTTTTCTAAGGCTTGTCAGAAAGCTGATAAAAAGGGTAAACACATCACATACTCTCACACACACACACACATATATATGTTTATACACATATAAACATATATATAATGTGTCTTTTCACTGCACAACTAATTAATTAATCAATAATAAAATGAGAAACATGAATAGCCTGAACATGAAAGGGTGCAGACCTCAGGCACTCGAGATGCAGGGTGCAGGTTGAGGGTCCTATCTCATTGCAGGGAGTTTTCAGGCTCCAATGAATGCCCCTGTGGTTCTTGTGAGAGAGAGAGAGAGAGAGAGAGAGAGAGAGAGAGAGAGAGAGAGACAGAGGATGGGTTAGACACACCTATACAGGTTTAGACAGGAAATTGCCTGGGAAGATGAGGCCTGGTCTTTGTTTTTTATCATCAGCAGCTTTTGTTTAGCAAACTCGTATAAAGTATGATGTTGTCTCATGTTCTGGGTTGTCTGTTAGATATGCAATGTATACATGTCCAGCACGTATAAAGTATAAAGTATAATATATGTGTAATATGTTAAAAGTATATAGTATATGTGTATTATGTATAAAGTATATCGTATAATATATGACTTAGACTTAGACAGACTTTATTTGTCATTTGGATTTGCTTCAAAATGAAATTACGTTGCAATGGCACATAGCACAACAGGAATAAAGGGGAGGCAGTATGTACAGTCTAAAAATAGATATGCAAATATAAAAGAGAGAGAAAAAAACTTTTTATATAAAAAAAACCTGTAAGATAATATATATTGCACAGTTTAGTTGCCTATGTAAAAGAAACTTTTGTTTATAATACAAATAAGATAAATACGATAAATATATCTTTTGTGTAAAAGACAGATAAGATAGCTAAGATAAATATAATTTCACAACAGAAGATCCTATTGGAGCAGTCCTGTGTAGGTGTGTGGGTGAGGAGGGGGAGGGAAGGGGGAATGGTTGTACAGTGTTCAGCAGTATTATGGCATGTGGAAAGAAGCTGTTGTTGAGTCTGGCTGTTCTGCTCCGCAGGCTGCAGAGTCTCCTTCCAGAGGCCAGCAGTGAGAACAGTCCATGGTGGGGGTGGGAGGGGTCACTAACGATGTTTTGAGCCCTGGTCAAACAGCAGTGTCCTGGAGGAGAGGAAGTGAAGTCCCAATGATTTTCTCTGCTGTCCTCACCACCCTCTGTAGGCTTTTCCAGTCAGAGGCACTACAGGCCACCGAGCAGACTGAGATGCAGTTGATCAGGATGCTCTCTATAGTTCCTCTGTAGAAGGTGGTGAGAATGGGAGCAGATAGGTGCACTCCTCATCCGGCACAGAAAGTGCATACGCTGCTGGGCCCTCTTTACAAGGGTGCCAGTGTGGTTTGACCACAGGGCCGTTTCTAGCTGTTTGGGGGCCCTATGCGAGATACTATTTGGGGGCCCGTATTTTTTCAAACTCTTATATAACTCATATATTCTGTGACCATGCAGCAGTCTTTTACATTGTAAGAGGAAAGCAGGCTAGGGTACATTAATAAATGCAACAGATACAGTATGTTCTTGAAAAATGTTTAATGTAAACTTTGAGGTGGCATAACAAGGTGGCATAACATAAAAAAGCTTTAACCCACCATTCCAAAACAGTAAAAAATAAATGACTAAACTTGCTTAAATAAATAAGTATATAATGGATCAGCATCCATGTTATTGCACAATCAATAAAAAAAACAAAAAAAAAACTAGTTATGTAGTGATATACTGTAGTTGTAGTTTAAAACGAGCCATATATAACTGTACTGGTCAGGAGCAGTTGCTGATGGTCCTGCTGCTTGCTGGTCAGAAGCTGATGATGGCTCTTCTTGAACTGGACCTCCGAAGTATTTCAAAATTGCTCCTGCAAAGACAAAGCTCCTTAGGTTACCAAGCAATCAAAGCAAATATTCATATCATACTAGTGCAGTGCCCGTAGGAAGTATGTATTGCTATAGAAAAGTGGGAGGTTAAGTAGCTTCTCTGAGATCCTCCTCTGGAGGTAGTATCAGGGACGGAGGAGCGACGGCGTGTCGGTCAGACAGTCTGATAACTGCACAGGTCTCTCACTCAACTTAATAAAGAGAAATGTCCCACAAAGCAACGTTACAGGACCAAACAACAGTAACGTAAAAATTCTGAATCTGTTTTTATATTAAACATTACAATAAACAGTGTCCCTGTTTAAGCATCTACCAGTTTTTTCTGTGTTTGTCTCCACATTATACTAGTTAATTAATAAAAATGAAGGTAAATGAGTGATGAGCACCATATGATATAAAGGGAATATGTTTGCATATATCTTGCAGTGCATTACAAAGTGGACAACTAGCAGTCCTATGCAGTACAGGACACTTTAAATATACAGGTTTGTTCAAATTAGTAAACTACATTGTCACAATATATATTCTAATAAATTTGGCAAGGGGAATTCAACTGAGTCATCAGATTTGTCCAGTAACCAAACCACAGTAAATAAAAATACAATAGAGCAAAGAATTGGATAATATTTTATAGCACAGTGATCATTTAAAACTCATAGTGTTATATGAATAATCCACTGCTATACTGCTGCTACTAAAAGTAACAATAATCAGTCTAATAATAATGTGTTTTATTTATAAAATAGTAGCACAGGTCTATGCTTGAGACACATTTATTTGAGCCTTTCTGTAAATCAAACTCTGGATAAAGCTGACTTTATTTACATACAGACAAAAAACATTATCTGAGGCTAGCTGAACTAGCCAGCATGACAAAAGTAACAAACTAACTTGTTCAGAAGTTGGCGTTATGTGTCCCCCTCCCCCCCACATCAAATGCCTTACCTTGATCCTGTGATCGGTTTTCTTCATCGGTTTTCCTCTTTTTGCGTTTCTCTGCACCAGACGCAGAAGTATGTTTCGATGAGCGTCTACCGTTATTATTATTCTCATCACTTCAGTGGAAGGTGGGCGGCTGTCAATCATTCCGTCAGACCTGTCGGCAGACGTCACTTACCACGTGACAGCACAGCCCAAAGGTGATTTTGACCTGATTACCCCACGAACACTTACATGCTTTGCAAATAAATCCACAATGAATGCGTGCAATACATGCAAATAGACATGCAAGACAGGTATTTTTAATTTTCAAATATAATAAAATGAGCTGAACTTGGTTTGGGGGCCCCTGGTGGTGCGGGCTCCCCATATTGCAAGAAACGGCTCTGTTTGACCAGGTGAGAGAGTGTGTTACCTGCACCCCCAGGAACCTGGTGCTGCTGACGATCTCCACTGCTGAGTCGTTGATGATGAGAGGAGGGTGGCTGTGCTGGTTCTTCCTGAAGTCCACAATGATCTCTTTTGTTTTTGAGACATTCAGGATCAGGTTGTTGGTTCCACACCAGTCTGCCAGATGTTTCACCTCCTCTCTGTAGGCCTGTTCATCGTTGTTCTTGATGAGGCCCACTACTGTCGTGTCGTCTGCGAACTTCACCATGTGGTTAGTAGTGGCCTTGGCGAGCGTCTGGGTCATCGGTGACGAGCGGACTTAGGACGCAGCCCTGGGGGGAACTGGTGCTCAGGGAGATGACACTGGAGACATTTTTTCCCACCCGCACGCACTGAGGTCTGTTGGTGAGGAAGTCAAGCAAGCAGTTGCACAGGTGGGTGCTGAATCCAAGGGGGGCCCAGTTTACTTATCAGATGTTGTGGTATAAAGGTGTTGAACGTGGAGCTGAAGTCCAGGAACAGCATCCGCACATGTGTGTTTTTCCCTTCCAGATGTTCTAGGCTCCGATGGAGTGTAGAGGAGATGGTGTCCTCTGTGGAGCAGTTGAGACGATAAGCAAACCGGTACGGGTCGAATGTTGGGGGGAGCCTGGAAACCATGTGGTCCTTTTCCAGCCTCTCAAAGTAGCCTCCTTCATCATGATAGGTGTGAGTGCTACTGGGCGGTAGTCATATGTAAAATGTATAAAGTATATAGGCCTAATATAATATATGTGTAAAATGTATAAAGTGCATAGTATAATATTGTGTAATATGTATAAAGTATATAATATATGTGTAAAATGTATAAGTTTTAATATATGTGTAATATTTGTTTAATATATGTTAAAATGTTAAGTCATAGTATAATATATGTGTAATATGTATAAAGTATATAATATATGTGTAATATGTATAAAGTGTATAGTATAATATATGTGTAATATGTATAAAGTATATAGTATATGTGTAATATGTATAAAGTATATAGTATATGTGTAATATGTATAAAGTGTATAGTATATGTGTAATATGTATAAAGTGTATAGTATAATATATGTGTAATATGTATAAAGTATATATTTTTAAAGTATAAAGTCATAGTATAATATATGTGTAATATGTATAAAGTGTATAGTATAATATATGTGTAATATGTATAAAGTATATAGTATATGTGTAATATGTGTAAAGTATATAGTATAATATATGTGTAATATGTATAAAGTATATAGTATATGTGTAATATGTATAAAGTGTATAGTATATGTGTAATATGTATAAAGTGTATAGTATAATATATGTGTAATATGTATAAAGTGTATAGTATATGTGTAATATGTATAAAGTATATAGTATATGTGTAATATGTATAAAGTATATAGTATAATATATGTGTAATATGTATAAAGTATATAGTATAATATATGTGTAATATGTATAAAGTATATAGTACCACTATGGGAATTAATAGTCCTTAGAGCTTTTGTTGGATAAAACTGACTTGTGCATCACAATGGTCTTTTCGGCTGCAACTTTACTGCGCTGCTAATAGAATAAGCTAACTTCCGGGAACTCTTGTAAGGCTCCATTGCTGTAAAAAGACACAAAAAAGCGGGTCCATCGGAGCAAACGGAGATGACGCGACTCCTGTATCTAAATGACTCTGCTGGGGTGCGAATAACATAATACGAACTACATTTCCCGGCATACACAAGAGGAAGCCGTGTGCGCAGTGGTTTAGATCTATAACCATAGGGATGGGCCTATCTAGGTTCGACTGCGGTTGACAGCGACCTCCACATCGTTATGAGATCTGCTCTGTTACGCAAACGTAGACTGGCAACACACTGCAAGTGATTTTCGGGCAGACTGAAGTGCGCGGCAAAAGAAGGGAGACACAAACAAAAACATGTGGCTGAGGCTGTGAGAAAACGGGTATGTAACCCCTTACACACTGGTCGTATTTGACGCTGATAAGAGCTTAGAGTGAGTCGGCGTTGCGGCGCATTGTGGCGGTACATCCCGCAGGGGTCCTAGGATGCTGAGCGTTATCCAAAAGTGGCGAGTTTAGCTAACTAGCAGCTCGTTAGCTTGTTAGCCGCTTCTCTCAGCAGCCTTTCATTCAGCCAGCTGCTCCCGGGCTGTTTGACACAGTGTTCCTCTCTCTGGTTCACGATATTGCTGTGCTTTATCTCACGGTGCCACATAAACAAGTTAGAATGTATTCAGCAAACAAACGCAGATAGATTAATGGGTGTTAGCTAACGTTTACTTAACTTAGTAAAGTTAGCTAACGTTAGTTAGCTTACATCAGCCAACCGGCTAGCAATTGAATTGATTTAACTTCTATTTGGGTCTGTAGTGAAGGAGTGAAAGAGCAGGTGTGCTGCTGCGGAGATGTATTGACGTTAGGGAGAATAAGGAGCTTCGTAGAGCCAATATTTGTAGGTTTGCATCTGAATGTACGTATGTAACAGTGGGAGTGCCCCGCCCACCAAAGCGCCATATAACGTTAACGTTAGCTCCTGATAGCGGCATTGATGGAAGCGGCATTATATAACGAGCCGAGCCGCTCCGCTGCTCACTGTGAAGCTTTATGTTGTATTTGTTCAGCCTGCTGTAGTAACAATGAGTAATTGGAAAATTATTAATGCAGAGATCATTTTTTTTCTTAGCTGACTTTTAGTTAACGCATTTAATACTGAGAACACACAGACATACCATTTCATTACTCAATTAAATAATATAAATTTATATTCTAAACATTGTTCCTAAATAATATGTTATTTATAATTAGTTGTTCATTCAAATAACCATGAAAATTAAACAATAAAAAATAAATACAACGACTTAAACAAAAGTAAAAAAAAAATATGGAAGAAAATAGGTGACTAATGTTCTGGCATTGCTTGTATTATTAATGACCTTTTTTCGTGGTCCTATGTGAAGATTATTTATTTATTCATTTTTATTTACACACAAATTCTGACGTGTAATTATTAGTGACCATTCTTTTTTTGTGAGGATTTTTTATTTTATTTTATTTTCAATTACAAAAGGTATAAAAATACCCAGCCAGAATAACACAAGAACAAAGTTGGGGATTAATTCAGTAATTGACTGATCAATTAATTGACTAATATTTGCAGCTCTAAAAAAGGCTCATATATTTTCTTCCTCTGTGCCATAGAGCTTCATTGTTGTCCAAAAACTACATCAATGAGCCACGCTGTGGCACTGGGTAACATGTTCCTTCATTACCATGAACACACACTGTAGTTTATTTTAACTCAGTCCCTCATACACCGTCTTGCTGCCCCAAGTACTCTCTAGAGCACCAAATGTGTATTAATCCACAACTGTAAATAGACCCAAACAAATGCACTCTTTCCTCCTGTTTGAGTAACGTTTGATAAAAACTACAGTGACTAGTTGTTTTAGTAAATTACTGAGCCTTTTTGAAAAATAAAACTATGCGTTTGTGAGCTGGTTTTTAAGATTTCTGTGTACAATAGGAACCAGTGGGGTTGGAACTGAGAGCCACAGACAGGGGTAAAGAGGTCAGGAAGTACAGAATCATAAAATTATGGAATCATGTCTTCCTTTTAACTTGTCCCACTGTCTGCAGCATCAGTGTGATATCCATGTGGACTGACTGCTCTGTAACACTCAATACTGCAGGTGAGGAGAGCATCTGAGTGGACTGACAGTGGACATCATGGGTTTGCACTCCGCCCAGAAGAAGCACTTTCCCCTGCGGGGGATTGACGGTGTGGTACAGCTGTTCGACGCTGAGCTCCGCAAGTCTGAGCCGGACCTAGCCCTTCTCTCCTTAGTCCTTGGTTTTGTCGAGCACTTCCTAGCTGTGAACCGGGTCATCCCCATAAATGTTCCAGGGGTCCGGTTTGAACCGCTGGAGCCGGACTGTCCCAACTCCTGCTTCCCCACAGTGGAGTTGGGCATGATTTCAGCACTGTATGAGCGCTTCACGGCCCAGATCCGTGGTGCGGTGGACCTGTCCCAGTACCGGAGGACTGCTGCGGGGTCCAGCAGGGAGCTGGTGAAGAAGGTGTCAGATGTGATCTGGAACAGTCTAAGCCGCTCTTACTTCAAGGACCGGGCCCACATCCAGTCCCTCTTTAGTCTCATCACTGGTACGACATCATGAGTACTAGATGTTTGTTATGTGTGGAACTTGGAAGCAGCTAATTCTTTGTTCACTTTGAACCAGGTACCAAACTGGATAGCTCCGGCGTGGCATTCGCTGTAGTGGCAGCATGCCAGGTTCTAGGTCTGAAGGATGTTCACCTGGCGCTGTCTGAGGACCATGCCTGGGTGATTTTCGGCAAAAACGGCGAAGAGACAGCAGAGGTCACCTGGCACGGAAAGGGCAACGAGGACCGACGAGGACAAACAGTTGCAGCAGGAGTCAGTGAGAAGGTAAGGCCTCACTTCTGTGCACGTATTCCTCTTTGCCCAGTGGATGCAGGGGAGTGACCATCAGCTGCCAACACAAATATCCAAGGTTCAAGGTCACTTCATTTCTACCCATAGGTAGCCTTTGATTGCAGTAAGACACAAGGCATTTCTCTTGACAAAAATATTAAAACAACAGACATACAGATATGATAAATGATAAAAGTGCTTCAGGCTCTAAAATCAGGACTTACAGAGGTAGATATAATAAATAACCACTAGACTAAATAATAATAATATAATAAATAAGGTGAAAATGCAAGTAATAGCAAGAAAAACTCTGTTGAGCAACACTGCTTTGTTCCATCCGCTGTCAATCCTATTGGATGTGTCTGCGACCTTGCTTTTATAGTTCACCAAAGTTGAACGAAGCGCGAAGAAAAGATGTAAATTTGCTTGTATATGCCCAAAGCTCTCTTTTTTCCAGCCCCTGTAACCAAACATGAAGGTGGCCCTCCTGTAGGTTTAGATAGTAAGGAAAACTGTTGAGCAAAATGTTCCAGTATTATATTATAATTATTACACATTGCTGTAAACCTGTCCTGTGTGTTTGTGTTCCTCAGAGTTGGCTGTATCTCAAGGGCTCCTACATGAAATGTGACAGAAACATGGAGGTGGCCTTTATGGTCTGTGCCATCAACCCCTCACTGGACCTGCATACTGACAGCTCTGAGCTCCTGCAGCTGCAACAGGTGAGCACTAGTGCTCAGTGAGTTGGTAAATATAATATAAAATAATATAATCTTTTAATCTCCTGCAACAAAAAAGTTTCACATTAGATGTTGGAGGAAGCGATGACCTGTCAACGGAACAATCTGATGTTCTTATACACAAAACCTGCCATAATTGTATGTTTAGAAGTGCCCATTATCTTTCTTTTGTTATGCAGTATGGTGCTTAGAAATTACTCCAACTGAATTTAGCACAATCTGTGCGCTGTCCTGTATTGTCAAGAATCCAATCTCCTGGAAAAGGAGAGGTCAGGTGAAATGTTTTTTTAACAAGGGCCCTGATTTTGTGTTTATTCCTTACTTTCAAGCAATATGTATACTCAGTTATAAGTGATACCAGCAGTGGTATATTGCACAGCTCTTACTCTTCCTTTTCTTTTCCTCCCTGCTGTAACAGAAACTCCTCTGGTTGCTGTATGAGCGAGGCGACGTGGACAGGTGAGAGTTTGTGAGGAATGAAGAGTCTTACAGTTTGTATATGCTGCCTTTCCACTAGAAAGACTTGTGTGTGTAACCTTGCTAAATTGCACAACCCCCCTGCTGTTCTGTGCTGTGTACCAGGTATCCTATGGCCATGGGCACTCTGGCAGACCTTGAAGATCAGGATCCAATCCCAGGCAAGGAGAACCCCCTGAAAATCCACCTCAAGGTCGGTCTTTAGGTTTCCACCAGGTCACACAGCAGGAAGGATGTTTTTCCTTCATGTTACTCCAGTATTGTTCATTTTGAATATACCAATATAAGACACACATTTTAAAACTTTTATTTATTTTCAACTCAGCTTGTAACAGTTTTCTGGAACAGTCATTGATGTGAATGTGAGAGCAAATAGATTTTCTGCAGTGAAAGTTATGCTTCATGTATATGTTCACCAATGAGGATGTTTAATAGGAAGTCTGTGTTCTCTCTCAGGCCGTCAGTTCTGCTCAGACGCACTACAACAACGAGCACATCTACCCCTACATGTACCTGGCCGGCTTCCACTACAGACACAGGAATGTGCGGGAGGCTCTGAGGGCCTGGGCCGAGGCAGCTCAGGTCATGCAGGAGTGAGTTCACACTGCTTTTACACATCAGTAGGTTGCAGGTTAAAATATAGGAAGAGCAAGAGAGGAGGGATCACAATAGAATGTACAGAATAGATAGGTAAAAAGTCACAATACAAACAAATTATGATCACAAAAGTACAAATGTATGAAGATTGTAAACCATAAGTGAAAAGTTTGGATCCAGGACGGGTTTCACCAGATAGGAAGAATCGCACAAGCCCCTCTCCACCATGGAGACCTGGACGAGAACGGCCATACAGACGCAGAATAGGCAGCACAGCATTCACACAGAGGGAGACAGAGACATGGGAGCATGAAAACTAGGGAAAGAGGAGAAGCGGAAACTCCTGGGTGATGATGACTAGCCAGGAGAGAGAGTTCCCACATGGCTGATGGGAAGTTGAGGCAAAAAGTTTAGCTTAAATTGAAAGGCTTCAACAGAGTCAGACTGGTGACTAGTGAATAACTGGAGGAAGTATTAATTGGTTGACAGCCAAAATAAATCCTGGCTAGCAAAGTGACAGTAACTTTAACATTAACTCACGTTTGGGGCTGAAACCATTATTTTAATTGTTGATTAATCTGCAGATCATCCATTTCTTTCTTTTACAATGAATGGATTATCAGTTTAGTCTATAAAAGGTAAGAAAAATAAGTTTTTACCAGTTGACCAGAGTACAAGATCATGTCTATTTGAAGACAAATCAACAACAAAATCAAACATTTGAGTTTGATTTTGTTGAAAACCCAAAGAAAACAAATCTTAATCTCTTCAGCTCTACTAACCTTTTTCCAAAAGTTGACGTGCTTCCTGTGCGTTTCTTGTGCTTTGTCCCTACTGTTTTGTTGTCGCTTTTTGTCCGTTTTTTTTGTCCATTAATCTGTTACTTTGTTTTTTTCCAAGAGCCAACGTCACTGAAAGATGCTGCTTATCGGTGCGGCAGGTGGAAGAGAGATTATTCGTTTTTGTAGTACACATTGTGACAGTTTTTGTTTTTAAAGGTTATTTTTATTTAGTGTCCATCTTGTTTTTAATGTGGAATGCTTGTCGAGCAATATTTTTGTCATAGTTGTTTTTCTCAAAATGAACAGATGGAATTGTGCGTTTATTCAGTCTACCTAGCATTAAGAGCTTCACCGGGCTGGTTTTAACGGCAGGACTACAGGTCTTTTTCACCGCAGCCATTTTGGCATTAAATAGTAGGGTAAACACAGGTGTTACCAGTGATACTAATTGTTTGGTTCCATTCAGGTCAAACAGAGTCATGGTGCTGCTGTGGTGCATGTTGGATCACTGGAAAGGCTCTGATCCACTAAATAGAACAAAGCCTTAATTAGTGTCATTGTAACATTCATGTTTACCCTACTATTTCATGTAATGGCTGCTTTGAAAAAGAACTGTTGTATGTTAAACACAGGAAGAAGGTGGTCATCCAACAGCATTGTCTCAACCCGCAGCTGCAGTTGTTATTCCACCAGACGAACACAAGATGGCAGTAAGAGCACAGCCATCCTCCTGAACTGTGTCATCAAAGAAATTTGAAGACTTAAAAGCGCCATCAGCCGTCTTATCTCAACAATAAGTATTAAAGTGAAGTGCTCTGACAGTTGAGTGTGAGCTCTGGGTGAGGTTGTCTCTACTCTGACACATCCACCACAGAGAAGCTCCAGTCCATGTTAGTCTGAGAGGGTGTGGCGGTGGAGCCAGGAAGTGTCCGTCTCTGCATCCCCGTGTTCTCTCCTCCCCTTTAAACACACTGTTCACGAGCTGCAGCTAAAAATACCAGCACTGACCCACCAGACCACACATTCCCTCCCCATCAATCAGCTTCCTTTTCCTGCTCCCCCATTGTTTTTCAGTTTCAGCTCGCCCTCTGTGCACCATCTACAACAAGGAATGTGTTCATAATAGAGGATTATCTACAACAGAGTTCATGTCTTGTCATGTCTGAACTGTTGCAATGTCCTTATTAATCAAGACAGGTCAATATTTCATCCTGAAAGACATCAAATGGTCAAAAAAGACATTTCCATTCACACCTTGCAGGCTGTATTCTGGCCTCCTCCCTGCCGTTATTAAAAGCCCTTCTCTTCTCACCTGCTCTTGCAGCTATAACTATTTCCGTGAGGACGAGGAGATCTACAAAGAGTTCTTTGACATTGCAAACGATGTTATTCCCACTCTGCTGAAGGAGACATCTGCTGCTGCAGAGAGTCTGGGGGAGGGAGGAGAGGGAGGAGAAGGAGCTGACAAGGTGAGTATTTATGCAGTACTGCAGATGAAATGAGTCAGATCTCATCAGTTTGTTTCAGTAACATTTCTTTTTGCTTTGTGTTTTTTTAAACCAAAGACCTTTCCACCTTGCATTAATGTGATCTGTTGTTTCTGTCGCATGGCTCGACTCACTCTTTTTTGGTTTTACATTGTCAAAAGTTGTGGAAAGTACCTGGTACTGCGACCATTTTGATACTTTTCACCTGAACCTGATTTTTTCGCAGATTATCTGTCTAATGTCAGTACTCACATACAGTGAAAGTTTCAGCTAATAGGACAAAAAGTTACTGTATAAAAATGAGCTACTGCAGCTTTAGGAGAACTTTACCTCTGTCCCACTATGATACTGACTGTGAAACAGATTTCTGCAGGTATGCTGAAATACAACAAACTCATACCAGCATGTGCAAGGCTCGGTTATCTCACTGCCTGTGAAGCAGTGGCTTCTCCTACACCCTTTGATTTGACGGCACTAAAGACGTCTCTTAGAAACCAATTTCTAGTTTTCATGATCCAAACTGATTTAGTTCATCACTTATTTCAGTATGCAGACTAGATAGGCCAGGATTGCAGATTTGTCAACAAAGTCAGTGCATCAGGTTTGTACCAACTAATAAAATCCATAAGGATAAACAAAACAAAACAAATTAGAGGTGCACCTGATACCAATACTGATTCCACATTAAATAGGTATCAGTTACGATGCAGCACAGTTTCCACCCCTCCGAATGCAAGTTTTACACACAGTACAGGCTGCTGTCTTGTTACTAGCTCACTCAGTTGTGGATTGGTGACGTCAGCCTGGTATCGGATATTGAAATTAGGTCAGTATTGGCACCCAATGAGGATATTGGATCAAATCAGTCCCAACTCAATTTCTTTTTAAATAAATATAAATAATAGGGGGTGTATAAATATTTGCAGATGTCATTTATACCTGGCTGATCAGTGTGTACATTTACGCCTTCTTTAACGTCAGTATTTCTGTAGCCTAGATGAGGGACAGGCCACATGTTAACACCAAGTGGAAATGTGCTAAAAGTGAGACGTACTAAATAACAGTGACTTAGGGCTGCGAGCATTATTAATCTGTCGTTCAATTAGTTGTTTGGTCCAGAAAATGTTTTATCAGGGTTATTATATTCATTTAGACATAGAGCAGTAAAGAAGCTGAAATCAGAGAATTTTGAGTTTTTTTCTGAACAAATGACTCAAGGAGCCTGAGTAGCCCGTCTGATAGAGTGGGTGCGTGTCATCCCCCTCTCTCTCCCCCCTGTCCTGTCACTCTTCAGCTGTCACTATCCATTAAAGGCAATAGAAACTCAAATAATATATACATAAAATAAGACTCCAAAACAAAGTAGTTCACGTAGGCAATTATATAATAGGCAATTAATTTAATAGTTGACAACTAATTGGTCGTTGCAGCTCTATGATTAATACTAAAAGGAACAAAAATCCCTTCCATCTTTCAGGAGCACCCCAAACAGGCAGCAGCCCTCTCTGCGCTCCAGGACTCGGACTGCTTCGCCCACCTGCTGCGTTTCTATGACGGCATCTGTAAATGGGAGGAGGGCAGTCCCACACCGGTCCTTCATGTGGGCTGGGCCACCTACCTGGTCCAGTCTCTGAGCCGCTTTGATGCTCAGGTGAGAAACCCAGAGTGGCTCTGCCTTTGAACATCAGAATGACTACAGCCAGTACAGCTCTGTCTGCAGGGCCTTTGTAGCTGAAAGTGTGTTTGTGGTCTGATTCCAAAGGTGCGTCAGAAGGTGTCCATCATCACCAAAGAGCCAGAGACCCAGGATGACGACGACCAGTCCAGCGATGACCCCCGTGAGGGGCGCAGACGAGGCCCAAGGAGGGAGTCCAAGCTGGACGAGCAGAGCTCTTCTCCTCCTGCTGCTCCCACCTCCCCATCCAGCCAGCCGCCGCCGGCAGCGGCAAGCCAACCCAAGAAGGTAGGAGAGGGAGCGGGCCGCCGACGCTCCTCACAGGGCTTGCGGGCCGGAGACCCCGAAGGAAAACCCAAGTCCCCCAGCGCGGACTCCGCGTCCTCACCCTCATCCCAGCAGCAGGCCTCCCCCTCCCCTGCCGGCCCTGTGGTGATCTTTCAGAGTGAGAAGATGAAGGGGATGAAGGAGCTGCTGTGTGCAGCCAAGGTGAACTCCAGCGCCATCAAGCTGCAGCTCACCGCCCAGTCACAGGTCCAGATGAAGAGGCAGAAGAGCACACCAGCCGGGGATTACTCCATGTCCTTCATGAAGCGCCAGCGCAAGTCGCTGTAGACGAGCCGATTGTTGCAGGAGGACTGTAGGACATACTGTGAACAGAAACACGGACACCCGATTAACCTCGCTTTTGTTTGTGAACCTTTTTACCAGTGTTTTCATCCAGAGGTCAGTCAATATCCTCATAGTTCCTAGCAATATATCCGACAAGCACACTTGAGTTAAGCATCACATATCGAGTTCTAACTGAAGAGTGAACATTTCATTCTGTTTTTATTTAACTACAGCCAGAAAAGGATTCTGGGGAACCGCCTGGTTTGATAGGTTGTAAGCACTCACTCTTCATTAGTTTGTGTATTAATTGGCAGCCAATTGCACACCGACTATTAACTTCTCATTGACTTACATGTGGATGTTTGAAGCCAAAGGATGACCCAACACAACTCACTGATGTGTAAATATCAACTTGTACCATTAGGAACCTGTTCATGACTGAAGCCTTGGAAGTGATTAATTTAGGATAGTTACTGTGTAACATTGTCCACTTCTGCTCTATCGACAGCTTCTTTCTTGCTAGCTCTATGTTGCCTTACTTTGCCTTTGTTCTTTTCTAAAGTAGGTGGCCTTTAGTTTTGAGATTAGCTGAGCTAGGCCTATTTCTAATGATTAGAGAAGACCAGGAAGACCATGCACTGTTGAGACGGAGCCGCATTAGGCGGCCCTGCTACATCCTATTTGCTTGATGACTTGTGGTTTTTGTTTTTGTTCTTGTTTTTGTATCTGCAAGTAATAAAAGACCTGATGAAAATAAACGCAGTGAGGTTTGATGGTGTGTATTTGATATCTAAGGGTTCACAGGTGACTGAGCTGTGAGAGGCCATACACTGTAAAAAATTTGCATGTGAACAGGGCGTAGGAGCTTGCACTGCAGTTGGAGGTGTGCCATGTTCTCCAGCAGGAAAGCAGTGGTCCACCTCTCTGAGCTCACAGAGGCACATCTAACCTAATTCATAACAATTTTCTGGGACGTCAGTGTATAAAGGACTGGGCTGTGCATTCAGTTGACAAATAAGGAAGAACCAGAGTAAGGGAGTGCAGAAAACAACTGAAAGTGAAACAAGTATTTCTGTCATGTAACGGTGGTTCAGCAGGGATGTCTATGAGACCAACTGGTGACAGCAGGCTCTTGTGAATGAGTCAAATGTGGATGGTGCTGCATGTATGCCTATGTAAAATAAACTTTTTTTTATATAATACAAATAAGATAAATACGATATAGATAGATATAGAAGGTGGGACATGGATGTGATATGATGTGAGACCATAACTTATAAATGGTGCATAGTAAGCTCATTCCTACCACAAAGTAAAAAATCTTACATTTGAAAAACAGTTAAAATGATCGTCAATATTTTTTTAAAAATAACTCAAAATTCTGAGTTTGTGGGCTGGTTTCACAGATGAGGCATAACCCTAGTCCCAATCTAAAATGTCTAAGTGAGCTGTCTTAACTTAAAGCAATTTGCACAGACTTAATATAGTCCGAGATTTAGTCTGTGCTGCATTAAACTAAGCCTAGCTGTAGGACGAACTTTAACCTAAATAAATCCTTCAAAGAGGTTGGTTCAACTTCTGTTTAATTCTGTTTGGGAGGGAGTTCATAGACTCTTTGGAATATCTATCATGCACATGTTAATAGAAGTAACCCATTTAATTATTTTGGATGAAATAACTTTTCGAGACCACCTCTGTATGTGGTTGGGAGATAATTAAACCTCGACTTTCCTTTCTGTCTCAAAGAGCAAGGCCTTCTCCCAGTTTTCCCAAGCTCTGATCACTTTTAGGTTTTTGGTATCTGCAGTCTTTCATTGGAGTGTCCTGATGTTGCTGGCCAAGCCAACTAGACAGTGCAGATCGATGAATATAGGCACTTCAGTGATTGGCTGTATAGATGGATGATGTGTCCATCAATCCCTGCAGCTGAGGAGCACAGGAACAGTACAGACCTGGTTTTCCATCCAAGTTCAGGTGTGTGCTCAGTTTCAAAGTGGACTCACGGTCAGAGTAACCTTTTAGTCACTTCCCACAAGCTGTTGTGGGAAGCTCATATCAGCACTACAGGGTTGGTGGAGTGTTTGGAGTATGGAAAAATTAATTTGCAATTTATTTCAAACCAAAAGGTGATCATTGATTCAGCGTGCTGCACAACTTCCTGAAGCAGCACCACAGACATGATCCTCCAATAGGAGATCAGGATCAAGTTCCTACACAATAACCAACGAGGACTTGCAGACAGAATTGCTTTCACATTGCACTACTTCAGCTAGAGATGCATTTAAATGGAATTAAGGCCTAGTCTTTTCTCTGATAATGTCTGTTCTGTTCAAACTTAAAGGATTTAACATTGAGGAGGATCTATTGTCATAAATGGAATATAATATTGTACTTTCTCCTTCACCAGAGCTGCCTAAAGTGGGGCTTTGTGGCCAAAGTTGACCCACCATATGTTTCCAGCGAAAAAACATGTTAAAAAAATGATAACATAAATAAATGTTCGTACTGTTTCATTTTTGTGAGGTAAAATATATAAGATCCATAATCATTAATTATCCACACTCTGAGCAGTGTGACAGAGTGAAGTCAAATACAGCGGCCAAAGATGTTCAGTTAGTTGCAATCTGTAACTTCACCACTAGATGCCACTAAATCCTTTAAATGAAGACTGGTTTATGGTGGTTAAAATACTCACACTCTTACATATATTGTTCACCTTAGCTGCTATTCACAATTAGCTAATTACTGTATATTTTTTTCTCATAGTTTTCTCGAGTTCTTCTTCTTATTATTATTATTATTAGTAGTAGTAGTATTTTTGTTGTTTATGACTGATGAAACATTTTTTGAGCAGAAAAAGAGCAAGAAATGTGAGGTTGGACACATGATTAAAAAACACTCCAGATGTGAACGACCGCACTAGACATTTTTTACAGTGTAGTGTGTTCGCTCATGCGTGACGTGATCGAGCTCCAGTCGGGACCGTTCGCACACAGACAGACTCTGTCAGTGTGTGTGTGTGTCTGTGTGTGTGTGTCAGTCCTGTCAGTGAGCGCCCGGATCGATACTCCAGCAATTAGTCGGCTCCAATTAGTCCCCATTACCCGCTGCTCAGCCGGGCAGTCACACACAGTTGCTGCTGCTTTCTCCTCCGACTGCAACAGCTGGGATGTGTGAGTAGAAAGCCCGCCAGGCTCACTCGCAGCACCCAGAGGTGTCTCCAAACATGGACAGGATAGGGGTGTCATTCTTGGACCCTCTGGATGACTACGAGTTAATCCACCGGATTGGGTGCGGCACCTACGGAGATGTGTTCAAGGTGAGTGGGGAGAACATTTGCTGCAGAAGGAAAGATTTAGTCCATGAACAAAGCTTCTCTCACTGCACACACACACACACACACACACACACACACACACACACACACACACACACACACACACACACTCTGCAGGCTATTTCACTTCCTGCCATCAAGGTGAAAGTGTGTGTTTGGAGAATATAGCCTGTAAAGTGCTGCATGGGAGAGGTTTTTGATGACCTGAGTCAAGAGATTTATCAAGACTGAGATTCCTGTTGTCTCTAAAGGGTTAAAATCAGAGTACACACTGTCAACATAATGCTCACAGTGTGTAAAAATACAAGATAAAAGCCTAAAATGAACGTGAGGGCTCTTTAGGAAATAGTCAGTATAAAGGAGATGGAATTAAAATGTGTGTGTGCTCCATTTTGTCTTTACATTAAAGGCTGTTAACCCTTTCAACCCTTGGATCTCCTGTTAACAGGCAGGTCTCTTACAAAGCAGAGTGCCAGCCTGTTGCATCAGCTGTGCCACAGGTTGATGTTGTTTTCATATTTATATATTATATATATTTATAACACCTCCTGTCATACTTTTATTATATATCACACTGATATATGGCATAATATATCAAATAGGGCTGTGTATTGGCAAAAATCTGATGATATGATATGTATCACGATACAGGGGTTGCGATTCAATATACTGCGATATATTGCAATTTAAAGAAATCTAATTTGAAGAAAATTGTCAAAGAACACACAACCATAAAATCAGACTAAAATCAATGTTTATGCAAGCAGAATAGTGGGATCTGTGTTTGTATTTATCTCAAAGCTGCAGTAGGTATTATTTTATAAAAAAATACTTCTTGTCATTTGTTCTGAAACTTTCACTATATCCTGACAGTAGTTCATGAGACAGATAATCCTTGAATCTGCTACTGTCAGGGTATAATGAAAGCTTCAGCAAATATGACAAAAAGTAATTTTTGTAAAAGTTACCCACAACACCACTGAAACACAAAGATCAGTACAGTGTTTTTGACGATTGATACAATCACAAAACAAAATATCACGGTATGATACACCCCAATATCAAATTTCCTGGAGAATCAACAGTTTATAGATAGAATAACCAGACAGAAGAGTCTGTTTTTGGCAAATTCCAGAATTAAAGTGCCTGATAATGATCACAGGGTCTCAAAAAGTCTTAGAGATAACCCTGTTGGAACCTGCAGAAACCCTCGATCAGTGGATTTAACAGTTAGTCGATGAATGAATCGGCAGCTATTTTGATCATCTTTTCACTCATTTTTTAAGCTTAAGGTTCTGGACTGTTGGTTGGACAAAACAAGCAGACTGAAGGCATCACCGTGGGCTCTTGCAGACAAATTTAAGTTCTTATTTTTTAGAGGTTAACAGCATAGCAATCGCATATATTAAATCACACTATACCACCCAGTTTATGTACAACTGACTCATGTCGTCTCTTTCCACTTGCCGGTTTGAGCGTCAGGATGCAAACATCCTGTGCCGTTAACCCGCCCCGGTGCCTTGTGCATCCTGCAGCAGCAGCACAAGAATTTGTATTGTTTCTTTTTTTATCCCCCCACGCCTGAAACATGGGGGATACCTCTGTTCATAAATGCCCTTTCCCTTCTGCTGCATGCTGTAGAGCTGTATTCTTTACAGATTAAACCTGTTGTACAGCCTTTTGTGTCTCCTTACCATGAGAACTGTAGTCTGGCACAGGAAGTGATGCATTTTCAGTTAGTTTTCAGTGGTTTGTTCATTACAGACACACGCATGTTTAATTCTAGGCTGAACGTTCAGCTGCTCAGCCTGCATACACATAGGTGACACGTGAAAGTAAAAACCAATATTGTTATTAAGGCCTCCAGGACAGCTTCAGTGCTCCTTGTCTCATCTGCTGGGGGCATGAACACAATGTAATGGTCATATAACATTAAAGCTGCAGTAGGTCATTCTTATACAAAAAATGTTTTGTCATATTTGCTGAAACTTTCACTATATCCTACAGTACACGAGAGGCATAATCTGTGAAACAATCAGGTTCCTCTGGCTCCTCCTTGTGCTCCTAATGGTATTTGCAGGAATCCACCGGGTTTGAATGGAAACAACCAATCAGAGCCAAGAAAGATAGAAAGATGCTTTGGGTTGGAGGCTTGAAGATAGTTGATTGTTGACTCTCATTCCCAGCATCGGCATTTGACGATCTGGGATTGAGCTTCCACAATAAACAACAATCTTTGTCAGTGGTCAATGTCGGTGTTTGAGTTGGTGATGTAGGAGTTAGTGTTTGACAAGGAAGAAGAATGTCTGGAATAAAAGAGATTATATTTTAGGCTCTGTCCATTGTGAGTAGACATTGTTAAGATGAATGCTAAATTGGTGGATACATTTTAAAGTTGCAATTGATAATAATGGCCACTGGGGGCAGCAAAACAAACCGTAAACACAGTGTTGCCAGATTATCACCTTATAAAAGTACCTGTTAGCAGACTGTTTCTAATTTACACATCCAGCAGACACAGAGCAACATTAGCATTCATTTGGAGTTGTGAATGTGTCCACCTGATGAATGATGAATTCCCTCTCTTTTTGCTCTGTTTTTGGTCTCCACAAACCTCTACAAACAAAACGTATCCAAAATGGGCAAAAGGGTGAAGCGTTGGTGGGCTCAATGAAGGCTGGTTACTGAAAACAGCCACCTGTGGTGGCACCCACCTGTCATTCAAAGCGTCCACACCCTTAACAATGCATAACTTTAGGCCTTAATATAATTTGAAGGGGTGGGTTATATAAAAAGTCACCCCCCGTACAGTTGAACGGTGAAATTAGCTATAGAGACCAGAAGTGTGTTTAGTACCAGGCTGTAAACATGTTTATTTCTGCTGTAAAGGTGGGCATTTTAAGATGGGGCCTTATGGAGACTGACTCACTGCTGGAGCCAGCCTCAAGTGGCTGTTAGAGGAACTGGTACTTCTGTGTTTTACTTTTTTTTTTTTTACATTTTTTGTTTTCTTTTTACTTCCTTGTTGGCTTAATTTGTCAGCCATGGAGGTTGCTGCTTGAGTCAGACACAGAAACGGCATGGAGAATCTGATCAATTTCCAAAATAAAAAATATAATAAAAAAAATAATGTGCAGTCTCCCAAATGTAAAAACAGACAAAAGAAACAATTTAACCCCATATCCTACTTCTTCATGGTAGAAGCATATAAATCAAGGAAAACTGACCAAATCAATAAAATCTTTGCAAGTTAATAAAATCTGGCGGTAAAACGCTTCTGAAATGCTCCTGGAAGAGAATGAAGTAATGAGCTGAAAAAACCCTTTAGATCTGAAGGAACTGCAGAGTTGGTGATAATTATCTGTGTCTGTCTCTTACACATTCATTTATCCATAATTCATATAAATATTGATTAGTGCAGCTTTAAATATACATTTAGCAGTAGTACGTACAACAGAACGCCACCTAAGAGCTGAATTCACAGAATCCCACAAACTGCAGTTCAAAACCAAGATGCTCTTACATTCTGTACATGAGCAGTCTTCAGCTGACTTTGACATTTGCGTTACTGTAACATTTAGACATATTGCAGCCAGTGTGTCTGCTGTGAATGGGAACAGACAATACCACATTATCACTCCCACTGCTGCTGCCGGAGCTGCAACTGCAGGAGTCAGGGGTGAAACCTCCGGACATGTGACTGTGTGGGCTTTCAGTGGACTCCAATTACACTGCCGTTGTTCAGCGAGACGCTCAGCTCAGAGCTCATGTGTGTAACCCTCTTATTAATCTTGATCCATGTCCTCCTGTGGCTCGGACCAGCCACAGCCGGTCCAGATGTCCTCAAGTGGTCTGACTTCGGTCTGGTCATGCACTTAAAGTGGAAGTTGCATTTCCAAAAATAGAATTAATAAAATAAACAATAACAATAGTAATAAAGTAACATTTCTCTCTTAAATGTACTATAGGGTGTTTCAATTTAATACTGATGCCTCTACATGACCTACATAACAGACCAACCAACAGTGAGAAGATTGGCTATGTCTTTAAAGTTATTCTATATATTCTCTGGATTGAAATCAGTCAGACATGGAGTGGATACACTTCTGGTTTAATCCACAGGGGCTGCCACAATCAACACAATATGCTTGCTAAAACATTGTTTGTCAGACACCTTTGCTTTGTACTGTTCTCATTTATTGCTGACTAAAATCAACATTGTTTGTTCTAATATGTAAGTTAGTATCATGGATAATTTTAGCTGGTTAAGTAATTTAGAAAGCTAATGTAAGCCAGCTGGCATCCACTCAGATAGTATTTTGTAGTGATAACATTAGTGAGCAAACAAACTAAGCTTAGCCAGCCAGCTGCTGGTTGTTTAGTTTAACGTTAGAGTAAATCGAATGCACTCAATGTCCACATCCGCACTTATTTACCTGCCTGCATGGTTTTTGTTTATATGGGTTGTTCATATACAGTATTTTGCCACATTGCACTATAACCTGACAGTTTTGCACGAAAAGTAATCGAAAACAGCCGACATTCAACCGTAGACTGGCATGAACATGGAACATTCAGCCATGGGCTTTACCGTAAATGTAGATGGTTGATATCAGTGCCAGTATTCAGCTTTTCCCAGGAATACAGCGAGTATATCTGCAGTCTCTATGATTCATCTCTTCCTGTTTTATTGTTGGAGATTAGAAAAGAAACCTTTGTTCTGTGATTCTGGTGAAATGACACCCAATCCTGACAGGAACAGTTCTCTGTGTGTCATGGTGGAACTCTAAATGATGGGTCACACATTAAGATTTTAGCCATGAGACTTGGCCGCTCATACAGTACTGTAATACTATTATATCACAAACTCATATGTTAACTGCACATTGAAGTGTAGTGTCTGGCGATACGCTACAATACAGGGTTACGATTCAATATAATGTGATATTGTAAGCAGTGCGATATATTGGGATTCATGTTAA